TTTTCGTTGACCGAAGCTGCTCCAAAATCTTCAAATACTCCTCATTCTTGAAAGGCCCCTTCTCCCCTAACCCCCTTTCACTAATGGGCTCCTGATCTTTGGTCGGATTCAGAATCTCATTCTCATTCTCATTCTCATTCTCGTGCTCATGCTCGGAATTTTTGCCCATCTCAACCCCTGCCTCAACTCCTAATTCCTCTCTTATTTCTGTCTCTTCTGTTCTGGGCTCGGATCCGGATCTTGCATCATCTCCACCTGTGGTCTCAGATCCGGCTACTTCACGTATACCCGAATCCGAACCAGTTTGTTTATCATCGCTTCTATTTTCACCCTCAGCCCCAGTTTCGGGAGATAACAAATTCCGTCTCTGGAGAGTCTCAGCCGCTTTACTAAGATATTCTTTTCGTGATTTCACAAAGTTAATCACACGGGTAAACCCTTGTCGTCGTTGTGCCGCTTCCAGCTTCATTCTCTCAGAAAACTTGGCAAATGCCTCATCCAAATTTGGTATCACGACTCGCTTCATTTCACTGCTATCATTATTAAGGTCGCCTCCTATCGCTTCGTTACCACTTGCTCTTCGTCCCAGTGGTCTCTGTTGCCCTGGCAGCCTTGGCTGCCCTTGCTGCCCTGGCTGCCCTTGCTGCCCTTGAGTATTACTATGAATAGGCCTAGCTGACACTACACTCCCACGTCGTCCTGTTGGATACTGTGTGGATGCAGGTGGCACAATATTTTGCGAATTCATCTCGAAACCACTACTAGTATTAACATCGGTATAAGGCATTTGCTGGGGTGCTTGCTGTAATGCATTTTGGTGCTGCTGTGGCTGTGACTGCAATTTTTCAGAGTATATCGCTTGAACTCCAGCTGGATGTCGTGCTTGAAAAACATGAACCGGTGGAGAGGCGGTCACGGGTGATGAAATTTGGGGTGAAGATGCTGGATGTAGTAAAGTTGTTAAAGAAGGTCGATGATATTGTTGCTGTGTCTGAGACTTTTCAAAAGCGTGTGCTTGTGCTTTTACCTGGGCTAGAGCTTGCGCTTGCGCTTGCGCTTGGGCATGGGCTTGTGCATGGGCTAGTGCTTGAGCTCTAGCTCGAGCTTGTGCTTGTGCTTGCGTGTGTGCTTGAGCTCGAGCTTGTGCTTGCATGTGTGCTTGAGCTTGAGCTTGTGTTTGTGCTTGTGCTTGTACTTGAGCTTGAGCCTGAGCTTGTGCTTGAGCTTGTGCTTGAGCTTGTGCTTGAGCTTGTGCTTGAGCTTGTGCTTGAGCTTGTGCTTGAGCTTGTGCTTGAGCTTGTGCTTGAGCTTGTGCTTGAGCTTGTGCTTGAGCTTGTGCTTGAGCTTGTGCTTGAGCTTGTGCTTGAGCTTGTGCTTGAGCTTGTGCTTGAGCTTGTGCTTGAGCTTGAGCTTGTGCTTGAGCTTGTGCTTGAGCTTGAGCTTGTGCTTGAGCTTGTGCTTGAGCTTGTGCTTGAGCTTGCTGAATTTGTTGAGCGCGCTCTTGCGCTTGCGCTTGCTGAGCTTTCTGAATTTGTTGAGCGCGTGCTTTTTCTTGTTCTTGTTTTTGTTGAGTTTGCTGAATTGGTTGAATTGGTTGAATTGGTTGGATTGGTTGGATTGGTTGAGCTTGTAATTGTGCCCGTGTCGCTGCCTGTGCTTTATTCAAATTTTCTGCTTGTACTTTTTCTTGTGCTTGGGTCCATGGTTCTGTTTCTTCAAGTTCCGGTGATGATGTTGCTTCTGATGCTGATGCTAATGCTGATGTTGCTACTGGTACTGGAGTTAGTGCTGGTGCTGGTATTTGGGTTTGTGACGGTGTTTGTGTCGGTGCTGGTTGCTGTGCTGGTGACGGTGTTTTTGCCGGTATTGGTGTTGGTATTGGTATTGGCATTGGTGCCGAAACCTGTGATTGTGATTGTGCTTGTTCTTGTTGAGCTTTGAGCTGAGCACGAAGCCTGGCTTCTTTCAAAAGTTTGGCTTGCTGAAGCTCGATTTCTTCCTGTGAAAGAGCTTCCACTTCTTTTTTTTTCGCTAATTTTCGGGCATGAGCCAAAACACGAGCTTGCATCCGTGCTTCTTTGCTAAGATGTTTTTGATGATGTACGATATCTTCAGTTGCTGGTTGCTGCTCAGCCGATATCAGTTGGCCTTGAACTGGTTCTTTAGGTTGTTGACTCTTTTGAGCTTGGACTTGGGCCTGTTCTTTCATCTGCTGCTGAGTCAATTGCGGTGAACCATGCTCTTGATTTATTCCCTGAGCTTGCGCCAGCGCTTGCCCGTTAAATCTCATAGATTCTAACTTTCTCCTCTCCCCTAAATTCTTGAGCCGCAATTCTTCTTCACGCTTTGCTCTCTCGTGTGCTTTTTCTTGTTCATTCTGAGCGCTGTGCAAAGTTTTCTCTCGAAGGTCTGCAGTCACACCAAAAGCAGATTGCACACGCCCGTCAGTCTGTGAAACTCCCGCGTATATAGCATGAGATTGAGCTTGTGACTGTCTTAAAGATTCATATTCATGGGTATCAGTAGACCGGTTGTTTGTATCCAACTGTACATTTTGTTGCTCCTGGACCTGAGATTGCTGATCAGATAATTGCGATTGTTGCACATTTGATCCTTGGAGCCCCTCAAGTATGCCTTCAGTACTCGCCAATTGCTGTTCCCCGATAATAACTTGTTCTTCAACTGCTCGTAGAGATGTCACAACATTATTCCTGGTAAATGTAGATCGCTTGCTACGAGGTTCAACTTTGATACGGATTTCAGTAGAAGAAGCAGAAGTGCCCATTGCCGGTGGTACACTGCCACTACTTGACTGAGGAACATTAGAAAAAGTAATATGCCCCCTGTCAGTATTGGCTTCAGAATTAATGTTTTTTGAATTGCCAATATTTTGAGGCTGCATTGTTTCAATAGGACTTGGTAAATTTGTATGTTCCCGTGTTAGTTCCTGCGGGGATGACGGGCTGGGTATTTTTGTGTTTTCTTGGGATTGTCCAGAAAGCGTGGTTGTTGTAGCCTTTTCTAAAAATAGGGTTGACTTAGAAATTGCCCTGTTTTGTTGATCTCTAGAAACTGCTGCAACATTATCTAAACTTTCTGAAAGATGGAGCTGTTGATTTTGGTCTTGGTTTATTCCCTCGTTCTCCGAATCAAAATCATTACCAGCTTCAGGGGACGAAACTATTTCAAATGCGGTATCAGAAACATTTTTGGGTCTTTTTGCAACTAATGGTGAAAAGTCTCGTTCATGATGAGATGACAGCCGAGATGGTGATTTAGGTTCCTCCCGCACAATATTTTCTGGTTGTTCTTCCCTTTCCTTTTCCTCTTCTTCATCATCTTCATCTTCATCTTCATCGTCTCCTTCATTTTCGTCTTCCTTCATCCATACAACGTTCTTCTTCTTTTTCTCTAATTCTTTTTTTCTCTCTATATCTTTGGGAAATTTCCTCTCTTTTTCTTTAACTTCATCTTCCTTTTCTTTTTCTTCATTTACCTTGTCCTTGTCTTCAATTGTTTCTTTAATCTTCTCTTCATCTTTTTTCTTCCTTTTCTTAACTCTTCCTATCTTATGTAGTGCCTTTTTCATTACCTCTACTTCTGCAGAACTCCCCTCGTCGCCAGTTTCACTCATAACGTCTTCTTCACTCACCAAAATAATGTCGTCGTCATTGATTTGGCTGGAAAATCGGCGCCGCCTATTAGAAGAATGTGGAGATAAAAACAAGGATCTGTTGACTGTATTATCAGATTCTGATTCATCACTCGCTGTAGAATCGGAACCATGGTGGTTTTTAGAATTTTGGGAGTGATCTTTTTTCAACTTAGTAAGTTTTGTAAGTTTGGATTGCCGTGGTGATTCTTGCCGTGAGTTTGTTTGTTTTCTTTCATGCATAGATGGTGATTCTTTGTAAAGATGTTTTTCAAAACGTCTGTGTTTAAATCTATGTCTATAAGCGCTGGCAATAGGCATATCATCATCATCATCATCATCATCATTATCTTCTTCTTGTTCCCCTGGTTCTTGTGGTTCCTCTTGTTGCTCTTTTGCCTCTTCTGCTTCTTCTAACTCTTCCTCATCTTCCGCGTCTTCAGCATAATGACGGCTTTCATTATCATTTTTATTAGCTTTATTTTTTTCTTTGGCGTTATGAATATTCTTTTTCTCCCTTAGACTGCTTTTAGTAGGTTTGACAAGTGAGCTTGAAAAAGAAGCGCTTTTAACATTTGATTCCCCTTTTTCCTTCAATTTTTCAGTATGGTCTAATTGTTTTGATTTTTGCTTCTCCTTTGGTGCCTCCTTTTCCAAAGTCGCTGTTTGACCATTCATTGACTGTTGCTGTTTGTTAGAAAATTTTAACGATGATCCCGAAGGCGAACGGTGAAATGATTCTCGATTAGGAGACTTTAAACCAGATTCTGTAGGGGTAGTCTTTTGTCGTTTTGATACGTTCTTTGTAGCTTCAGTATTACCGTCATCAAGGGACCGCTTCCGTCGCTTCGTTTGAACAGAGTTACTTTCATGAGTTAAGAGGTCTGATTCATCAGAGCTTTTACGACGATCTCTGTCACTACTTCCGTTTTTATTGTGTTTCTCCTGGACGTTAGTGGTATCATTGTCAAAAGATATGTGTGATTCTGGTAAGTTTGGTACTTGTGTTTTAAAACCAACCCATGTTTTCCGCGTATGTTCGCCACCAATATGCGCGTTATTATTTTGGTTTTGCTGTTTATTTGCATATCCGCCACCTCCTTCGCGACTTCTCCATTTGCCACTGCGTCCACCACGCTGATATGGCTGGTGATGGGTAGAGTTATAAGGACGGTATTCGTTTGATGAAGACCCTCGATCGAAATTATTATTAAATGAGCCCCCTCGAGACTGCCTGGAACCGTTTTGCTCAGGAAAAAAACTTCTATCACTTGGCTTTTTCCGAGAAGGAGGATAGTAATCCTTCATAGTGAAACTGTAGAAGAATATGTGTTGAAATTAGTATTTGATAAACTGTACTGCTATAAAAAAAAGAAGAAAAAGGGTTCTAAGGTGTTGATTTCAGTTGATAGTTTATCAAAACATTTGTCTAAAAAGGAATGTTGTAATATCTTGTTACAAAACTAGATTATTATGTAACATTTGTAAGTTTGAGTTTCACCTCGACTTTAGTCTTCAATCCTGTTAATCTATATTAAATAATTAAATAATTAAATAATTAAAATAAAATTAAAATTAAAATTAAAATTAAAATTAAAATTAAAAAATAAAATTCAGATCACATTAAAATTGAAGGTGTAAAAGACTTCAAAATATGAAAGTCGATGATTTTAATAATCTTAATAATCTTTTTTTACATGAAATTCATCGGAGCAAAAAAAATTTTAATTTTCTTTTGACCCTAGGATAGACTATATAGTAAAGAAGCCAGTGATCTGTTTTAAATAAAAATTTCTCAATGAAACATAATTAAAAAGTTTAAGTCATAAACATAGTTAAAAAAAAAAGTCTCTGGTGGCCATGAAATTGCCTCAGGTTAATTTATAAGCCAAAATCCAAGCATTAAATATTTTTTTCTCCCAAGTCAATTAAAAAAGTTATACAAGATAAATTGCAACTATAAGTTTTACATTACTACAGGTGAAAATTTTGAACCTCGCATTCCTCCTCTTTTATCCCAAAAACCAAAAAATCATATTTACAAATACAAAAACAAGGCGACTATTCATTTCATTTTTTTCATATATTTTTATACATATATGTTTTGTTTATTTCTTGGCAACAAGCTTCTTAAGGTAGAAAGCAAGCTCCTCACCCTCCAGAATGTAACCATCAGCACGGCCGGACTGACCAGGTCTAGAAGAAATGGCAGCGTAGACACGGCCAGCAGCAAACTGAGTCTCAAGAGCAGACTCGACCTTGGAGGTCTTTTGTCGCTCAGCAAGCTCCTCCTCAGAGACACCCTCGGGCTTAGAAAGCTCGACAGGGGCGGCAGCAGCAGCACCCTTCTTCTTGCCAAGAGGGAGAGCGTAGTGGTTCTCGTACCATTGACGGAAGGGGGTGGCATCAATCTGAACAATAGCAGCACGAGTCAAGGTGTTAGTGCGGACCAACTCGTTGTTAGAGGGGTGGTAAACGACCTTGATAACACGGGTCTTGCGGGTAACACCTTCGGAACCCCAAGAGTAGTTGCCAGACTCAAGACGGAGAGCTCTGTATTTGAGGTTGCCACCACGGACACGGACAGGGTGGACACGCTTGGCACCAATCTTGGTGTTGGAAGGCTGGCGGCCCAACTCAAACTTTCTCTTCTTTCTGATCTGAGCGCGCTTAGCACCAGTGTGTGAACGCTTGTGGCGAGAGTCACGAGAAATACTCATCTTGTACTATAAGGCCTCTAATTCAAAGTTAGAACATGTTTTTAAATAAGTTCCTTATGAACTTTGCTTCCAACATTGCTAAAGTAAAAAAAAAGTTGATGAATTATGGTGCCAACTTATGTACTGGTCAAAAAGTATCAAACGGGTACGTCAAAACAAAAAAGGTATATTCATAAGTGAAGACAATAGTTTACAACAGCAATATCATCAAATATCAAAGAGCTGCAATACAGGAACAACGTTACTATCAAGTCGAACTTACCTTGGTGTCGAAGGATTGTCGAAAGAAGGGCTGGTCGGACAAGTCAAAGAAAAGAGAGCAGGAGGTAGGAGAGAGACGGCAGAAAAAAAAAAGGGAAAAACGCAAAAAACTGAGTGGGTACAGTGCTGTGTGTGTGTGGCCGAGCGCCCTAGCCAGAGCTATGGGTGAGAGCACCCACACATACACAATCTCAGAGCTTTAACCCTTACCCACACAAATACTAACGGGTACTGACATTACAACTTCCGATAAAAAATTTTCATTAAACTTTGTTACAACTTAAAATTGAAAGTTGCCATAGTAACAAAATTTGGGGACATGCCTCATCCGTATCTTGAAAAAAAAGATGCATGTGTAACAAAAGAAAATTGTCACTTAGTACTGAAATATACTTAGACAATAAATTTAAGTCCCCATGTGTTACATAAATTTTCAAGTATCATAGGGTTTAACCCTAGTTACAATATTGAATTTTATTTAAGGAAAAGTTCTGTTTGACATTTTTGACCTCATCTCTCTTATTTTGACGGATTCTATTGAATTGAAGATGCTATTTAGAACAATTTAATTTTGAGCATAGATGAATAGATGAAAATATAAGCTGCTTTACTCAAATTTTTCATTTTAATAATAAACTGTAAACTAAGAATAATTAATTACTTTAAAAACCACTATTTTTAGGTAATTAATGCAACACTTCTTGTACTTTTTGTAAGCTTATTTGTAAACTTTTTCGGGAATAAAAAATGCTTACCAATATTAATTACAAATACACATTTAACATAAATGTATCTTATCTCATATTTTTCTTAAATGTGATTTGAAATCCATTTAGATTTGCATAAAAACTCTCTAGAAAAGCCTTGTATTTTGATGAAAGACAGTTTGATATTAATAAAGCTGAGAAGAGAAAAATAAAAAATGTTTTACGAAAGACGTATTGTTAAAGCCGTGTACCCCAGAGTATGAATCTAACAGATAACCCTCTTAAAAAAATTTTAGTTGTCCACTTCATTTCCGTAACATATACTCAAAATGAAAATAAATTTTAAAACATCCTGTTGAATTTAATTTTAAAAGGATAGATTTTGTTAATGTCTACACGGTCAATTGGTATTGTAGATAGTATGGCCTTAGCTACAGAATTAAAACAAAAAGATGCCTTTACAATCATTAAAAGCAATTGTATGATTTAACGATTAACATTTTAAACTAATTTCATATATATTTTTAAAAACAATTAAATTATTTCATTAACAAACACTACAACAAAGTTAGCCCAATATTAATTAATATTGATCAGTCTCTCCATTTATCTATTTCTTCCTCTTGAAGTGCTTGAAAGATATAGCGTTTCTCTAAGCTTATCAATAGGAGTTGATTTTCAGACATTTAGCCGTACGTAAAATATATGTTAAATGCAACAAAGCTACTTATTAGTGGCAAAAAATAATAAACATAGGAAAACATCTTATCCACAACAATGTGAAAAAAAGAGGACTTCCAAGGTGTGGGTGGTAGTATTTTAGGTCAAGAACAAAACAACTGGGTCGCAACTATATTATATGACAAACCGTGAGGGGCTTCTATCCATCACTACCACCACTACTAAACCATCGCCACTCCACACAACTTCTATCATTGTTGACTCTCAGCATCTATATATCCGCTTAAATATTACAATAAGCATTTGTTTGACCTTTAATTATTTTATACCAATTCTTTTAATATCTTTCTTTTTCACTCCCGGTTTTCTTTTTGTTACAAAAAGATTGCCCGATACTTTATCGAAATAAAAAAAAAAAACCTTGCTGGCTGAGTTCTTGAAAATATCAACCGAAGCATATAAAATTCTATTTCCAGCTATCTATCCAACTCAGCATTGTCAATTAGAAAGAGGAATAATATTCTTGACACCTTAATTTACAAAATACACATACATTTTCCCAGCATATAACTCATCAAATCAAACATCACCATGACTGACGAACCTCAAGACGTTGAAATGACCGATCAGGTTTCCACAACTGGTACGTTGGTATATAAACTTTTTATTACCTTGAATACATATTGCTTATTTTTTTAAAAAAAATGAAAGATTGAACACCCATATTAAGCTGCTACTTAATCTATGATTAGTTTTGCGTCATGGTCGGAGTCCGCAAGTGTGTTTTATTTTTGTTATTATAATCTAACGGTTGTTTTATTTGTTAAAAAATAGAAGTCCAAAAACCGACATCTTCTGGAGAAAAGAAGACCTCTAAGAGTTCGAAAAAGAGATTTGAAGTTAGAAAATGGAGTGCAGTAGCGTTTTGGTCATGGGGTAAGTTATTAGCCAGAAACTTAGGATTAACCATAAACTAACCCGTATTTTTTTTTTAAGATATCGTCGTTGATACCTGTGCTATTTGCAGAAACCACATTATGGATCCGTGTATTGATTGTCAAGCAAATCAAAACAGTTCGACGGCCGAAGACTGTACAATTGCCTGGGGCACATGTAACCACGCGTTTCATCTTCACTGCATTTCACGATGGATTAAACAGCGTCAGGTATGCCCTCTAGATAACCGTGAATGGGAATACCAAAAAGTTGGCCATTAAGCTGGCAGTCTGGAATTTGCTTAGCTTAAATTTTTGACAGCAGTTAACAGGTAATCAACAGTCAAAATCAATCGGGTTTGATTTTTTTTTCATGAATATACACTCTACACTTTGCTTCTACTGTTTACTCTTATGACTACTACTTCTCACGGTTGTTTTATTTTATGTATGTGACCCCCTTGTAACGAATATGATGAATAAAAAAAAATAAGTTTCTGTATTTACTTTTGGTCTCTATATAAATATAAGTTTTTTTGGCTTAAGTGAAATTTTTTTTTTTTCGTTTATTGTAGAAGTTCATGCGGATGATGAAGAGTAATATGCAGGGTTGCGGGGGAAAGACCCCAAAACTGTCAGTTTACTACTATTTTTCTGAACTGTTCTCAAGGCCTGTCGAATCAAGCTGTCTGTATACAGATTCCCATAAAACTCAATGAAAAAGACATAAGACCATTTTGGTGGTGCAGTAACCGAATCTGAAGAACCTGGAGCCGCAGAGGGATTGTATGCAGGCCGCGAGTTAATGGAGGTAAGATTAATGCCGTTTGACGAAAGTGCTTGTAAACATTTGCACAAAGATCCTGGTTCATCGTGATTAACAGTCAGCGAAACAAGAGTGACAAAGTCCTTTGAAAGCTGATTGTTGTTTAAAGATGTGCAATCTAAATTCTCCATATCTAACACCTCATCGCTGCTGCGCTTGGCTGGAACCACACTCTGGAGACCTTGCTTATACCGCAACCGGTCCACGGGGAATCCTTGGCGTGCAAAAACCAAAAAGCGGGTAGTATTTGATGACAGATTAGATATATCAGGCACCAAAATTGGAACGTGATGAACTTTAGCAGCTGCACGACTGGCAACAGCCGCTGAAAAGGTTTCTTTGTTGCTGTCTTCTGCGTCTGTTTCTTGCGGAGCGCCAATGCCCTGCTCGTTTTGTTCATTTTTAGCTTCCTGCTCACTGGCAACACGCGCAGCAGCTGCTGAGGTCGAATTAGTATCAATACGTGGGGCCTTTGATGCTGGGAGCTGAGCATCGAGAAACTTTGTGACTTGGCCCCAAGCTTGCGGGTGTGTGTAAACACGCGAAACCCGGTCTATCGAAGGAGCAAAGGAAAGCAGGCAGTGCTGGATTGGCACAAAGATTTCATTGATGACGGTGATTTTGGTAGTTTTCAGACCGTCTAGAGTATCAAGATCAGAGCTGGAAGTAACATTTTGCTGATTGTCTTCACCAGAAGATGTAGTAGATCTGCTGGGTACTGGCGTAGTGTTGTTATGGATCAGGTCGCGCAGACTGTCAAGGGCGAGTACTACAGACCCGTTAGACGAGTTTTCGACAGGAATGACAGCCAAGTCAACTTCACCGGAAACCACTTTTTCAAGACACTGGTGGATTGTAGGAATGGGGGTATAGTCTGCATTTCGTTGACAGTCTGGGGTCAGCAAGTCGACAAAGCGCATTGCGCTCTATATCAAAACCATTAGCTCATGACTCATTTTTTCAATGAAACTTTGCTCACCTCATGAGAGTATGTGCCCTTAGGGCCAAGATATGCCAAAGAAAACTTGTCTGAAGAAGCCATTGGTGAAAAGTAAAAAGGGTTGAAGATGTAGAAACTATTTCGCGAGAAAAAAAGTGTGGAAAAGGTGACTGGGAGCTTTGCAAAAAACAAATTTCATGCCACCAACACAACCCATCACAAAAATTTTAGTTTTTGTTGCATCATTTGTGATTTTTGAAAAAAAAAAATACTTCATTTTCGGATACATGGACCAGCTCATGCTATAGAGTTACTAAAATCATCTTTCTAAATGATGAAAACAAATCCTATTTTTTTTTAACTATGTACACCCTTCTAGAAAATACCCGTTTTAATCTAAAGATTCAACCTCGGAACAGAGAGCATCCACAGAAAAGTTGACATCACCATTGGTGAAGCCATCCAAAAGAGCGAGCTTGCGCTTACCAGCTGCAGTGGCAGGAGTGGCACTGTAAATCTTTTGAAGGAACAGAGTCAAAAGATGAGCATCCTCAAGCTTAACGGGGACATCCTTCTCGACGGTTCCGTTCAGGAGAGCAATACCCTTGTCAGCCAAAAGATCGCTGTGTAGAATAAGAGTTGTGTGAGGCTTAGCATACTCTTGATGCAGTTTGTACTCAGCAAGGGTGGTGAAGAGACAGTGGATGGTATAGGGACCAACAAAAGACCACTGAACCAAGTGCATCTCAATGCCGTTCTTGTCGTTCTCAGTAGCACCCTCTTGCTCAGGGGCATCACGGGGGAGAGGGAGAACAAACATAGGGTTTTGACGAGCATTTTTGTAAATATTAGCAAAAGTCTCGCCCTCAACAACACCACAAATGGCAAGAGGATTAGAGGAAAATCGGAGCTTCCAGAGCATCTCAATTTCCTTGCGGTCGTGAAGCTTAAACTTCTCCACGTCAATGAAGGTATCAAGCTCTTTGATATCTGAAGAAGGCACTTTTGGTGCATTCTTGATAGCTTCCGAAGCAGCCTTTCCAGTTTCGTTCAATGGAGCAGGCGCGTCGCTTTCATTGGCCTCATTGATTTTGGCATATGGATCCATCTTCTTGTACTGAGCATTTTGTGTTTCAATATTGTCCTTGTATTTTTCCTTGAGCTCATTAACAGATGAGAGACCCTCTTTAGTGGCCTTTGCCTCAAGCTTGGCGCGATATTTGGCAGCAATATCTGAGTTTGCGGAAGCGCCTTCAGAGGTCTCTGGGTTGAAATGGGGGAGCACCTCGGCGTAAGTACGCTGTTGCTGGGAGGCCACAGCAGCAGCCTTAGCGAGCCGGACGTTGGCAGCGCTGTTGGCAGCAACACCCAAAGAAAGTCTATTGTTCTGACGTAAAGCCATTCTAAACATTTGAGCAGAAACGAAGAGTGATATGAGTGGGGAAGGATCGAGGTAGTAAAGACTGGTGGGACTTTTGAAAAGTGAGCAAGAAAAAAAAAAAAGAGGACAAAAATAAAAAGGATGCAAGTAAGTTTTGGGTGTTGTGTGTTGGTGATCTGCTGTGCGGTAGTATTACGCGCAGCCATGTTATTGGTGCTGAAAAATCAAGTTACCCGGTCGTGGGATTTTAAACTCGATGAGACATGAAGAAGAAGAGGAAGTTGACGAGACAAGGTTTCTAATAATCGTATTCATTTTGATAAATGTCTTCCTGCTGATGAATTTCGTCTTGTTCGTAAGAGGGTTCATTTTGAAAAAATAGACTGTAAAGAGAGGATCTAAGAAGTGTGAACACAAGGGATGTTTTGGATTCCAAGGCCCGCAAAGAACCTAAGATTTTGTTTGTGGGGGTGGCCGTAAGCTGTGAGATCTCCTCGTTCAACTAATGAATGAAATATAAGAAATATAAAAAATAAAATAAAAAAAGTTAGCATGAAATGAAACCGCGGAAAATAATGTGCCAATTTAGTAACAACGACGGAATATCATGAAGAAATAATTGTTTAATTAAACGGTACGAGCAAACAAGGTTATCAAAATAAGAAAGAAACCCAAAACGGAACATGTCACATCATAATTATATTAATGAATAATAATAGTAATAATGATTATGATAAAAAAAAGAAATTTATCAATGGTTTCTTCGTAACCAGATCGTAATTAGATCAAATGACTTACCAATGTCAGATTACGCAAAAGAGTTTGATACTCTATTAAAAGCTCCTGTTCTGACGCGCTTAGAGTCTTGTCAGAAGAATAGTCTTTAGAAAGAAGCGCATTCAAATGCAGCCGTTGCTGTTGTTGGTCCATTTGGGGAGTTAATAAGGGCAGATAGGATGAAATCAAAAGAGTTTAATGCTGATAGTGGAGGTGATAATAATAATGAGGATGACACTGAAAATTAGGGATAGTCTATGTTTGTTTGTGTTAGTGATGGTGGTGATGGTGGCTATGTATGTTTCAGTCTGCCAAAGTAAATTTGGTACCACAATTGTAAAATTCAGAACTTCGGGGGAAGAAAAAAAAAAATTAAACCGCGCGGCCTTAACAATTTTTTTTTCTTTTTTTTTTTTGTTAGGAGGTAGATTTGTTGACTGCAAACTGGCATGAAAACGACCTTTTAAAGCTTGATTCAAACACGTTTTTTTTTTTTACTTTTAAGTTAGTAATAATGTTAATCAGGCTGATATTTAAAAAAATGAATGAATCAAATATGTTTCCTTAAAAAATATGTTCTCAAGGACCTTCCTTTCAGGACGAAGAGAGACGTATATTTTTTTTTTTTTTTTTTTTTTTTTTTGGTTTCGGAGTTTCCGATGCTGGGATGGCACTGACAACCTTACAAGTTTGTAATGATGCATCAATACTGTTCATAGTAATATTAGATGCGTACAATTTCAAAGCAAACCACCATAACAACAGTAATAAACCCTTGTTTGTTCACGGGCAATACGATGGAATCGCGGAGCCTTGCACTTAAAGGCACATACACTCTTTTCTCCTCCTGTTCCTACCAATCAGTGCTGCCCAAATGCTAGAGCAGCTGATGGTTATCTGATGTGGGCCTGCTTAACCAGCGTCTTTTAAGCCGCAAAAAAATCTTATCTGATAATCAACAAGCATAACACAGACTAGCTGAGGCTATACATCCCACTTATTGACCACGTGATTGATGCATTGCTGCTCTAATTACACAAAAATTTTCCCCATCAATCACATAAATATGTCTTCGCAACCGCTTGTTTTATTCGGTATTTTTTTATTTTACTTATTTTTTTTTATATATTTTAACACCTGTATTTAATATTTAAAAAACAATAAAAAACACCTACATCATAGGGTCAATCTCTTTGTTTCAAATCGCTTGGTTTTTATATTTGTTAATACTAGCAATCATCTCATTATTTATTTTACCTTTTTTTGAGCTAGTATTTTTACCTACTTCTTATTCTTTTTTTTGGCTTTTATTCTGTTACTTTTCATCTCCCTCTAAATATGTCCGGTTGGCATTTTGCTGACAACCTAACGAAACCTGACAAGATCCAGCGTGCTGCAACTACTAGCAGATATGGTATATATGCCTTCATATTCATATTCTCTTGTCTGGCCATCTTTTCTATTGCCAGCCTAGTGTTCCCTAGGGTTCACTCCATAAAGTCTATTCTTGCCTTTCGGCGGCTCCGTGATCTCGACAATACTAATAATAAAAACACTCAAGCATTTTACAAAGACGACATCAGTCATTTGCCCAATAATGATTTATCGAAAATTCATAAAACAAATAATCGTTTCAGCAATTCAGAGCTAGAAACGGCCCAACATTACCATGACCATGACCATGATGTCAATGACCTTCACTATTCGATCCACCCTAGCCACCACAATATCCGCAACTCCGAGCTCTCGGGTAGTGCGCCTTCAATCCCTGCCCCGACACGAAATCTTATAGACATTATTGAAGCACCAAGCTCGTCGAATGCGACTCCAAATACACCAAGCTCTATGGTCAAGGCGACCTCTAATACCTCTACAGTCAAACTATATTCAAACGAATGCAACTCATCTTCCTCCTCAGTCTCGTCATCTACTATCCAGCAAGATGACGACGATGGAAATATCCATAATGAATGTTCGGACGAGTTTAACTATCATTCAAGAGTTCAAGTAGATCAAGATATGCGACAGATGGTTCCTTCCCATGCTCCTACTCCTCCACGAAGTTTATCATTTAAACTTCCACCTCCAAAACCTTTCATTTCAGATACAATCGACAAGTATATTTATTTGTACAGCAAAACATTACCATCTCGTGCAGTCAAACTTCCTCTTGTTCCTGTCATTTTGTTTTGGTCAGTAATCTTTATCATTCTAACTCTTAGAGAAACTCAGCAAGAATTCACCTACCTGGCAAAGCGTCTAGGTCGGGTCCCTGTTGCATTGCTTCCAGCCACTTACTTTCTCACTCTGAGACCATCACCGCTCCCACAAACCTTTTATCTACAGCTTGTACCTTTCCACAAATGGCTTGCACGAATTGTTTTCTTAATGTTAGTGGCACACGGAATTGTTTATCTTTACATTTACTCCAACATGGGTAAACTTTCAAAACTGCTTGTTCTTTCAAACATCTCAGGAATTGTTGCATTTTTCATTTTTGTTGTTATTGTACTTACTTCACTGAAACCACTGCGCAGAAGATACTATAATACTGTTTTTTTCCCCATTCATTATATCTCAACTTGGATTGTTCTACCACTAATTTACTACCACTCACCAGGAACCACCGCTATTTACGTTTATATTTGTCTTGGAATTCTTGTTTTTCAAACTGGATACCGCATTTATATTTCACGACAAAATGCTCAACTTCCAGTGCAGTACATTTCATCTTCAATGCTCTTTGTTGCGCTGCCTCGTAACAAACTTCCAAAATCTCTCCAACACTACTTCACTCCAGGCTCTCATCTTCGCATATCATCTTCTCCTTGCATCAAATATCGCATTTCTTCTATGTTTTCCTCTCAAAAATCCTCTTCAAACCCACTCTTACCTACTGCACACACGGGCCCCAAAGGACCTAGACCAAATAGCGACCTCGTATCAAGTCTGGTCCAATCAACACATCCATACACCATTGCATCTCTTCCACAAGACCCTGTTCTTATGCTATGTATTCGTAAAACACGTTTCCCCATCCGACTCCGCAGAGCATATACTGTCACTGGCCCCTTTTCTTCTATTTCATCCCCCTTCTTGTCTGACGTTAGTAACGGACGCGTGAAGCGTGCTCTTTTTGTTGCAGGTGGTACTGGCATTGCCTTTTGTGCGCCGCTGATGCGCCACTTGAGGTCCATGAATATCCCCGTAAAGCTTTTATGGGCGATTCGCGACCAAAACGATGCAAAGGTTCTTGTCCATCTAGGGCTCGTGCAAGCTGCTTTAGAGGACCGCCAAGTCGAAATTTACGTCACACGCGGGTATCGCGCGCGCCATCAGAATCAAGTCAAGAAAACGCACGGCTTTATCACCTACCCCGATAGCGCAACAACAACAACAATGGCAGTAGCACCAGCTGCACCTCCACTAGGAACAGCCGCAACCGCCACTTCTGCAGCCGATACCGCGCAGCCCAATACCTCCGTACTTGCAACAGAATCTTCTTCACTGCTTGTCACACCCTCCCTACCAGCTTCCAATAACAAAACTAGCAAAGGCAAACTTCGTGGCTACGGCAGTATCGAGACTGGAAGTATCAACTCGAATAGCGATGACGCTGACGCTGATGATGAAGAGCACGAACAGGAGCTCCGCGCGGCAAGTGGTTTCCAGGGCATGTTTACACCCCAAACAGACGATGAGCGACTTATGGTCACAATCGACAATACGTGGTGTGATGGTGGCGAGCGTCCTTATCTTTTGAAACGAGACTCGGGTCCCAATGAGCCTGGCTATGTCGATGAAATGGGCTACATTTCTTCCTCTCCTGGTACACAGAGCGATGGCACAACTGGTGCTGCCGGAAACTCTTCCGGTCAAGGTGCTTCCTTTTCATCCCCTCATACTAAAGTCCCGCAACTTCCAATCTCTGCCACTAAAAAGAATGCTAGCATTCTTTCGACCTTCAAGAAAACGTTGTTGGGCGAAACTTCCTCTAAATCAAACCACACACTTCATAGTTCTTCGTTCAAAGTTGGTTTGGCCCGCCACAACCCTGATTTAGACTTTGACTTTACTCCCCTCATGATCAACTCACGACCAGTCTTAAATCTTAGACTGAAATCCTGGCTGCATGGCATTGCAGTCGACGACAATACATGCTGCTGTGTTGACCAGCTGCTCCAGGTCGACAAAGCTACTATGATGGGCACTTCCGCCGGCCGATGGATTCTTGCGTCTGGCGGTGAAACTCTTGTAGGTGAAACAGAGCGATGGGCTTCTGAAAATGGCTTTTCATTTTTTAAGGATGAATTTAGCTTGTAATTATGCATGTTATCACTATCATTTCTTTTCCTTCACTATTCACTATTCACTATTCACTATTCACATTTTGTTTTTTTTAGATAGACATTTTTTTTTTTTGCTTTTCAGGTTTATAAGGGTTTTTTATATGGAAAATAGACATTCATTTCATTATCCTATCATAATTTCTATTTAACGGAAACTCCAATGTTATTCCTCTTTAGGTATCTAAATTATTATATTTGCTTTGGGGGTAAATGCTCAATATTGAGTGTTGAAACAAATCTCTTAGTACACTAAAAGCTCCTGAAATGCCTAGTTTTTTAAAGTTTTTTTTTTTGAAGATTAAAAATCTTTTGACATTAATCATCAAATTTCATTAAATTTATTATCATGGTTTAGTCAACAAAAAATCAATCAATCAATCAATCAATCAATCAATCAATCAATCAATCAATCAATTAATTATATTTATATTTACTTTGCAATAAGCACATTTCGAGTGCTAAAATTCAGCTTATGATAATCGGCGTTTCTTCCGGCTAGACTCCTCAGCTTCATCTTCTTCAGCATTCGCTCTGATAATTGCACTGGTTCCCTCTTGTTCTGTCGCATTGTTTTCACCATGATAATTTGTTTTCACTTCTTCCATTTGATCATAAGTGCCAGGAGTACCGGCCGTTTCCTCCGCAACTGCCGAGTCTTTGATGATGGACTCTTCATTCTCATGATAATTCTCAGCATTTTGAACAGCTTGAGCATCTTGTTCATCCTCAACATGCTCACTTTCAACAGGCCCCTGCGAAACCTGTGCTTCTTGGGGATGTTGTGCTTCTTCATGTGTATCGTAATACTTTTCGCGCTCTTCAGTGTTTTCATCAGTAATTTGGGGTTCATCAGCTTCATGACCAATCAGATGGTTTTGATTAATATCCTCTGATTGCTTTAAAGAGTCAGGCTGCTCCATATTTTCTTGTTCCTGGTGCTGTAATTCAGGATCTTCAGGGTGCTCAGAATGCTGGTGATGGTCAAGCTCATTTTCTGGTCCTGCCATTTCATCGTGATGAACTTGATGATGCTCAATTCTTCCATCTTCTTCCGGTTGTTGAGTTTCTTGAATTTGCTCATATTCAGCTGCTGCTACTGCCACAACAGGATCCACGTCTCTTTCTTCTTCCCCAAGCTCACCATTTGCCGCCATTGCGTCTAATTTTATTGAAGCCATAACTTCTTCTTGAGTAGCCCCACCATCATCTTCTTCTTCTTCCTGATGGTGATGAACGGTATGTTGTAAATGCTGAAGCTGATGCTGCTCTGCAGCCGCTGCGACTGCTGCGACTGCAGTGGCAGCAGCTTCAGCATCGCTAGATGGACCAGGAATACCACTTGGTCCCACTTCATCAGACACTCTTTTTTGGAGACTATCATCAATTTCCGGGTGATGAGGCTCAATGGGTTGTTCGGAATGATTTCTGACTTGTTCTTCACGGTGTGACATCAAATTGCTATGAACAAAGGCCTCAGCAGCAGCTTTCAAGGTGGGTGAAAGATGAGCAGCAGTGCTTTGTTGAACTTCATTACTTGAATTAACTTCCATTCCGTCGTACTCATAATGATGAGGTTGTGGCTGCTGTTGCTGTGGCTGCTGATGATGATGTTGGTTACTTTGATTGCTCTGTTGGTTCTCAATAATTTTTTTATATCTGTCCATGAAATATTCTTGTTCGAGCTGAATTAGGTGTTGAGGTCGATTCTGCTGACCAAATCTAGAAGACAAGGTAGCAGCAACAGCAGCAGCAGCCATTGATACAGCAGCAGCAGGAGTCATGCCAGTAGCAATAGCTTGATCAATTGCAGCAGCGGTCAAATAGCCTTCCCCATTGGGGTCATCAGGAAGCATTATACCATTGGAAGATCGGCCTTTGAAGCCTGCATCAGCGTAAATTGCAGGAAAGGCATTTCTAAATCTGTCTCTAAGATCTGTTGAGCGTCTATCCATTAGGCAGAAATTTTTGTCTCGCTGAATTTTTGACCATGAAGCTTGGTGGATTTTGTAGCCTTCAAGAAGGTTACGATCTTCTTCTGGGGTAAAACTTTTTCGCTCTTTTCGTGTAATTTTAAACAGCTCTGATGATTCTCCCTGTTGTTGATTTTTTTGTGATTTATGAGTTTTGGCATTCGGATATAATCGTGAGTATTCTTCAGGGAACGACGTTCGAAATCTATCCTTGAGATCAACAGCTGTGCGACCATTGAACTGATACTTAGGATCGGTGACAATCTTTTTCCAGTTTCCTACGCCGTGTTGTTTGCACCCCTCTATAAGATATTCAGTTTCTTGGGGTGTCCATCTATGACGAGCACGTCTTTTACCAGTGCTCGATGTGATACTCAGTACCCCGGCACCAGAATCACTTGTATCATTTTCAAGTTCACGTTGTTCGTGCTGTTCATGTTGGTCATGTTGGTCATGTTGGTCATGTTGGTCATGTTGAATCTGTTGTTGTTCATGTTGGATCTGTTGTTGTTGTTGTTGTTGTTCCTGCTGTTCCTGTTCCTGTTCTTGTTGTCTTTGCCGCGTCACTGGGCCAGGACCAGCTTGTTCAGTTGATTGATGAGATATTTGAGAATAATGATGCAAAGATTCTGGTGTATGCTCAATTGATTCAGCGGCAATTTTAGCAGGATCTGTAGGAAGCAATTGAGGAAATTCCTGAATACCATTATCAAGTGTTGCTGCTGCCGCTACAACGGCAACATCAGCGGCACTAAGATAATTTCCATTGGCATTAGCAGCAGGACGAAAGGGATCATAATAAAATGAGCCCTGTCCATCAGGCCCGCTGTTAGGAGGATTGTTATTAGGAGGAGGGCTCGAAGAAGTGCCAGAAGCAACAGCTGCATTAGTAGCTTCGGCTGGAGGAGCAGTGCCAGCAGCTTCAACAGTTTCAGCAGGACTACTTGGCGCATCCACATTTGACTGTGATTGTGATGGTGAACCAGAAGCCGGTTGTGGTCTGTTCAGAGGCTCAACGTAAATTCTATTATAAGCAGCTTGAACTTGAGAATTATCCAAATTTTTTTTTTCAAAAGACCGAGGACTTTCATTTGCTGACGGCATTGTACCGTTACTGCGAGCAAGAATTTCTTCAATCTGGGCCTGTAGGTCTTTTGCTGCAGCATCAACTACAGTATTGGAGTTTGAATTTGGCGCGGAGTCAACAACTGAGCCAGCAGTTGCCGACGAGTCGTCGTAGGCAGGAGCACTTGTGGTTGCGGTGTTATTGACTTCATTACTATCGTTGCTGTCATTGGTTTCTGTAGCAGCATTATTACTAGAACGAATAGCTTGAGAACCAGAATCGGTTCTACCAGATTTATTTTCTTGCAATAAAGAAGCTGCCAGCTGAAGAGCACGTAAATCTGATCGTGGACCATTATTTTCAGAATCAATATCAATTGCGACAGCAGCGGCAGCAGCTGCAGCGGCTTCTACTTCTGCAACAGAAACTGTGGCACTATTATTTTCAGCAGTAGCAGTAGAATTAGCAGCGGCAGCAGCTTCTGCCTCCGCTTCGGCAACAGCTTCGGCAACATTTCGAGCATGTTGTTCTTCTTCTTCGCGAACAATCTCAGGGTCTATTCCAGGGGCAATGGTGGTTCCGGTAGTTTGCGATCCCGTATATGAGTTTTGCGACAGGTACATATAATCATGAGTTCCGGATGAAGTAGTTACTGAAGTGCCAGAAGTAGCTGCTGCAGATGGTGCAGATGGTGCAGACGAAGCTAATGAGCTGGTGGTTGAAACATTTTTGGGGGAAGGAGTATTTTCTGCTTGTGCTGTTTCATGAAAGGCTTGTGTTTTCAACTGAGGTTCATCCAAGTCTTGCTTTTGCTCAGGAGTATGGGTGTTAGGTGTACTCATTATTGTTTACTTAAAAAACGCGTAAAGATCGAAATTTTTTAAAAAAGACGCGTGAAAATTTATTGAAAACAAAATTTTATAAAGCTTGATGAAATTTTAGAGCAAAAAGCTTCAATAAACAAGAGAAATTAACGTGGGAATAAACAAAAGTTCTAGATAAAAGAAAAAGGCGTGTTCATTAAAACACAAGTCGTGAAGACCTGTTTTTTATATCGCGTAACGTGTTTTATTAATTTAAATTGAAATGGTCCTTGATCAATAAAGGACGGTGTCCAAGGCTGTATCCTTAAATAAAACTCGAACAGAGATTTTTTGGCGTTAAAAATGGAGGTTTGGGGATGGGCTAGGTGTAGGGTCAAGGGGTTTTTTTTTTGAGAATTGAGAAGTGGGAAAAGAGGGTTTGGGGAAAAGGAGTATTTGTTTTTTAAAGGGTTGGGGAAAATTTTTTAAAAAGAGTTTTGTTACAATTATGTTACATATTATTTTGTAATGTCACAAATCTTTCACAGTCAACTGTTATCCTAACCACAGTTTCTATTCCATAGAATTAATATAAAACTTTCGGGTTTTATTTAGAAATCCACATCTAAGAAACATTAGTAAAACTAGAGTCATATCAAGCTTTTCACCATGTCAAGAAATTCAGAAAAATCACAGTCAATGCTGTTTCGGTTTCGAGAGCAGCAGGCTGCCGAAATGGGTGTCATTAACACAGGACGAATGCGTCGTCCAAGAAGTGTTCAGACAGTTCAGGACGTTCACATTTGTGAGAAATGGAGGGGGCAAATAAATAAGGAAATTGGACAAAAAATAGTAAAAATTCAAGATCCAGCTTTATCAGAATTTCAGATTCGCGATATTAATGATGAAATTAATAAACTCATGAGAGAAAAAACTGCGTGGGAAATCCAGATCAAATCACTTGGAGGGCCCAACTATCTGCGGTTTGGAAGCAAAATATTTGATGAACATGGAAACGAAATACCTCAGATTATTACCGGCGGTGGTGCAAAATCGGGATATAAATATTTTGGAAGAGCCAGAGACCTGCCAGATGTTAAAGAAATGATTGAACAGGAAATAAAACAACAAAAGTTAAAACGCGAACAAACAGCCCAAGATAAATTAGATCAAGCAAAGTTCAGAGATTTACCAGCAGAATACTTTGGATTCACAAATGAAAAGGACAAAGAATTATACCAGAATATGCTAATAAATGAAAAAGAATACTCAGCACATCGATTTACACAAATTCTTAATAGCAAAACTAAAGAGCAAATAGTTGCAGAAGAAAAATTTGTTCCTTTAGATAATGACATAACAGAAAATGTTCCGACACAAGAACAAGTCGAAAAATATTTAATGGAGCGGTTACGTAAAAAGATTGAAGATCGATATGATATCTGAATTAACCTCTAATGTATGTTAGATTTATACTATATCATCATATATTAATTTGTATATCTTTTCCTACCTATATTACAGCAGAATTTTTTGTTTTCCCTCTTTTTCTTCGAAAGGAATTCATAGTTCGGCCACCAGAACCTACTGCAACAGCAACCTCTTTTAACAACTCTTTCTTCTTTTTCTTCTTTTTCTTTTTCACACCAACTTCGTTGATATTCAATGAGTCTTTTGTTTTTTCACTATCACCTAAAATTGTTTGTATGAATACCTTGATAAATCTAAAGCGACCCAAAATCCATCTCCAAACGCTGGTTATACCGCCAGAGTTATATTTCCTATCTTCAATCCATTCTGCACGATCCAGCTCACGTCTCCCACTATCCAGATCAATAGCAATAGCTGGTTTGGTCCGGCTTCCGGTCAAAATTTTGTGAAGCATATAAAATATGAAAAAAATTAGTAATGGAACATAATGAGCAACAAATGTTGAAGTATTCCAGCTCCCTTTAATGAAAACTTTGAATCCCTGAGTAAAGAGTATCAATAAACTTCCAAATAATCCAAACCATGCTAAATATGGTTGAAACGGCGATTTGAAGGGATACCCCAGTTCATCTCGCATCAAACCAGTTCTAGAATTGTTTGAATTAAATTGATTACGAGATTGATTTTCTGTGTCTTCATTGGGCCGACGACTTTGAATAGCAGTATAAAAACGCAAAAACGCTATAGACATGCCAACCCAGGTTACAACTGATGCAGAGGCCGATAAAATTAAAAGGTTTTGGAAAACAAAGAACGATTGTGTAGTGATGGTTTTCAGTGCTAGTAGGGCAAATGGAAAAGATGCTAAAACAGCGTATGTTGGAACTCCTTGATCGTTGCACCATCCACACAAATTCCACCAGGATGGGTACCTGATCTTTTTCTCTTCAATATAAAGCCTGACAATTCCGTATAAGGTTCGACTAGATGCATACAAATGCGAAGATCCAGAAGAAACTGCAAATACAACAAAAATGGCATTAATGGCAGATGCCAAAGAGCACAAACCAGCAGATTGAAGGGCAATAATCCAAGGAGATACATTGATTCCTATGCTGTATGCATTATACATCAAGTCATTTGGAGAATCACAGTTTGAAAAAATAGACTGGTTACTTGTATAGCTGGGAAAAATAGAGTAGGTGGTATCAGAATAATCAAAATCAATACCATATAAGTCACTGTCTCCGGCATATACATTTATCCCAAGAACAAACAACACTATGATATAAAAACATATTATTTGCCAAAAAATGTACTTTGTAGCTCTTGGTAATGATTTTCGGGGATTCCTTACCTCTCCAACACTGCTAAAAACAATGTAAGAACTCAAATATGCTCTGGGTGCTTGAATGATAGCAGTACAAACTTGTGTAAACCTTCCTAAAGAGCCAGAGATTCCATAAATTGTGACTTGGTCTGCAATCGCATCATCAAAAAATATATGAAGTGGAAAAAGCGGACGAAATGGGCCATAATACCAACCAGATTCAGGTGTGGATTTAGATGAAATCCAAAACCTGAACCCTAGCCGTTCTGATGATGATGCCGGGGTTATATTAAGAATAATTAAAAGAAGAGTCAACAGTGAGATGAAAATGATGCGTACAAGATTGACAACAAATTGAAATTCACCGTATATTCTGACACTGCAGACATTTACAAGAATAACCAGGAAAAAAATGTAAATGATCCACACTATAATGACATTATGCTCTGCAAGGTCGGGATAGTTTGTAAGCATCATTGCAGCTGCTGTGAGTTCGGCTGGTAAAGCCATTGCATTTGAAAGCCAATAGCAAATACCAATTGCATACCCCATTGACGGGTTAACAGTTCTTGCTATCGTACCTGGAATTCCTGTGTGTAAAGGTAATAATGAGACGATTTCAGCATACCCAAGTATGATCGAGTACATTATAGCCCCGCTGATAAAATATCCGAGCAATGCACCAAGTGGACCAGCCGAAAAAAGTGTATGACCAAACATCAGCATTGATGAAATTCCTATAGATGAAGCCGCTCCAATTGAGGTGAGGTGACGTGAATATAGCTTTCGTTTGAGACCTTTATGTGGAAGATGATAGCGCCCAAAAGCCGCACCAGATGTATCACTTGATGCGTCGCTATCATAATATGAAGAGGACTCGTAATCGCTATCAAAATCACTGCCATCTATATTTCCACCATCGCCGCCACCACCGCCACCGTGGCTGCTGCTCCCACCAGTATCTCGAAAGAACCTTGATATTTGAGTTATTCCTCCTTTTGTACTTGGCTGATGGGCTTTCCTTCCGGTGTAATGAATGTGACTATTACCAATTCCTATTTTGCGGCTGTAATAATCTGCAAAATTTAACCCATTTTCAGGACGAACATCATGACTACTCATGTCATCAATATTGTCTGTTTGTTGTGTTCTCATCGAAGCTCCCGAGTTCATCATTTCCTGAAAATTAGACATATCATAGCCCTCAATCACTCCATTAGTGTATATTTCTCCGCTAGGATGAGAGTATTGATTTTGTTGTCGATGGCCGTTAAAATGGTCGATAGCGTATGATGCTTGTGAGAATTCGAAATTGAGAACATCACTATCAGGATTGGCATTGGTTTCACGAAAATAATTCCCAAAATACTGTTCTTTTTTTAGGGCCCGTGAACGGCGACGCAGTTGTCTCTGCTCCCTTCTTTCTCTTTGTCTATCGGCTAAGATTTGTGTTGCAGTTTGTCTTTTATAATTTTCAAAATCCATTGATTCGTTGTTATTTATACTTAACGACCGAATAGGTGTTGAAGAACCAACACTACGCAACCTTGTAGTTTTATTATTTGTTGGTAAATCGGGACCACTTGGTGAAGAAGTATTTTTTAAGCATCCCTTTGCTAAATTTAATGAACCTTGGGTAAATGGTGATTTGAAAAAGGAGTCTAAATTTCGATGATTTCCTTTGGTTCGTTCCTTCCCCTTTTTTGAAGCATGTTGGGTATATTTAGTCGAGTTCATAATGGCACGAGCCATCGACTCAAGAGGGTCAATACTTTCATCAATACAAACACTTTCAAGAGATTCGGTATCATCAACTAAAGCAATAATGCTAGGAGGGTGGTCAGAAGCATTATCATTGTTTTCAATATTGCTTCCTTGATAATCGTCGTAAATTATTTCGGGGAATAAAGCATCAATCTCCGAGCTATGACAGCTGAACTGTTCGGTAGAATTTAAACATTCTACTGACGACAAAATAGACTCATTAGAATCTAAGTCCTTTGTTTTTTCTGAAAAATGATTTTCCGAGTGTATGTCATTTTGACTAGGTTCATCTATATGAAACTGGGACCCAGAGGCATTATCAAGTGTTTCCAAAAAAAAATCAGGTTGATAACTATCTGTAATGTCACCATGTTCCAAACTATTTATATCAACATCGTTATTGATATAGCTTTCTTGGATGCTTGGAGCATGGTAGTCGTTACGGTCCACGATATTATCTAAATTTTCAACACTTAAAGGGTGCGATAAAGATATAGCCGAAGAGGCATCTATATTATTTGGCTGAAGTTCGGATAAGCTGTATGATTCATCTGAATTGTCAAAATGATGGTTAAGTTCATTTGTGAAGCTTCTGGAGGAAAAACGAGAAATATTTGAAGTGTACGACTTGTTGGATGAATATGGTTGATTATTCATGTGTCAGGTATATATTTATGATACCAACAATGAAAACAAATGTGCAAAAAATGACAACAGTAAACTGTGGTATCTATGTCATTAGAAATCAGATAATTTCTGCAGCTGATGGCTAATAAACTGTTAAAAGATAGTCTAATTATGATGAACTTTTTCTCAAGATTAGGAGAATAAAGAAAGCTTTTTTGGTTTAAAAAAAATTAAGAAAGGGCAAAAAAGAACAAAAGCATTTTTGGGGGATTTTCTAATGACTAAGCAATCTCAACATTCTCAAATTTACTTTACAGTCCCAAATTTTTGCTTATGAAGATCAAACAGTGTCTGTCTTTGTTTGCATTCATACCAAACTTACAGAATAGAATGTGGAAATTATATTTCCATTAAATGAACCAAACTATATTGTAAATTTTTTGTTAAACAATATTCTATTATAGAATTAATTAAGTTAATAAAAAAATTCATGTTAAACACATTTATAAAGATAATATTAGTTCATAGCCTTTTTGAAAACTTTCTCAACCTTATCTAGGTCTTGGTGATCAACCTTAATGAGGTCAAGACCAAAGTAATTCTGAATGGCCTGTAGAGTCCTAAAAGACTTTTGGTCTTGAACAAAAGAAAGAGCAATACCTTTGCGGCCAAAACGACCAGTACGACCAATTCTGTGCAAATAAGTTTCAGGATCAGGTTTGCCGTCACGAGTAGTAGGAAGGTCGAAGTTGATGACAACGTTAACAGAAGGAATATCAATACCACGAGACAAAACGTTTGTAGTGATCAAAACCTTGGAAGCTCCGCTGCGGAATTGGTCAATAAGTTTGTCACGAGACTCTGTATCCAAATCTGAGTGCAGCACAGAAACAGCATGACCAGCAGTTTTCATACGTCGATATAAAGTGTTTGCAGTGGCCTTTGTGGCTGTGAAAATAATGGAAGATCCAATTGTCATCAAGCTATAAATATCGGTGAGAACCTGTATGCGTTCCTCCTCATTATCAATATCCATATAAATCTGTGTGATTTCCTTAACGTTCAGTTCTGTATGCTTAAGACGAATTTCGTTCTTTGGATTAGGAACAAATTCAAGAGCATACTTGTAAACATCATCGTCAAAAGTTGCACTAAAAAGAACAACTTGAATCTTTTTATTGAGGGCAGCCTTGACACGTTTAGACTGATCTTTCAGGGAAGGCTGGCCAACCATGTTATCAGCTTCGTCTAGAACAAGAATTTTCACAGAGCTGGTGTCAAGCATCTTTCTTCGAATCAACTCAAGCATAGTTCCTGGGGTGCCAACAACGACTTGGGCTTCAATTTTGGCGTTTCTTTCATATGAATCAGGGACAAGAACCTTGGTTGTAATCTTAGTAAACTTAGCCATCTCTTCGACGACGTCTAAAGTTTGACGAGCTAATTCGCGTGCAGGGGAAAGACAAATAGCTTGCAATTTGGGGTTGTTTACATCGACCCGGTTAAGCATGCTAAGAGTAAAAGCAGCAGTCTTGCCAGTACCTGACTGACTTTGACCAATAAAGTTAACATATGGTTCCTTCATCAACAAGGGTAACGCCTTTTCCTGAATCTTTGATGGCTTATAAAATTTCATCGCCACTAAGCCCTTCAAGAGCTCCTCAGATCTAAACAAAAAGTTAACTAAAGAAATAAGTTTTTTCTTTTGATTGATACATACAAACCAAGTTCATCAAATTTCTTAACAGAATACAAGGGGGAATTGGGATCGGCCTGTAAATCAGCGAGCTTGACAGAGACTTCATAATCATTTTTAACTATATTACTGATTTCTTCCTTTAATTCTTTGTCGCTAACATCGCTGCTGTCCTGCTTTGATTCCTCGGAGTCTTCCTTGGTATCTTTTTTTTCAGCCTCAGAGTCTTCCTTGGTATCCTTTTTTTCAGCCTCAGGCTTTTTGTCAGTGTTCAGAGCAACAGATGACAGAGCATCGGCCAGATTTTCAGTTTCCTGCGAAGTAGGGGAGTCGGTCTTTTCGTTGGCGATAATTTCATCAGCCTCCTCATTTGATATAGGATTCAATCTATCTGCGAGAGACATTTTGGATAAATTAGCTGCGATTTTTAAAAGTATAGTGTGATAGAGAAATAAAAAATAAGAACAGGGAGCTAAATTTGCTTGTCTGTCCTCAAACGGCTTGTGGGTCAAGCCTACAAAAAATTTTGTCACGGGGTTACCCTACATCATCATCATTGAAGAAAAAAAAAAATTCCAGCCACTTACTGCCTACCTTTTCACACCTCCCACCAATTTTTTTTTTTTTTTTTTCATCTCTCTTGATTTTTTCATTAGCAGAAAAAAAAATCGGTTCACACCAACTTAACCAACATGCCACCAAGATTCCCCGGATTCACACGCGCCCATGTCCCTGGCGGCGAGTGGGTTAAGACCCGCATGGTTCGCGACAACTTCAAGCGCGCCAAGGTTGCCGAAGAAGAGGTTACCAGAACCTCTCTAAGATACATTTCCAGAAACACTACGCTGCCTATGCGCACACGTATTGAGGCCCAGCTCCAGCTTGTTTCTATGCCCAACTACACCCGTACTACTCAAATCAAGAACAGATGCGTTGATTCAGGTTATGCTCGCTCTGTTATTAAGGAATTCAGACTGTGCAGAGTAAGTATCCCACATTTTTGAAATTGATTGTTAATGATAACTAACATGTTTTGATAGATGAAATTCAGAGAAAAGGCTCTCGCCGGCGAGCTCCCTGGTGTCAAGAAGGCCAGTTGGTAATTTGATTCCTATCAGATATTTGAACAATGATTCCGAGACAAACTCTCAACTGTTATGACCTTGATTTTCTTCTTTTTTTTCTTGAATCTGTAAATAGAAACTAATGAAATTTATTTGTAAATATTTTTATTGTTTTTATTGCTTTTATTGCTTTTATTGCTTTTATTGCTTTTATTGCTTTTATCATTTTTCTTTATTATGAGAGATTTAAAATATGTACAAAGGAATAGTTTTACTCTTCTAACGTTGCTCTTTGAGAGAAAACAAATCGGCAACAGACCATTCCTCATTAACATTTGTCATGGGTGTGTGCACTTCGTCAAGTCTCTTTTTGCAGTTTTCAACTTCTTCAGGCAGAGCCAAAGAAGCATACATCTTTGCCAAGTTTTCCAAAACCATTGTGGCACACAGGCCGCACTCCACGGTGGTGTTGGAAAGAGGGTGAGCTTCAGAAAAGGCACCTTCAGCCCAAGTGACAGCATCTTCACGCTTAGACTTATCAGCAGCCCATAGAACTTCAGATAAATATGACATGGTGCGGGCTTCAAAACAGTCGGGATCAGGAATACGTTCACGACTGCGACCCTCAGGTTCTCTTTTGCGACGGATAGACCGCAGAGTAGAAAGGAAAACTTCTAAAGCACGAGGATAATTTCCAGTAGCTGCATAAAACTTACCGAGTTCAATGCTAGCATTGTATAATTGTGAAGTAATGCCCTCACCGGTAGGCTTTCCGTCATTTTGGTTTACAAGCTTGGAAGAAACCTCAAGAGCAGGATCTGATATCAGAATAGCCTTATGTAGGTCTTGATTGGGACCTTCGGCAAAATAAGCCTTCATCCGAGGAGTTGCGACAACTTTAACAGCATTGACAAAGTATGATTCGGCCTTGGGATCCTTTTCTGCCAAAGCATACTTACCCAGTTGAATAGATGCAACACTCTTCAGTTCAGTCATTCCCCAAGGAATATTCTCACTGGCAAGCAGAGCAGCTTTTGCTTTTTCGCTGTTATCGTAAAGCTCTTCAATGCGTGCATATCTGATGAGAAGATCAGAATAACCTCCGAGCCAATCTTGAGATTTATCGCTCAGGTCCTCCACAGGAGTACGGGTTCCATCTTCTTGTTTGATTGTAGTCAATTCTTCAATAGCAAGTTTATAGCACTTTAAAGCGTGATCAAATTTGTTGTCCATTTCGCTATTAACACCCTCGCGAACGAGAGTCTTAACGTTGAATGGCCAGTCGCCAGGAATTTTTTGGACACCATCAGATTTTGAAGTTTCTTGAAAGTAAAGAAAAAGTACACTTGCAGAGCCAACAACGTAAAAAAGAGCCAGGCCAAGACCAACTTTACGGGACATTCGCAAGAGTCTAATACCTCGAGGACTCGAAACTTCAATTTGGGGGATTTTAAATCCTCGGGTTTGCTCCAAACTTGAAATCGGTAGTTTTGGGAAAGCATTCATAAGCTGGGGTCTGGATTCGACAGATCCAAGAAGAGTCTTCATCCTCAGACCGGCGCCTCTAGAGATGGCTGCCGGTGCTCTTCGTAACGATCTAGATATCATAGTTGTGGTATAAGGGTATGGGTGATCAAATCAGAAGTAGGCAAAAGTGCAGGGCCTTTTGAATTCTTGTGCTTGTAATGAAAGGAAGCTCTGCAAGAAAAAAAAATGGGATTGTTTATATAATTATTTACGTAATATAATATTGGTTAAAGAATTACCTAATGCTGACTGCCTATATTTGCTTTTCTAATTATAATCTTCATTTTAGTCTTAACATACAATTAGTGATAAATCGCACTAGCTATAAATTTAACGAGCTAAAAAACCTACTTGGAATATTACTTACTTTTCAATTATTTTTCCTGAAGATGATTATGAATTTATGATGGATTCCAAGTCTTCTGACAATCTCCCTATTGCTGATTCCCAGCGGACGAATTTCGATGAACAAGATAACGATATAGAAAGAGAAGAAAGCACGGGTCATCAGCCGGTAATATTTGACAATAGCAATCGCAGCACACACGAAAGAAACAATACTCCCAGTTTTGAACATGTTATTATTGAGCGACCCTCTTTGGCAAGCCTACGACCAAGCGGTGTGTCAACGCCACTAATGTTGCCGCAAACAGGACTCCAGTCGCTACGTTCTAGTCCCGGCGCATTAACCCTAGCTCATGGATTTGGTGAGGACGGTTGGAACTTTGGCATACCCAGTGGAAGCTTAGGAAATGATGACAAGCTTGAACGAATATTTACTGGTACCACAACTGCTTGCGATACAGTGATTGATGAATACCATGGAACTACGACTACAGCTGGGGCGCATACGTTGCACAATTTAGGCAAAAGTCCCAAGTACCCTTATATACCCGGAAATGATAAAGCTAAACCTTTTGGAGATATCCCTGAGGATGAAGTTTTTCCACCAGGGCCTAACACTGAGGTGAAGAAACATGCTACACGAAACAAGTCTTCTTTGCTAGGCTATCTAAATTACAAAAGAAAACGTAAAGGACGCCGAGGCTCGGTTTACCATTCCAATGGTGACGAAGAGCCAGGGATATATCTAGAACGATATCAAGATGGGCATTCGGTAATACCAGCTCCTGGGAATTCAGGGGAAACATCATCATCGTCGAGTAATAGTTTTTTTCTCAAATCCAAAAAAATATTAGAGCCCAAGTCACAACGGCGTGTGCAGAGATCTGAGAGCGATGACGATGACGACTTTTACAAGGGTAACGACATATCCTTTATAAAGAGATTTTACCGATGGCTCATTATAGGCGGCGGTATACACAAATCTACACCATTGGTTGACTCAGAGGGACGGCACCGGAATTATGAAAAATACCCCAATGATTCTATTTTCTTTTTATTTGGCGGTCGTATATTGTCTGCACGAGACACTCCTCTAAATGTGTTTATACTGGGACTTATATTAGTCCTTGGTGGCTTGTTTTTTGGGTTTATGTAAGTAGAAAAACAAAGCGGTTGGGGAGGAAAGTTTTTAAAAAGAAGAATGAATGTGCTAACTGATCTTGTTTAGAGCGCCGTGGAGCTGGAACCACATGTCTCCGGCGGTTCCCCTTACATTTGCTTACTGTTATTTAATGACTCTAATGTCTTTTTTAAAATCAAGTACAACCAACCCAGGTGTAAGTTGAGCATGTTTTAGTGTCTTTTTTTTTTTCTAATTAACTTTTTTCGTGTTAGATTTTACCACGAAATATTCATTTGGTCGGAGATAACAAGAATCTACCGGAGGAATACAAACTCTCGACGATTTTGCCGGGCCCGCATTTTGAAAGTCCAAAGGGCTCGGACATAACGCGGGTTGTTCTTGTTAATTATTGTACTACATGTCGTATTTGGAGACCACCACGAGCAAGTCATTGCCGAGTATGCAACCACTGCGTGGGTAAGTATAAATATCGGAATTTTTGAAGGACACTTTTGCTAATATCTAATGGGTAGATTTGCACGATCATCATTGTGTGTGGCTCAACAATTGCGTGGGCCGCCGCAACTATAAGTACTTTTTTAGTTTTTTGTTTTTTACATCCTTGAGCTGTCTCTACATGGAAGGTGTTTGCATTTACTACATGGTAGAATCATGGGAATATCGAAGGGAAGAGGGCATGAGCCACGGCGGGTACAGCGGCGACATGGGGCTTTCCTTCAAGGACAGCTTGAAGCATACGCCGGTCGGAATGCTTCTTGCAGTCTTAGGGTTCATTGGGTCATTGTATCCTATGCTGCTTTGTGGTCTTCATATTTACCTGATGGCAACAGGCCAACAAACTCGAGAATTTGTAAGTGAAAAGAGAAGGAATCAATGAATGAATCAATGAATAGATGGGTTTGAAAGTTGTACTAACATATGATGTAGCTTCGAGAGAGAAGTACAAGAAAACAAGGGAACAAAAAAATTGAAGGCGATTTGGACGGGAAACCTCGAAAGTACAGAAATAGACCGTTTGATACGGGGAATGTTGTGCACAATATTTATCTTGCACTTTTTCGTCCAGACATTGCAAAGTGAGTTTTTTTTTTTTTTTTTTTTTTTTTTTGGTTTCGCGGAAAAATGAATGAATGTGTATCCTTTGGGTTTACGGTTCAGCCGTGCATATATCATTTGGTTTTCTCCAGGATTTTTTTTTTTTTTTCAAAATATTGATTTTATTGCTAACTTGGATTTTTTTTTTTTTCTAGTTTTATTGAACCGAGGAAAGATTATATTGAAGGGGATCCTCGATTTGAAAGATTTCTTCCCATGGAATAGAATGATGTATTTTTTTATGTTTGTATTTGTTTGATTTTTTTTTAAAAAAAAAGGTAAAATCACAGTCTTAAATTGTCTAAATAATTTTCATTTCATTTCATTTCATTTCATTTCATTTACAAAACACCCTTTGTGCTGGGAACTTCATTAGAACCAGTCCGTGAAATAGCCTCTTTGAGTGCAATTGCAAGTGCCTTAAAAGCAGACTCTGCTTTGTGATGGTCGTTTTTGCCGCGGATAACGTCAACGTGGAGGGTGATACTTGCAGCAACAGCAAAGGACTCAAAAACGTGGGGGATCATTTCAGTGGAAAGATCGCCGATTTTTTCACGTACAAGTTGGAGTTCTGTGACACAATAGGGGCGGTTACTGAGATCGACAACAGCACGCGAAAGAGCCTCGTCAAGAGGCGCGAAGCCATGACCGAATCGCTTGACACCCTTGATTTGGCCCAAGGCTTGCTTGAAGGCAGAACCAAGAGCAATAGCGCAGTCCTCGGCAGTGTGGTGATCGTCGACTATAGATTAAAAAATGGGTTAGAAAATAGGTTTTAATGTAGATAGGTATGATGAGAAGAAAACGTACTGTGAATATCGCCAATGCACTCAAGAATAAGACTCCAACCAGAGTGTTTTGCAAGAGCATGAAGCATGTGGTCGAGGAAGCCAACACCGGAGTTGACACTAATGATTTGGGAAGAAGAATTCTGGGCAGCATGGCTGGTCTCTTCTTCGCCGTCCTTTTTGAAGAGAGACTTTTCCAAAGCCACATGGCCGCCGTCCAGCGACAGAGCGATTTGGATCTTCGTCTCGTTTGTGTTTCTAATAAGGGTAGTAACTCTTCTATCGGACATTATTATAATATTTATGTACTTGTAGATTAGAAAAAAAAATAATTAATTAAAAAAATTCACTTTTTGTGTGATATTTCAATCCTCTAATATATGAATGGGAAATGGGGAGCAGTTGTGTATCTTCTATGAGAAGCACGTTCTTTGATGATCTACGCTATCTTGATATTTTTTTTTTTTTTCACCGAGAAACTTCTTGCAGCAGCTCGAAATCCCTTTTCCGCAGTGACTAATTCTTTGCACATGATACGCACAACTATTAATGTAACTCAAGTGTAACTCAAGTGTAACTCAAGTGTAACTCAAGTGTAACAATAAAATTTGTCAAATATTAGTAATAGTACTGAAGATGGTTTTGAATTCGATGGACCATGTTCATCATGATATATATATATGAAGCAAAGAAGGTAAATGATTTAGATTTCGGTTAAAGAATTGCTCAAAGTTAAAGATGAGAACAGAAATAAGCAGTAGGGTCAATTATAATTAAACGGTGTCCAAATTCTTATCAATTATTGAAGACATTAATGGGAAAAAAAAATTAATTTTGCTTAATTGAGAGAATCTAAAAGTAATAAAGGCTTTTTTTAAGCTTAGGAGTAATACCAAGTAATGAATGAAAGAGGGTTTAATGAATTTTTTTTTTTTAATTACACCTATCATTCGTTTTTCTTTTTTTTTTTTTTATTCTACTGTTCAAATAAACAGCTTAAGTATTTTCTAGGTTGTTGAAACGATAATTGACGTCATTAATCATTAAAATAAACTTAATTAAGAAATCAATAGATAGAAAGGATTATATATTTAAAGTAATATAGAAATCTTTAATTTCAATTCAATTAGTTTACTTTCAATTAATGAAAATAAAAATACGTTTAATACGTTTAATTTATTCCAAAAAAAGCCATTTTGTTTTAATTAGCTGATCAGCTAATTAAAATGATAAGAGTTTAATAATAATAATAATAATATTTACGCAAATAATTTTAAAAAGGCTGAGCAAGTTTAATTGAGTGCTAAGTTGATTATAATCAAATTAATTGAGGAAATTTTAAATAAATGATTTTGGAGAAAAGCTTGTGATAGTTAAAGTTGAACGGCGTTAATATGGAGAGGGTTTTTTTTTTGTTAACATGTTAAAACTAGTTGATTTTAAAGAAAATAAAATATTTAATGGAAATGTACAAGTGTCACAAAAATGTGTACAGTTGTGCAAGGCACCGAGGTTGGAGTTGAACGAGTCCTTTTATTAAAATACAATGAGAGAGAGTTTACTAGGTAAGCTTTAAACCATTTGCGTGGTTATTTCAACAACAAGATCTAGATTTAAGTGATGGTGATGGCAGTTGAAATAATGAACAGAATTGACGAATTGTCATAAATATTTAAATTAATTTAAATTAATTTAAACCATTGATTGATCATTTAATTTCTTTTTATCTGATTATATTAAAATGGACCTTTAAAAGCAAGTCAACAGAAGAGCAAAGCAAAACATAGGTCTTACAAGAAATGGCTGTGCGGTGTTGTTGTTGTTGTTGCAGAGTTGAGAAATGGGAGGTGGAAACACAAGTCCGGGTAATTTTCTGATGGACACTTGATTTAGCAAGTATGTTTTATTTTTATTTTTTTGTGTTATTGTCATACGTGTTACAAAATTTACATTTGTGTAAACGAGTCTGGCAGCAAACCTCAAATATGAGCCTCTTGAAAAAAAAAAAAAAAATATTAATTGTTACAATTACAAAAAGAAAATAAAAGAAATAAAACAGGAATATTTAAGAAAAAAAATAATAATAATAAACGATGGTTGCCTAGACTGCCACAGTTTATTTATTGATTGAGCCAATTTTTTTTTTTTTTTTTTTTTTTTTTTTTCAAAACAAACAAAAATGATGAAAGCCAATGTTTGATTTTTTTTTTTGTCAGTTGTAGGAAATTGGTCTTATGATAATCATCTAATAATTTTATTGATGAATTCAATTTGTTAAAAATTTAAAAGATGATAAAAATTATATATATATATATTTTAAAAAAAAATAAAAAAATAGTTAGTACAATAACTTACCGAAATGCAATGTCGGCTAAAGGCAGGCACATGCGCCGAGATAAGCCGAAGCGCTTACTTTTTATATAAACAATTATGAGCATGGCCAGACAGTCAGTCAGACAGTCAGACAGACACCAGCCATCCAGCCACTCCTCTCAAAAAGAATAACTTGGAAAGAAAATAAAAAAAAATGACAACCGAGAATCAACCGAGTATAATTCTTAATCATTTAATTAGAGAAAAGTACTCTTAGACTTCTTAATATAAATATATATACAAAGTTTTTTTTTTAAAAATTTCACTGAAATATATTTTCAGTTTTTTTAGAACAGCGCCTGTTAGTGTATTAATATTGTTGTCTAACTAAGCAAAAAAAGCGCGTGAGGCATTCCAGGCTATGTTGGCTGTTAATTGCTGTTGCTGCTGCTGCTGCCGTTGCTGCTGTTGCTGGCTGCTATCTGTTGTTGCAGCTATTGCTGTTATTGTTACTGTTACTTATGTGTATGAAAGGTTGACGCGTGGTAGTACGTTACTTTAAAAAAAAAAAAAATGACATGTCACCACCATAAACTTACCACATGTAACAACTGCAGTTTTACCTCCTTTGCTCAGTTTGTTGTTGTAACAAAAATGTTTACACCAAAATAAATAAATAAACAAATAAATTAATAAAAAAAAAAATAACATTGCCACCAATTATTGTTTTTTTTTTTTTTCCTGTCCCCTAGATTTTCCTTCTACTTACTCTTTTTTTTTTTTTTTTTTTTCGTTTTTGCCTCCCTTCCTTAACACCCCGTTCAAATCAAAACACCTTTAAACCTACCCTCCCTTTTTTTCACCACCACCACTACAACTACCTTCAACACCACTCCTCTAAAACAACCCACACCATCCTTCTGGATATTTCTCTCAAATTTACATCAAAGTAAGTAGACTTACTCTACCATTTCTTATTCAATTCACAAAAGTCGTTTCGCAGCGTCTTTTTTTTTAGCTAGTGCCCAGTTTTTGTTTGTGTGTGATTTTTTTTTTTTTTTTTTTTGGCTGGAAGGAATTTATTTACCTTCATTATCATTGTACTTCATCAATCATCAATCATCATCTTTACAATCAAAAACATATATCTCTGATCTATTCTCAACATCAATCTTTCATTTCAACTTCCTCAATCGCCCTTTAATAAAGAATAACGTGGTGGAGAATCGATTGCTTCATTCTATTTGGTCTTGCACCACCCATTGCTGATGGATTGGTTCTTTATTTTACTACTCCATTCCGGTCCACCTCCTTTTTTTGGTGTGTTGTGATGTGTTGTTATTTTTTTTAAGACTCCCTACCATAAGGACAGCGCTCATCCTTTTCTTCCCCCTATTGCTTGTTGTTATTATTTTCTTACTTGGCCTGCAACACATTGTGTTTATTTCACTCAGAAAATTTATCAGTTATTTCGTCTTGCTGTTGACTCTACAAATGAATAAATCCACGGACTATAATGATTATGATGATGACGATGACGATGACGATGATTGATATAAATGCCACCTTTTATCCTCATTATATTTGGGGTTTTTCCTTTTCTGGAAATTTTTTTTTTTTGCTTAGGGTTGTTGCTTTTTTTTGCCACTTTTTTTTTGATTGGGCATTGTCAATCTTTTCATAACACTGCTTCACTTTTTTTTTTTTTCCACATCAATTTTCTCATCACTCAGTGTATTTAAACTACCTGGGGTTCCCTCCTCTTTTATTATCTATCAACAATCTATTTAGGCACACACAAACAATCGCTAATTCTGGAATTTTCAATACTTTAATCAATTTACCATTGATTTGTTTTCCTAATTGATCGAAAAAACAAAACATTCTAACTCTTTACTTCAGATGTCTACCTCGCGTGAAGATTCCGTCTACCTTGCCAAGCTCGCTGAGCAGGCCGAGCGCTACGAAGAAATGGTCGAGAACATGAAGGCCGTTGCCACTGCTGGCGATGAGCTGAGTGTCGAGGAGCGAAACCTTCTTTCTGTTGCCTACAAGAACGTCATTGGTGCCCGCAGAGCCTCATGGCGAATTGTGTCATCCATTGAGCAGAAGGAAGAGAGCAAAAACAATACTGCTCAGGTCGCCTTAATAAAGGAATACAGAACTAAGCTTGAGGGTGAGCTTGCCAAGATTTGCGACGACATCCTCGACATCTTGACCAACCACCTCATCCCTGCCGCTAAGACTGGCGAGTCCAAGGTCTTTTATTACAAGATGAAGGGTGATTACTACCGTTACTTGGCTGAGTTTGCTTTCGGTGCCCAGCGCGAAAAGACCTCTAAGGAATCTCTCGATGCCTATGTTGCTGCCTCCGACATTGCCAACACTGATCTTGCTCCTACCCACCCCATCAGACTTGGTCTTGCTCTTAACTTCTCTGTCTTTTACTATGAAATCCTCAACTCTCCTGAAAGAGCCTGCCACCTCGCCAAGCAGGCCTTTGACGATGCCATTTCTGAGCTCGACACACTCTCTGAGGATAGCTACAAGGATTCTACTCTCATTATGCAGCTGTTACGCGACAATCTGACTCTTTGGACCTCTGACATGTCCGAGATTGACTCTTCCGCCAATGCTGCTCCTGCTGCTGCCGCTGCTCCTGCTGCCGCTCCTGAATCTGAGGAGGCTGCTCCTGCTGCTGCTCCTGCTGAGGAGGCCGTTAAGCCCAAGGCTGAGGAGACTGCCGATGAACCTGCCACTGCTGCTGCCGCTTCCTAAATGTTGAAAGCCCGTGTGCGTGTGTGTAATTAATGAGAAAGTATATTATGGATAACTTGATGGAATTTTTTTTTGTTTTTTTTTCTCTTTTCCCCCTATATTTCTTCCCCTATTCTCTGTTTATTTTTTAAAAAAAAATTTAAAAAAATATTTGATTTATTAATGTTTATTTTTATTATCATTGTGATTCACATTTTTAATTGAAGGAAAGATTAATGAAGATTTTTGAAGATATTAGTAGTAAAGGCTATATGTGTATGATTGATTTTTCGTCAAGTTATTTTTTTTTTTTTACATTGATGGCTGGTGATCACTTTGACTTTTTTATGCCTCCTTTTTCATTCTATATTTTAATATATAAAGTACACAAAAAAAAGATAAATGATTAAAATGAAATTGTTTATTTAAGGATTGATTAGTGGAAGAAATCACTGTTGATATAACCCTATAATGCAGATTTAATCTCTAAGCCTGGAAGAAGACCCTCTTTTTTTTTTTTTTTTTTTTTTTTTTTTTTTTTTGAAAAGGCAATTCTACGAGCGAATTTTTATCTTAAAATAATGTGATTAGGAAGATACGCCATTTTGTCAAACAAACAATAAATAAGAAGAAAAAGAAGAAAAAAAAAGGCACAATTATGTCCTAAGGAACAGAACAGATGGGTTTTAGAGGGGGGGTGGGAATATGTGTACAGCACAATGGAGGCTTATACCGACATACGTGTCATCACGATTGCAAGAACCTCTCAGAATTAAAAAAAAAAAAAAAAAATTGTGGTTTACAATTAAAAAGGAAACGGAATGAAAGGTGTATATATTAATCTTTAAGGATAATGATGAATCACCAGTTGTTTCAATGTTGAAGAATGATTATGAATTTTTTTATTAATTTTTTTCTTTCTTTCTCTTTTTTTTTTTTTTTTTTTTTTTGGTCATCATGACCTTGAAAAAGATGAAAATGCCAAAAAAAAAAAAAAAATTAATGGACGATAAAAAGGGTCTATTACACATCACCCTTAATTAAGGACATTAAAATTCTAAAAAGTTATTTGAGAAATACAGTTGCTCAATCAGGAGACTTGCGCGCTTTCGGAGGAGAATATTCTCCTCATTAATAAAAAATAAAATAAAATAAAATAAAATAAAGAAAGATGATAAATTCTAAAGTCTATTAGAATCTTACTTATTTGGCACCTGTTAAGGTTCGTCTAATATTACGGTTGTTGTCTTGTTTGAACAAGAAAAGAAAAAAAAGAAAGAAAAAAAAAAAAAGTGTGTGGTTAATGGTAAAAAAAAAATTGAAGGAATAAGACAATTGAGTTCAAAAGTTTTTTAATGCCTGCTTTTTTTTTTTTTTTTTTTTTTTTTGCATTTATAACTTCTATCATAGGCTATTATCGTCTAGTTATAATAATAATTGCACTGTGATATATATATATATATATATGAACCATAGTTAACCAGTTTAGCATAGCACTAACAGCCAGAATTCCAGACAAGGTATATCGTGATAATCAGTGATCACTTGTTTTACGGGAAAAACAAAAATGAAAAAAAAAAAAAATGCTGTTTCATTAAAGTCTTTTGGGTTTCTTGTTTTTCTAGAGAATTCTTTTATTTATTTTTTTTTTTTTTTTTTTTTTTACAAAATACCTCTGGCCTTGTTTGAGATCTTTAATGACGGTGTTATTTTTTTATTTTTTATTTGTTAGATGCACTGCGGCTTGTACTCTTTCTGTGTAACAAGACACTATTTTTTTATTAAAAGAAATCATCGGAACCCGGAAATAAATAAAATAAAAATAAAAAAAATATATAAAAAATAAAAATTTTGCAATATTTGAGATGGTTTGTTAAAAGACAATTAAAAGGAAACTGGCGAGTACCAGTTTTTATTGGTTTATCTATCCATATGGTTTAGTCTAAAATAAATTTCAATTCACTTACATCATAGGCTTTAAAGATTGATAAAAGTAAAAAATGGCCATCTGTAGAAGTTTTTTTTTATGCCTAACAATATTGAAATTTTTAAAGAATAAACCGTTTTTTTTTTTTTTTTTTTTTTTTTTTTTATATATAAAATGTTTATATACAGATATCATGATGAGTTGTTCTAAGCAGAGCCTGGTTAACGGTCACCGATTAGTATTACAAACTCACTTACCATATCGTATCTAAATAGCTTCCATAAGAAAATAATATATATATATATATTTATATTTATATTTATATTTGTTACCACCAAGAATAATTATTCTTTAGTTGGTGTGTGGCTTATTCATTTGTACTTTAGCAAACCACCACCACCACTACAACCACTACAACCACTTTAAACCGCGGTTTTTTTTTTTTTGCTCCACGTTTTTTTTTTCTTTTTTTGGTTCCCTCTCTTAAAAAAAAAAAAAAAAAAACGAACCACATACGTAGCCTTACACCTCTAACCATCATCTATCTAAAACACAGTAACTCTCAGTCTGATTAAGTATATGATATCATATTTCCTTTCCCCCCCACTACCATTACCCACACGTTCTTTCCCCCCCCGTTTTACACGACGACTAGTCAGCCCAGCTTGCGGTCTCTGCCACACCTCCTAAAAAAAAAAAAAAAAAAAAAAAAAAAAATACGTCTCTCTTTTATCTCTCAACATCTTCTTCTTTTACTTCAACTAAAACTATTTCTCAACTTCCAATTCTCTTTAACGACAAGAAAGAAAATAAATAGAGGCCTTCTTTTTTTTTTTTTTTTTTCTCAATATATATACAAAACAATTTAAAGAACATTTATCATAATGCCTATCTCTCTTCCTCAGCTCGGGTCTTTTGACCTTTCCATTGCCTTTAGACTTGTCAATCTCGTAGTCGGCGTCCTCTTCATCCTTGGCGGCATTTCCCAGTTTTTCCCAGTTTCTTTGTAAGTCTCTGAATCTTTTTATTATCTCCATTCAATACACCTTGTTCCAGTAACCAGAAAACCAAAAAAAAAAAAAAAAAAAAAAAAAAAAAACAGAACAAAATACAAAAAAAAGCAAACAACCAATGTTTCTATAATTACTCATATTCTACTTTGCAAAATTTCAATTCTTAATCGGAAGTACTATTAAGGAAAAAAAACAAAACTGTTGTCTTTATTATTCTTTTTAGTCGAAAGAATACAAGTAGCACTTCAGGGACTTCAATTGTGTAAACTACACTTTTTTTTGTCTCGTTTCTCCACAATTTTTTTTTTTTTCTAAAAAAAACAAAAAAATACGGGCAACGGTTTTTCATCTATACCCATACAACCTCTTCTTTCAGAGAAATACCTTCTTTTATCGAAAAAAACTAAATTTGGTTAAATATGAATTATCCTTTTTACTAATTAACTAACTGTTTTTTTTTTTTTTCTTTTTAATTGACTATAGCCAATCTGTATGTATACACTTCATGAACACGTCAAATAAGCGCGTCACAAATATCTCTTCACAAACAATAAAACAACATTATATAAACCAATCTCTTTTATTTTACAATTTCAATTACTCACATACCTTTTTTTTAGACAATTATTGGAGTCTATGTCATTATCTTTGGTTTAGGTCTCATCTTACTAGGTACGCAGAGTTTTTTTTTTACCCTTATACACTTTAAAAATACCCCATAATCATATTTTTAAGCCAAACTAACCATTGTATTTCTTTTCCACTATTTTTCTTATTATCAATTTCAATTCTTATTTCTTTTTTAAAAAAGAATTCCGTGTTCCTCCTTTGACTTACAGCTACGCGTCTTTCCTCTTTTCCTTCGTTGGCCGCGGCATCTTCTACACCTTCATTGGTTCCTTGCTGCTTCACGACCACGTCCTCAGAATCGTTGGGGGGTCCGTCATCATTTTCATTGGTGTTGTTTACATTCTCCTTGAGTTTGTGGCCAGTATCCAGAAACCATACAGCATGATTACTCCTAATGATGGTGGCTACGAGGATCACACCGAGACTTTATAAGAAAGAAAACGTATACGAAAAAAAATGCAAGAGAAACATAGCAATTGAACATGTCATGTTACAGAATGAAAATGTTTCATTCAGAATTTTTCTTTTTTTTTTTTTAAATATAATAAGGTAGTATAGTATTTTTTTAGTAATTTTTTTTTTTTTTGGAAAGTTGATAGAAATAATAGCGAAGGAATTGATTTATTCGCAAAAATGAAAAAAAAAACGAGTATTTAAACAGAGCGAAAAAGTACTTTTTGAATCCTAAATTTACACAAACAAATTTATGGCTACAGCTTCCTCAATTCACCTTAAACAACGGTTTTCTTTCGTTTTTTTATTAGTCCTTGTCATTATTGTAAACATAAACATAGTTTAAAACAGTGTTCTATATGCAGCAATTAATTTAAATTTTTTACTGGCCTCCTATATTTTAGAAAGAAACAGAAGTTACACCCTGCCAATGATAGTCAATCAATAGGTTTCCCAATTAGTTAAACCAACTGATTTCTCCTGGTATTGAATATTATGCAAAAAAAAAAGAATGGAAATAAAAAATCATGGAGCCATAAGTTAATTAGCATTCAAAGTATAGATATTTGCCAGAAAATGACTCTAAAAACTTATCGATAGCCGAGCCAACAGTAGTTGAAGAATAATAAACTCAAAAAAAATCTATCTATATGCGCAACTCATTGATAGATGATTATTTTTTCAAACGAATTCATAATAAATTTATATCTGCCTTATTTCTTTCTACTGTACTATCAAATAAATTATAGAAAATGTTTATTTTTGTTATTATTTCAACTGTTAAAGTTAATGGATACTGGCGATGATTTTTAATTAGATTTTTTTTCTGCTAAAAAACTTGGCCAATATAGATTCTATATAAGTAAAGAGAAAATCCCAAAGGAAACTCGGCATCTAATTAGGATAATGGATTAAATATTGTTGAAGAAATAAAACAAAAAAAAAAGGTTTAGAAAGAACCAGATTTTAGGGTATGAAAAACATGATGATATCCAAGTTAATGCGGCAAAATATAGGAAAAACTTTTGAAAACTTAATTGGAATTTGAACAATCTTACGATGACAATTATAATAACTATTTTTTATACTCAGAATCAAATAAATATATTTATCTAGTGGGTTGTTTGAAATGAAATTTGCGGTTCCAAACATTTAATCAACTAAGAACAACCGAAAAAAAAAAAATCTGGCAAAAAAACCGTGACTAAGCGATAACAGTGTGTCTAGTGACAGTAAGGCTACCTAATCCTACACTAGAAGCATCCATCCGAACAAAGTAAAGTCGTCACCAAGCTTAGCAACATGGAAGGGTATCATCTTTAAATCACCTGTTTAAGCATAAATAGTAAAATTTTATTTTCCTATATCTACAGTTTTTTTTTCATTATTTTTTCATTATTTTTTCATTATTTTTTCATTATTTTTTCATTATTTTTTTCTTCATATTCTTCTTCGAAAATTTAATCATTTCTATCAGAACAAGCTTCCAAAAAACAAAATGGCTACCACGCGCAAAAATCTTGTACTTCTTGCTAAAACCGCAGAAGAAGCCGAACGCTACAAAGACGCGGCTAAAATTATGAAGGCTATTGTTCATACAGGCAAAGAGCTAGATGACGAGGAGCAGACTCTCCTTTATGACATCTACAGACATTTGGCTCATAATCTCAAAGTTTCATTGAAAAACTTGTCGCCTCTTGTACAAGAAGAAACAGACAAACACAATTCCAAGCATCTTCACTTGGTACAAAAACAAATATCTCAAATCAAAAAAGAGCTAATCAACACTTGCTGTGATATAATTGAAATCCTAGAAGAAGATCTTATTCCCACAACAACGTCAAATAAAAACAAGGTTATTTACTACAAGATGAAGGGGGACTATTACAATTACTTAATTAATCTTTACAGCGGACCTCAGCATGACGAAATTGTCCAAGAAGCTTTGGAAGCCTATGTTTTTGCATTTAACATTGCCAATAAAAATCTTTCTCCTACAGATCCTACCAGACTTGGTGTTGCCATAAACTTTTCAGTATTTTATCATGAAGTTATTAAATCCACTAAAAAATCCTGCGAAATTGCACAACAGGCTTTTAACAGTGCCTTTGAAGCCCTCGATACATTGACAGAAGATAATAACCAGAAAACGATTGCTTCCATGGAGATTTTACGTGATAATATATCTATCTTTAGCTCTGAAAAATCCAAAGACTAATTACATTGTCAAAATTTTGTTTTTAATCTATTATATTGTAGAATATATAGTATCTCTAATCATTGTTATTATTTAAGTGTTTACGTTTATTTCAAATATTTATTTTCAGTATTGCGGCATTGATTTCGTATTTTTTCATAATTAGCGTAGAATTTATTGTATCTTATTAACAGGTACAGGTGATGATGACTTTCTCAAAATGATGGGATTTAGAGATATTTTTACCAAAAAAAAAAAAAAAGAAAAGAAAATTGGAAATTTCTTGATAAACAATCTTATTCCCTTGAAGCACAGACATATTATTCTTAAGAGAAATCATGGGCCAAAATAACTGGGGTAAAGGGTTAGGGTTTGGATTTGTAACCATAATTGGATTGCCTGTAACAATATTATATCGGGATATCATCAAAGAAATTCTCATAGCCTCTACTTAGGTTTTAACAATGTTATAAGGGGGTTTAAATACTTTAATTTAACCTCTTCTAGATGCCAATTTGCTCTCACAATGCTTTTGTATAAACAAATATTTGTATTTAATTAGATACAAGGTTAGATATATTTGAAAATTTGAAAAAAAAATATCTTCTTAAACAAAGATACAAAAGTGTGAAAAATAAAAAAAAAATTCAGTTGCTTTCATTGAGTTCTGAAAAACTCAAACCATTGAAGAAATGATTTTTATCTATCAAAAACTTTAAAGTAATTTAAAGCTCACCTGAATGTTGGAAGTTGAGCTATCTCCAATTACAAGGTCAATTCTAGGCTAAAAGAGAACTTAAACAGAAAAAACGGAATTCAATATTGTGGGCAAGTAATATTGTTCGTTTTAAGTTTGCACAAAATTCAAAGTGCTATGTAAAAGATTAAGCACACGAATGCCATAACTCATCTTAAAGATGAATTAAAAATTAAAGAAGCTAATCTTTTTTTTTTTTTTTTTATGCCTGTAAGGAAATGGTTGAACTTTGCATTTATTATTTTCCAGTTTTGTTTCTTCTAAACAATATCAAAATAATAAAATAAAAACGACATCAAGAAAGCCTGGTTATTTAAAAACAAATACAGACTTAGTGATAGTTGAGTCGAATCTATAGCAATATTATATAAATAACTATAAGGCCTAGCTGAAGCAAAGATTTACGAATGTAAAGAAATTTGTTCCAGTTAGGAACAAATATCTCAACTATTTTCTTTATATCACTTTTAGACATCAACCTAAATGATCATTTAGTAAACTCTTGAAATTCACCAATTATATAAGCGTATAAGCCTGTATAAATTTAAAATGTCCACAAAAAAGAGTTTTTATTTGATATTGCTAAATTATATAAAGGAAAAGGTTTCTGCTGAGATGACCAGTAATGACGTGTTTTGATGTTAGCTTCTTTCTTACTGAAGAAACTTTTTAACCCTTGAAAGAAAACAAAAAAAATAGTTTTTATCACAAATTTTAATTATTCCCCATGTCTCAAAAAAAAAGTCAATAATTGAGTCAATATCGTTGAAGACCCAAAGACTCAGGAAGCTCCACGAATACGTGAACAAATGCGATATATACAAAAAAACTATTTTCTAATCCCCAGAGCTCTTAAATTCTTTTAAATCTCGCTTGCGTATTGAAACTCCAACTATGACCGACTCTCATTCATATACTACCTCCAAAACTGAAAATAAACTAACTAAAGATACCTTGCGCAAAGATCTTCACATCATTCCCAAGTTTGCACAAAAAGCAAAACGCTACGATGATATGACTGAGTACATAAAAGCTTGTGTCATGGTGGGGGCGGAATTAAACACTTAGAAGTAAATGGTTCTTGTTAATACATACAATAAATTAGTTGGCTCTAGCAGAGACTCAATAGAGGTGTTATTGTCTTTTGAATTGGATTATAGAATTAAAGAGCCTGATTCACAAATTGTTTTATTAAAAAGATACAGAACCAAGTTTGAACAAGAACTAAAATATATTTACAGTTAAAATTCTTGAAACAAAGCTTATCTTTATTGCAGATTTCCAGCGAAAAATTCGTTTTGATGAGGAGTGTGATAGTTTTATTGACAGTATACTGTGATAAAACTTACTCTTATGCAAGTTTCCTTGCAAACCAATTGTTTTGTCCTTTGAACTATTGACAGACTTTAATATTGCTGTTATCCTTTCTAACTTTTGCCATAAAATTAAAATTTTCTCAGAGGCCCTCATTGTTGCCCAAACTGCTTATAGAAATGCAAGCACTGATGTGATTTTAATGATTCAATACAAATACAGGACTTTACATATTATTAAGGAAGACCATATCTCTTTGGTCTTTGGAAAATATTAAAGTCTGAGAGTACTTTATATATAATTTGGCATGATATCATTTCCCATCTTTTATTTTAATTTTTTTGTTTAGGCCAGGTTAAAAGCACTCTTTGTTAATCATTTTCAAAGAATTATTGCTAATATTACTATCATTATACTAAGCGGTATTAATTAAAACAAAACAAAACAAAAAAAATTCATTTAGAAGTGGTTCCAACAAAATTTCTATTGTTTTCAAGACATAAAAGGAGTATCCTGACCATTGCAATGTGCCTGTATTTCTGTAGGAGTTTAGCTATTATAATTGAATAGAGAAGCAGTAGTGAAAGGACACAGCCATTCAATGGCACTCATTACAAATGAAAAACTAAACAACAGAAAACAGAAAAAACTTTGGAGTTTTTTTTTCTACTCTAACCTGGTATTTTTGAATTTTTAGTTTAATATGAAGCTCTCAGTTTCTGAACAGTCACCAACACTGTTCAGAAAAACTATGAACACAAACCACTTGACTAGATATCACTGTGCCTCTTAAAGGTAGAATCCCACTTTTCACCAGTGTATTTTCTAAACAAAAGATTAGTAATCAATACATATCTAAGTAAATAATCACACATGTCAGATTTATCGATATATTTATCTGTATATTTTAATTAAGAAGAAAACCATTCATTTGACTTAACAAAACTTATTTCAAAATTTTTATTCATTCACTAAACGCCTTTTTTCAGTTACCTATAATGTATCAAAGACCTTTCGATAACCGAGTTAATGTCGTTCAGAGCGGAAATTCTGAAAGATCTGCTGATAACCGAGTTAATGTCGTTCAGAGCGAGAGTTCCCTGAGGCCTCCCTTAACACCAGAACAAATCAAATTTATAAAAAATCAAATATTTTCATCTCCAGAACTTTTGAAGTCAGTTGAAACTTATCTGAAAGATAAAAACTTAGCTACGACAATGAATAACAATTTGAAACCTCCAGAATACAACGAAATTGCTAGAAATATTGATCCATACAGCCAATACGGATGTATATGCGATGGATGCAAAGAAATTTTCTTTGGAAATTGGTATCATTGCAGTTCATGCATGAGTTATGATTTATGTTTGCAATGTTTTGCTAGTGCCAATAACATGCAAAACGATCATTTACGAAAACATGGGTTTTTTCTAGTAAAATCGCATCGCGATGAAATCATCCCGCAAAATTTGCACAAAATGTATTATAACCCTGGAGCTTGGGAAATTGTTTTTGGGCAAAACCGCTCTGTTCATTCCCACATATCCTGTGATTATTGTCATATAAGTCCAATTATAGGTGAACGCTACAATTGTACAGTTTGCGATAACTTTGATTTATGTGAAAAATGCGAAGCATCACCATCAAAAACTAGACATAACCCAAGTCATCCTATGATCAAATACAAACTTCCAAAAAAAATATAAACCAGAATGTTTTCTTATATCATTACTCATACTAGGGACAAGTTTCAATTTATTTTTAAATTGAAAAATTTAAAATTTTGATACAATAAATGTTTATTTATTTATTTATTTTTATTTCAATTTTATGAAATAGATAAGATAGGAATCAATTTTATTTATTTTTTTTTTTTTGCTTTTACTATATTTCCTTTTGTTTTCACAATATCTTTTAAATCAATGAATGTTGAGGGTTATCAACACAGCTTGTTTTATAACACAATAACTCCTCTCAATTTAAATATTTATTTTATTTGAGTTAAGAAATCATTTTTCAAAAAAAAAAATGCGTCATAATTAACAAAAAAAGGGTTGTTGAAAAAAAAAAAAGATTTTAAATGAATATGATTGAATATATATATTCAATTTGCTGAAAATACTGTACAGAGATTTGTACTCCATTTTTCATTAATCAGAACAGACCCTAACCCCTTTGGAATCTTTAAAACCTCTGTATTTTTAACCACCTATATTCGTACAAAATTTAGATCCATCCAAAACGTCTAAGTAAATTACGTAATTAATTATTTTGACTAATCAATGATGCAGAAGTCTCAGGTCAGAGTCTGATTTAACTAAAATTGTCGAAAGAAGTGTACATAATACAGTTGATAGGACTATTTTTCAAATGGCTGATATTAATTAAAATTCCTTTTACAAAATCTCCACAAAATTGTTCGCCAAACCTTTCAAATAATTGTTTCTACGATGCTGCTTCAAATGGATTAGGTCCTTTGTTTAAGAAAAATACTTTGCTAAAGAAAACATCTTTGTTTTAATAGTCACGAAACCATTTTCGTTCTAACCTATAGCGACAACTAAATAAAGGGATACAATTTTTTTTTACTACTCCTTCCCATATTCTTTCTTTTCTACGTATCGTCGTTAACAACGAGTGCATCATTGGTTTACAATGGAGAAGTCTTTGCAAACGGGGGAAGATCCTAAGTCTCTTTTATATGGTCAACATATTACTTTGATAACTGAGTTGTTAACCAACGCCTTTAATATTCGACCCTGTTTTAGTCTGGCGGTAAGATCCCATCCCGTTCTGTCCCATCATACACCCTCAGAACAAGCAATTAATGAGAAGTTTCAAGGGTTTTTAAAAGATGAAGTCTATTCTAGAGTTGCTTCTTTAATGGAAATTTATCACAATGCTGCTGCCAATAATACCCTAGCTTTAAGCAACAATCAAGAGACAACGTCATCAATTCATGAACGAGCCATAGGTGCTCTTCACCACACAATTTACTACTACCAAACGCAATGCCTTTCAAACCGGCCCAATCAAATAAACCCCAACCAAATTACAACTAAAACCTTTGATTCAATTTTGGTATTGTCATTTATTTCTGAATGCGAAAGGAGATATGAATTTAATCAGGAGCTTCTCAAGATGGAGGAATTTTTAATACTACCAGAACAAGATATACACAGAATACGAGAAATGACTTTAAATGACATGTGGCAGTCTTTGATTTCAACACTGGACAGATGGAGTGAAGAATTTTTAGTAAACGAAGAATTTTTGTCAATGCCACAAACCATTCCAGGTGTTTCAATGACTGAGCCTTTGGATGAAGAATTTAAAGATAATGACTACGATACTGAGCCCGAAGATGTTATAATGAAGGGTGAAGAATTCATTGGGTACATTGGATTTGGTAAGTTTTTATTACTTGGTGCTCTAACTATTCTTTCTAACTTTTTAGGCCCGAAAGAACCTCTTCTCAATTCCTTTAATGATTCGCTAAAGCTCCCAGATACCCCGTTTCGACTACCAACTGCTATTTTGGAAAAGCTTGATTATTATAATGATTCGGAATCTCGTCTTGATTCTGATGATTTTGATGATTCTGATGAGTCAGATAGAGTAACTCCACCTACAAAACCACTTACACAAGCTGAAAAGCATTTTCAGAAACAACAAGAAGCTATGGCTATTCATATCAAGTTTCGCCAGCTACTCCATGTTCGTTTTAATGAGTTAGATAATTTACGCCAGCATGCTGTTTTAGCTTCAGATGACCCTCTTTATGAAGTTTCACAGCAAGCGAATGATGCAATCAAGCAACGGTTTGAGGAAATTTGTGAATTTTTAGAGACCTATCATAATCAAGGATGCTCTTCAAAACATAAGGGAGAGACTTTTCAATCTTACACTTTATCACTTGCAGAGTATCTCAGCAAACAAAAGAACAAAAATTTAAGTTTCAAGGAAGCTCTTGAAAGGGCAAGCCATCATTATGGGCAACAAGCTACGGATCTTTTTGAAACTTTATTGAGAGACTTGAGAGACTTGATTGCTGCACACACTTTGTCAATGCAAGAACTTTATGGTCTCCCTTTTTATCAGGGATCGCTTTATCGCAAAATATTTTTTTGTCCAAACCGGTGTACAGCGTTTACATACAACCCGAAATTGGAATATACTAAAAAATGGATTGAACCTCAAGTTACTAAACCGCATTGTCCACACTGCGACTCTTCATTCAGCGATAAGTGTTACTTTTGGTATTTTTCAATTCGTGAAGATATTAGACTGGCATTTCAAAAAACTTCTCTACGGAAAGTAATGTCTAAAACATTTATTTTGGGAAACACCTCAAAAGATGAGTACAACTCATTTTATACTGGAGAATTATACAAGACACTTGTGAAAATCCCTAGAACGACTGAAAATGAGACTGGCAATAAAATGTGGGTATTTTTCGTTATTTCCTCAACTTTTATTATTTGAATTAACAATTGAATTAGGTTTTTTGAGGAGGAATATGAGTTTCCAATTTTATTGCAAATTACCAAGATGAAGCTTCCCAACGTTTCTGGAGAATTTATGGTACTTCAGGCCATCAATTTAGCTTTACCAGAAGACGAAAGAACAAAACCACATAATACAGTTAACCTTTGCTGCTTTCCATGCACCAAGATGAAATCTAAAAGTTCAGTCCCTTTTGATATTAATTCGTTTCTGCGACCAATAATTGAAGATTTTAAAGCGGCAAGTTCTGACGGCTTTGATGTTACTTACAAGGACTCTGAAAACAACACTGTAACTGAAAGAGTTTTTTGTCATTTAGTTGCGGTGGTTGGAGATGCTTCTATCATTAACAGATGCCTTTGTTTTAACAAGCCCAGTGGTAAATTTCCTTGTCATTTTTGCTTGACTAATCAATTCGAAATTAATGGATACAATGCCTTCACTTCGTTTACTAATCGCCCCGAAAACTATAATCCAGCAATACGAGACAATTTGTATCTTCACAAAGCCAAAATGCATGCTTACCTTCACCTTGAAGATTTTGTCGAAAAAAGGGAAGAATTAAATACTGATTCGGAAAAGAGAAAGATTTCCAAGCGTGTTTTAAACAAACACGGAATCAAAAATTGGTCTGCTTTTTTTGATCTTAAATCTATAATTCTTGAACATTCATTCCCTCTAGACACAATGGATGTTTTATATCGACATGTTTTTTCGACAATTGAAAAATCACTTTTGCAGACAACCGAAAAGAACAACACTTTTGCTCTTAAGGCCAATGATTTGAAGATGTTTAAAGAACTTTTTGAAGGTTTTAGTTCCCTTCCTTCAAAATGGATTGGACCTTCTTATTCTCCTAGAGTGATGCTAGAAACACAAGGAAATTTGCCTTACTCTGAATTACGTCCTCGTCGAGCGATTGACCTTTATTTACCAATCATTTTTTACAGCTCTCTTGAAAAGCCGGTAATTGAGGTTTTCACTGAACTTTTAATGTTTATAAAAGTAACATCCTCACAATCTTTCAGTTATTCCATGGTTGAGGGACTTCAATTATCAGCCAAAAAACTTGTTAGAAAGCTTGAGCAAGTTTTTATTGAGGGCGCCATAAAAGGCTACGAAAGTGCTGACGAAATTTGCAATAGTTCTGAACGAAGCTCTTCAAACACTAAAACTTCATCACTCGAGATACCTGCACAAACAGTTTTATATACCCCTTCTCTGGATATACAACTTGATTCCTGGGTTAAGACAAACTTTCCAGATATTCAATTAGATTACATTAAAGACGCTTTGACGAATCTCAATCAGGCTTATTTTCTCAACACTGCGCCTTACTCAAGGGATAAAACGGAAAGCTATTCTCTGATTGGTGAGCCGTCGAAAGTTTATAAAAATTTGACTCTTGAGCTCCATCAAATGTTGCATATTGCCCAAAGCATTAAAAGCCTGGGGGCTCCAAATCAGTACTGGGATTATCCATTAAGGAAAACTTTAATTAATCTTAGACAGAAATTCAGTAAAGGGTATTACCCTACAATTTCTATTTCCAATATCTTTTTCGAGGAAAAAATTACAAAACAGTTGGAGAGAAATTCTAACTTGATTTGTGACTTTGGAGACCACAATGTTGAAAAAAACTCTTATACTCTTGAAAGTCTCTATATTGGTGACACGAACAAAGGTACCGAAATGGAAAGCGTTTTGACGGCGTTTTTGCAAAAATTTGACAAAAAACTTAACAGCAAAAACGTTTTCTATGAGTACTACAAAAACTTTGAGTTTAAGAACCTTGAATTGAGTGCGGTTTATGATCCTTATCCCGAGACTGATGTCACAGAAGATCTTTCTAATTCACGTACTAACTTTGTTCGTTTGAAGCACGACTATGAAAATGGCCAGTTTGCATATGCCCAATTTTTGGGCTTAATATCCTTTAAGCCCTCTAACTCTAAGCACATGATTCCCGAACATTTTGCAGAGTTTTCTACCGAAAAAACATATACATTCATACAGAGAATTAAAAATGATTGCATTTACTCTGAAGATATTCAGCCAAAGTTTTTGCACCTTAGACTCGACAATCCCAATGATAAATATACTCTAGGACAGTATGTTTTCGAGAATACTATTTCGTTGAAACCCATTGAAATTGTTGAGCTTTCTACTATTAGAAACCCCATATACATGCTCAAATATTCTCAGATGAATGATATGTTGGGTAAACTTTCAACCGCTTACCGACTGATTGATACCAGCTTGTGTTTTTACATTGTTGAACAGAAATTTGGACGGGAGTTTTACACCCCAATTGAACAATCAGTAGATGAAGAAGAGTATAACCGGACTTGAGATGGAATTAAACTCCAATTTCCAATAACCATTAAATAAAGATTAATTTGATTGTACATATATTATTAATGAAGTTATATTTTTACGAAAACTAATTTTGAATATTTGAAAAAAAAAGACAATCATTAAAAAAAAAAGAATAGTCAAGGCCTTCCTTTAATTATATTAGCAAAAATGCAGGATCTGGATTTGTCATTATTTTTGGTGAAATCTCATTAATGACAACTGGTTGAATTATTTCAGATTGAATAAGCGACTTTTTTTTTTCATTGAATTTTTTTTTGAATTCATAGCGGCTCACATCCCCTAGTTTGTTTTGGGGCGGCTTAATATTTTGGTTTCGGGACTTAGTTACCAGTTTATGCACTGTAGTATTTTTAATTTCAGGAGCTTTTGTATTTTCATAAGTCTTTTTCAAAGAACCAGCCATTTCTGAGACTTTGGAATCCATTGGATTCGATATATGAGCGCCAACCATGGAATCATACCATTCTGCAGCAGTACCTTGTGTAAATAATGGTACTTCTCTTAACTGTTCTTGACCATCAAACTCATTAAGACCTTCATAATCTGCAATTTTAATACTGTTCATAGACTGACAGTTAAACCCCAAGTTCACTTTTTCCCATTCTTGGTTATCGTCTTCAGGCTCAGAATCTGAATGGGAGTCAGCAAGTGAACTCTCAATGGGTGACGATGGACCAGGACCCAGACGCCTTCTTTTAATCTGGAGTTTGTCGCTTTTTTGAAAAACAGTGAGCATCCTTTAAAAAAAAAACCTAGATGAATTAAAGAAAAAATTATTAAGAAAGGGAAACAGAAAAAGAAAGCAACTACATTTACCTTGTCTCAAATCCGTAATAATCTTTAGCTCATTGACCTCATCTCTCTCCCCCCCACAAGGGTGGGTTAGGTTTGAAATCCAAAGCACTATAAGCCGTGCAGGCCTTTTTTTTTTTTTTTTTTTTTTTTCAAACCTCCAAAAAAAAATTATCCGAAATCTCAACGCCAGATACCATTATTCTTTAAAACAGTCAAACAATGTCGTTAGTCAAACGTGCCCGAACATCAGGACCAGAATCTTCTTCCAACGCTTTAATTCAGACGGTATGTGTGAATATAGAAAATATATAGTGGTTTAGAATTTATGCTAATCTTAAAGAATAGCAACAAAATGAAAGATTAACAAGACTCAACGCGCCTACCGTCCAACTTAGTGGGCATGAAGTAAGTATATATAACAAATATAAAAAGACAACATTTTGACACATTTAGGGCCCTGTTTTAGCAGTGAAATTTGATCCAACTGGAGACTACATAGCTTCAAGTGGTATTCAACGTGATATTTGTACGTATTAAGCGCGCCAATTTTTTTTTCTTTACTAACAAGATGCTTTACAGTCATTTGGAAAACGTACGAAGACAATGCTCACCTTCTTACTCTCTCTGGTCATAAACGTGCTGTGCTCGATATTGCATGGTCGCGCGACGGTTCACAACTTTTTTCGGCTTCAGCAGACCATACTGTAGCCACAACCGACGTATACACAGGTGCACGCGTGCGCAAACACTTGGTGGTCACGGACCCTGCCAGTCCAGACTCGGGAATGGTTAACTCACTCGACACAGTGCGCCGTGGCACTGAATTAATTATTGCAGGCACTGACGCAGGCATCGTCGCCGTGTTCGATCCACGTGACCGGTTCCCAGTGTACACTATTCGGCCTCGACCATTTCAAGCACGCAACCCAGCAGCATCCAATCTACCAATTCTAGCAGTTGCTACCAACAATGACGGGTCACTTCTTTTTTCAGCAGGTATCGATGATGCCATTAGCGTTTGGGATCCACGTACACTTGGAGGCGAGTCTAATAGCTTTGATAAGCCTGTGCTTACACTTGCTGGCCATACAAACTCGGTGACGTCGCTGAGCGTGTCGCCTGATAACGAAACTCTGCTTTCAAATAGCATGGACTCTACAGTTCGCACATGGAATATTCGTCCATTTGTGCCTGGATCTCCTATGGCTGCAGCACCAGGTTCTACAGGTTATTATACTACACTTGCCACGCCAAGTCCACGCGCAGGACGGGTGTTGGATGGTGCACCAGCGGGAATTGAAAGCCGATTGATGCGTGCTGCATGGTCAACATTCCCCATAGGCCGCGATGGTATGCGTGGAACCCATATTGCGGCTGGCGGCGGCGACCACACTGTGGCTATATGGGAAGCACGTTCAGGCCAGCTGTTAAACAAATTGCCTGGTCATCAGGGAGCTGTCACTGATGTTTGTTTCTCACCTGCTGAGCCCATCATTGCCTCTGCGTCTTCCGATGGCACAGTGATTTTGGGTGAAATTCCAAGTTTGCGTGTTTGAATAGTAAATAGTAAACAAAAAAAATAAATGCAAAAGAAATAAATTAACCATGTTATATACATGTACTCAGCTATCTGTCTTTTTACGACGCAAAAAGCTATTGGCGCGTGCTAGCTTTGACGTATTGCGCTTATGAAAGCCTGGGACTTTACTTCCGCCGGTATCGCCCGGGCCGGCCGTGCTTTTAGAGTTGTTTGAAGCAGCCACTGCAGCGGCACCAGATGCTGTTCCACCGTTTTTACCAAACCGTTGTGTGTACACGACATAACTCTCAATGACCTTTTCAAACGTTGCCTTGTCTTTGAGTGCATCATCGCGCCGCGTTACACATTGGCTTTGCATCATGCGCGCTGCATCAATTGCCAGCGTCAGGTTGCGGACGTACTCGCTGACCTCGTCTGCTGTCATATTTTCGATTGCAATGTCGCTAACTGCTGCTAGTCGAGCCCATGAAGCAACCTTCTTGTCGTCTTCATGTGCACTTGCGCTCTGTTTAGGTGTATCCGGTTCAGTTTCTGCCGTAGTTTTCTTACTGTCCTTGTCTGTTGTCTGGCTTTTGTTCTCTTTGAACTCTGTGGGCAGAATTAAACGCTTCTGCTTACCATGTTGCGGCATTACTTCATCAAGGTCCACAGGAACTCCAAGAGATACGAAAAAGTGGCGTCTAATTGCACTTCGTCGCCAATCTGTGACAGCCGGTGCAGTGGCTGTTGGTGAAGGAGCAGCTGCTAGCTGGTCCCATAGAGACTTTGAGCGGACAGTAAAGTACGATAACGGCGTATATGCGTTTGTTGCCGGGATATTTGTTTGGGTCTCTGCTTGCTGTTGGGTCTCCTGTTGCTTTGGTATGCTTTCTCCGCTAATGTCACTTTGAGATCTTGTTAGAGCTTCTTGAGATTCAGATTCATCATCGTCATAATCTGGGTCTGTAGATGGCTTCAACTCTGCAACTGTGATTTGGGTGTTGGCGGCACTGGTTAATGTGTAAACAAATCCATTTCCAGACTTTGCACCAATAATACTTTCGATGGAAGCTTGAAGATGTGCTGAGTTGGAAAAGTCTGTTTCGCTAAGACAGGGAATAGAAGGAGCGATGGGTAAAGAGGTATGAATTGGTTCTGACTGTGGACCTGCGTCGAAGCTATCAAAGTCATCAAAATCGCCAAAATCGTCGTCAAAGTCATTACTTGCGTGTTCAGGTTGCGGCGAAGCCTCTTCAAAGTCGTCAAAGTCACCAAACTCACCATCATGAGAAATGTCTTTTGGTGTGTCTTTGTAAGTTGAGTTGCCGGCTTCTTCAAAGTTGTCAAAATCATCATCTTCATGTTCTGGATGGGGAGCCTCCTCAGATTCTTGTTGATGAGTAGTTTGAACAGGTTCTTCAATGTCGTCATCATGTGTTACTGTTGGTGTTGTTTCTCTAGAGTCAAAAGTAGATTCTTCTTTCTGGGCTGACTGGGAAATATCTTCAGAGTCATCTTTGTGAGTTTGCTGGTCAGTCTCAAGACCATCATTGTGAGTATTTTGAAGAGTCACTTTTGAGTCATCCACATGAACGGGGTAATCAATTTCTTTCGATTGATTTTGATTATCTGATTGAGTAGTCTCTTTATCATTTTCATGAGCCGAATGGCTAGCTTCTTTATCCGACTGAACGACCTCCTTAAACTCATCTTCCTGAACTGGCTGCTGAACAGCCTCTTTAAACTCGTCTCCATAAGCTGAATTCTGAGAATTTTCATTAAATTCGTCCTCATCCGGTGGTTGCTGGTACGCTTCCTCATAGTCATCAAAGTCAATATCACTAACCTCATATGGCTGTGGCTCAAATTGTTTTAAGGCGGCATCTTCTTGAAGGCTTTGCTTCTTGCTTTGAGATATGTCTTCAGACGACTTCAATTGCAAGTCAGAAGCCTCCTCTGAATTGGCTGGAGTTGTTTCAACACTTGGTTTCTCATCAGGCTGAGCCTCTTGCTTTGTCTGCTTTTCAGCTTCATGCTGTGTTCCTGAGGCACTGAGGGGTTCACTTGTATACAAAGGAAGAATCTCGTCAAACACCTTTTCGTGGGAATCTGAATCGTGTTCATAGATAGACTCCGGTAAAATGTTGAGACCTGGAGCTGGCGCAGCTTGAGGGGGGCTATTGTTGCCATCGCTGGCTGTGCTAAGATCGACTGAATAGGACACATGTGTTACGGTGACGTCGTCATTGCTGGTGTCTGCGACAGATGGCGGAGTTTTCGAAGAAGTGGCAACAGTAGGCAGTGATTCAGGCGGTTCCTCTGTAGACCAGACATTGGCATCGAGGTCTGTGAAATGGGCGGTAGCTGAGTCCATTATGTGTAAGTTAAGTTGGTTTGGAATAAGTACAGTGGTGGTGATGAACAAAAATTATACACAAGAAAATCTAAAATTTGGCGCACCCCCAAAAAAAGGAAAAAGTTTTTTGCTTGTGCTGGCAACTTCTCTTTTCTCATTCTACATCATCACCACCAACCCTTCCTTACCAGCAAAATTTCATCTTCCCACCACTCATTATACCAACAATGTTTGGAGTCCTAAACTTCTTCGGTTGGTTTATTCTGCCTAACCTGCTGACAGGTTTTGCGCAGACGCTGTGGTATCGCGTTATGACACCAGTGGGTGAGCCCAAGCCCCTACGCAACAGCGCGCGGTTTCGCCGCGACCGTCGGCGCATCTACTCAACCATTATCTGTGCGTATCTACTTTTTTCTGTGGTAGATGCATATTACTCGGTAGTACTGGATCCTAAGAGTCCCCAGAGTCGCGAGGCGTCTCTGTATAAGGTGCTCGAGATTTCAGTTGACGACGCTGCAGACCTTTCCGGTCAAGATCTGCGGTCTACGTTCCGCAAACTTTCACTCAAATACCATCCAGACAAGGTGGCTGCTGCTGCTTCTGCAGCCTCAGCTAAGAATGGCCGCGCTACAGCAGGCATGCGAATCCAAGGATTGTTTTCCCGCAAAGCCAATAAAGCCGACGACTACTTAACGTGGAGCTCAGAACAGATTGAGGCGCAGTTTATTCAAATCAAGGCAGCTTACGAGATGCTTAACAACCAGGTGACCAAGTTTGGCTACGAAAGGTTTGGACCACAGGCTGTGGCATGGTCCAAGAGGTTTGATGTGCTTATGGACTCTGTAGGCAAAGATCGTGATGGTAGTTTGACTGCACAGACAATGCTGGAGTTTCTTGTGCTTGGACTGAAATCGTCCATGACAACATTTTACCTGGGAACCTTTGGATCCATTGTGGTCATGTATACTATTGGATACCCCAAGACCGGCCATGCGTGGCGTGTGTTTATCGGTCTGTTGTGTATGGTGTTGGAAATCTTTATTGTGACACGGCCGCTGTCTACAGTTTACTCATACTTACCCGTCATGCGCTGGTTTGGGTTATTACCATACCAGGCTATTGCGATTCTGCACAATCTGATGGTGACTTCGTTTGTTGCGATTAACCAATTGGGTCCGATTATTTCGGAGGGCGAGTCTGACGATAGCGGGAGTGCTAGCAGTGACGAGAAGAAGAACAATTCGACTGTCGCTGCAGCTATTGCTGGTGTGCCTGGAACCGGTCTTGCTGGAGGTGGTGTGATTCCACCTCTGGCGTCGACTCGTGGCCAGAACGTGCTACAGAAGCAATTGGAGTTTTTGGAGCAATTGACGGACAATGTAGTGCATGAGAGTGTGCAGTCATATCGACATCAATTACTGCCGTTTGTAGGCAAGGAGAAGGAACCATTGCTGAAACAAGTGAAGCAAGCAACTGTGGATGCACTTGTGAACCGACGGGTGATGGACGATGTGGAAGTAAAAGATGCTGCAACTGAGGAAATGCCCATGGTGCGTGCTGCTGTGCAAGCCGAACGTAACGCTGTTTCATCTTCCGGATCATCTTCTGGTTCATCATCGTCGCAGTCTAATAATCATCCTGGGCCAGCCCGCAAGGTTGGCAGTCGCCGGAGATAATAAGACGACGACGATGTGTATATATAAATATATACAATGTACATTTAAGAAACTTTTTTTTTTTTTTTTTTTTTTAGACTTACATGTATCTGAGACTGTAAATGCAGATTGGTGGGGAAGATGGTGGTATGAAGTAATATTGTGACTCAGCTGGAGGATCAAACCTGCGGATTTCTGTCATTCTAAGCTTATGGGAGTTACACTCTGCTGCAAAAGTGTCGAAGGTTTCCTTTGATCTGATTGTTGCCGAGAGCAAAACGTCAGTAGTGTTTTTACCGTAATTGTTAATCATTTTCGCGAGAGTGTCAACGAGAGCTGAAGCCGCCGAAGGGTCGTATGTGACATCTGCTGCAAGGATCAAAGTACGACCAGATTGAGCCATTTTGGTCTTATTAAAGAGGAGGTCGAGATGACTTGAGTTTCCCCAGAAAACACAAGCTGCATCCGCAGTACTAACTCCTCGAGGGACCAACAAAGTTTGAGCATTGCGGGTCAGCGTTTCGTTAAGTACATTGACCACGTTTTCGTCGCCATCAGTCAGCATAACTATTTGAGGTGCATAGTGTGTGGAGGCAATGAGACCCACAAGCCCGGTTCCAGCGCCGAGCTCGATAATTGTGCTGTATTTTTCAGATGTCGACTCGAGAATGTGGTGAGATAAAGCAAGTGCGGCTTCCCAGGTGCGAAATCCTGTGCAACCCTCTGCGGAAATGACATCTGGAGACTCTTCGATAAGAGCGAAAGCAGATCCAGATCGGTTTGCTGGGTAGGAGATAATGGCTGTAGATGTAGAAGAGGTTCCTAACAGGGCCTGGGTAGCACCGATGGAGGAAGGCATGGCGACGATTTCGGCATAGTATTCGATAAAGGTATCGGTCATGGGGATATTTTTACGTTCCAGCATTTGAAGAACAGCTCTGGCAGCATTGGCGCAGTAGGTAGTTGGAGGATTTTCCGATCTTAGGGCTGCAATGAAATGGTCTTGAACGCGTTCCCAATCGGTGGATGAATTTGTTGCAGAAGCAAGAGTTTCGACGGTTTTGGCTATGTAGATTGGGTGAACGCGCTGTCCGACCCATCGCCGGAGCACAACCGCAGGGTCTTTTAAAGTATTTGAATTGATCGGTATCAGATCATCGACCATTTTTCTTTTTTTCAATCAAGAGATTATAAGTTATAACTATGGGATAATGATAATATATAATTTATATAAAAGGCTAGACCAAATATATTTTGTATACTTTGAACAAAAAAAATAAGTAATGAAAATTTTTTTATTATTATTATTAAAACGCCAAAAAACAAGTGGGCGGACTTAAATGTTTGTTTAAACATTTCAAAAAAAAAAAAAAAAAAAAAAAAAAAAAAACAAGAAACGGCTGGCAAACTCTACCGCATCACGGTGATCGCCCCAAATAGACACCGACCCGAGGATTATTGCTGGCGGTGGTGGTGGCGGCGGCGGAGCAGTTCAACGGGTTGGTGGCAAGACGTATTTCGGTAATAATTGTTGTCGTTGTCGGCATTAATAAGCAAAAAAAAAAGAAATGGCAAGTCAAAACTGCGGTCTTAGGCATACGGGAATTTTTATTTATTTATTTATTTATTTATTTATTTATTTATTTATTTATTTGTTTGCGGTTGTTTTCAGAAGGCCAAGAGCCTCGTGGTGATGATGATGATGATAATGATAATAATTATAATTATTCATAATTATGATAATAATAATGATGATTTTATAAAATGGGAGATTTTTTTTTTTTTTTTTTTTTTTTTTGCTTAGCATGTGTGTAATTAATATTGCACAGCCTCCACTGATAAATAAATAATATTTTTGGGGTCTTGTGGAAGGTTTTTATCCTGAGAGATATTTTTTTTTTTTCTAAAGTCTATTTAAAAGATTATATATCCCTCTATTTAATACATTTTTTTTTTGTTTTTATAATATTCTACTAAAATACTAAAAAGAAAAATAAAATATTATAATATAATATAAATGTTCCATATCTTCACTTTCTAATTTCTATTCAATATTCAACAACAATATTTATAAATCAACCATTTTTTTTTTACAAAATAAATGACTGCCACTCAACCAACAAATACACTCGTCATTACAGGCCTTGACCGCGAAGACTTTCCTCAACCAGGATCTATCTCTTCGCTTGATTCGCCAACATGCACAACAGACAAGCTACAAGCTCTTATCGCACATCATGTTCCAGTCGTACACTGGGCACCACTCAAGTCTTTTGGCCGGATCTTAGTCGTTCTTCAATCACCCACAGAAGCCCAGACAGCCCGTTCAACTCTTTCAGATTATAGCAACAAACATAACCTACACATCAAGTCATATTACTATACAAACACACCTCTCTACTCTTCTCCTGATGCACACTTACACCCTCCCGAGGCTCCACACCTGTTTTTCATTTCCCCACCACCTAGTCCGCCTGTTGGATGGACATCAAGACCCGAGGAACCTCCAAGACTCAATACCCCACCCGTGGGACTTGTATCTATGCAGGAGCATGGAGACAATGGCACTGACTCAGATGCAGAAAGTGTAAATGGACTGGAAATGAACCTGGACTCAGACGCGTTTCATTCTAGTCTGAGAGCCGCACTAGAGGATTTAGAAGCATCACAAGTTCGACGAGAACGAAAAGTGGCCGAGACTCAAAGCAAAGATGAAGCTGAGCAGCCTGAACATGGACCAGTTCAAGTGGTGAGCAATGCACAGGGAAAATTAACTAGACGAATCACTTTGCATGATCAAACAACAACCACAAAGGAGGATTCAGGCAAACCGGTGTTATCTTTGCAAACGAACGAGCTGGGGAAACATGAAAATGAGACTATAGTGACACCTACTATCATTTTAGAATGGGATGACGATGAAAATGATGAAGAAACAGTGATCCCATCAACAATCAAGAGTGTGCGCACGGGCCGGCCCCCTCTAAGTGTGTAAAAAAAAAAAGAGAATAAAAATTAAAAAAAAAAAAACATTAATATCACATCCATATGTACATTTGGGGGTTTCTTGTTTCCCTATTTAATATTTATAAACATAAAAAAAAAGAAATAAATTAGACCATAGGCTGAGGATTCTCCTTAGGTTTTTCTTTTGGCTCAGGAGCAGAATAAGACTCGGTGATTATCGCACCAACTCTTTTGTCACCGGGAAGAGGGATAAGCACACCTTCCTCATCATAACGAGCCTTGAAGAAAGTATAGTTGAGAATAATGTCATCGACGTTACGCATAAGGGGATCAGAGACGATATCTGGATCAATAAAGAAGAAAACAGGCATATCAACCTCCTCTCCAGGTGCAAGCTTTTGTTCCTCAAAGCAGAAACACTGAATCTTGTTGAAATATGGAGCAGCCTTTTCAGGGACCACAGAGTAGGTAGCCATGCCGATAATGTCCTGATCAGTAGGGTTGCGGGCTTTGTAGAAGGCAAGAGCGGTCTCACCAGGAAGAACACGAACTTCGCGTTGCTGAGGTGTGAAAGTCCATGGCATGGTAGTAGATGTATTGCCAGAGAAGGACACTCGAATACGTCGTTTGTAATCAACTGGAATGAGTTTTTCTGGAGAAAAGTTCTTGTCTGCACTCACAGGTGCACCAGAAAACCCAGATTGTTGGCATACAATACGGTAGAGAGGAACTGCGGCGTAAGAAAGAGTAAGGAAAAGAACAATAACACTGGCGGTATAATAGCCGGCTGTCCGGACACCCTTGCGCGTGCGCTCGTCGCGGATCCTGGACGAGATCTCTTCATATTGTTCACGGGTAATTCTTGGAGGTTGTTGCTTTGGAGGAACTGAAGAAGCCAGACGGAACTGAAAGGTACTTCGGGATGGTCTAGTAAAGAAATGATTTGTGGTACGAGGCAAGAGTCCCGTAGTAGGACGGGGTATCAGAGGTTTCGTTAGCATAAAGCGTATCATTGTATATATATATATATATATATATATATATATATGTATATTATATGGATAAGATGGGTATCTTAAAGAGGATAGAATTTAATTATTGGTCTTTTATATATATATATTTAAAATATAAAAAAGAAGAGGGAAAAGAAAGAAAAAAAATAAAGGTAAAAGATTAAAAGAAAAGTTCGGGAATCCTTGGACAGAAAAGTTGGCCAAAAAGGACTTTGGTGGGATGGCTTTGATCGGGGACTGGGCTGGAATAGAGGTAGAAGAAAAGGGAAACAAAAAAAAAAAATAAAAAATAAAAAAAAATAAGTACAAAATAATAAATCGGGTGATATTCATTAGTAATAATAAATAATCTATTAGTAACACAAAAAGACTACATTCCGGAAAAAGCATAATATATATAATATATATACACCGTTTAACAATAATACCTATTGTCACGGGGGGCCTCTGGGCCCCGTGACCTGAGTGGTTAGGGTTACATTGGCCAGGTGGAAATATAACCACAAACCTAGAAGCATCACCACAACCATCAGCATTACACAAGAATAGGATACTGAAGAGATAACAAAGTATTCTTAAGATCAAAGGTAAGAGAAATGATCTAGGCTGATGGTCCCGGGATACTAATCATATATAGACTATTACTTATTAATCAATAAATCACTTTTATTATTTATCACTATCATTATTAAATTCATATTATACCGAGAACTCGACACCTATTTTTTTTTAAAAAAGTTTCAAGAGCTGAAACAGTGTTCACAGTATTCTTCTGCAAGAAATGCTGCATTTTAAGCGCAAGTATCCGACTCTGTTAATCTAATTCCCATTCCAAGCGTTTTATAATATATCAAGAGTTGAAAAATTGTAGAGTTTGGTAAAAGATTTAACTTAAAATATAGTTGTGTCAATTAAAAAAAGTTCTTAACAAGTTTATGAGGCTCATCTTTCAGTAATTTTATAAGGTTTTTTTTTTTTTTTTTTAATTCTTATTTAATTCTTATTTAATTCTTATTTAATTCTTATTTTTATTTTAATTTTTTTATTCTTGCCACCATAAAATGTTTACACAAAATCAGTGGCAAATTTCTAGTGAAAGATTTACTGCACTTCTTGATACTCTAGATTTTGTAAAAGACCCTCGATGGGCAATTGAAGAGATTCTTGTAAATGCGGCAGCTGATGCATTCCCAAGTTTTGGACCCCAAGACATGTACACTGCAATAAGATCCCATGTCTCAAATCATACCAATTTATCAGCTCTGTATAAGTTTCAAGCAGTGCTTCTTCCAGTTTCTTTAAATGATCTCCAACTTACTCTGTTTTCTGTTTTTCACATTTCAACAGCCTCAGTAGCATTTGGGTGGGCACAAGCTACTGCTACACTAGAAGAAATGATACAACATGCTAAAAACTCACCATCAACCACAAATTTAAATGTTGCCGAGATTATTTCCACAGCAGATTGTTATCGTGCCATGCGCCCACTTTCGCTTAAAATGTGCGATTGTTTGTATCTTATGCTTAATTTTTATACACAACAACGAGACCCTGACATTGACTTATCGGATGAATTTGTGCATAAACTTGTGGAAAAACTACCAACTTTACGAACCCTTTTCGAATTATGGGCGCTCACATTAATTTTTGGTTCTGACCAAAAGCTGAGTGCACAAAACATTAAAATGGGAAACTTTGTTACTGCGCCAGCCTTATATCGTCCAGTATTTGACAAACTGGCAACAAGACCAATTAATAATATTTCTAATTTATATGACAAGCAACAAGAATTAGTGATAACAAACTCTATAACCATGGAACTTGAAGATTCCCACCAGGCACAATTACAAGCACTGTCGCCACCACAACAATGCAGACTTCCATCAGTACCTTTTATATTCACTACTCCATCACCACCTCCTCATGATGAAATAACAACGGTGGTTGAACGTACCATTGAAGATACTACTGTATACATTGATAAACCTTCGGTTGAAAGTCCTGTTTATTCTATACCTCAAGTTACTGACAGAATAAGTACCAAAAATAATGTTGATCTACATTGTCAAATTACTGAATCTCCCATTGACCATATTATCATTGATTTGACTAGTGATGCCGAAAGCCAAAACAAAACTCAAGGCGATTGCATGACTGCTCTTTCTGGTTCCCTAGACATTGAAAAATCAAACAATACCAATACCCAACAACAATCATATTCTGTTAAAAAAGAACTTGTCCCATCAACCAAACTTAATTCACCAAAGCCAATTTCTGAAAGTCCAAGTTTTCCAAGTCCAACTACAACCTCTTCTAATAATACCAACGTGGAGTATATCAATGTTCCTATATCTAACTTTTTTGATGACAAAGTTTTAAAAACAACCATTAGTAAAGTACAAAAATCTTCTAAAAAATTTCGAATGGTGAGCGGCAATGATACCATTAAAATCAATAAGTATGGACTTATTTTAATTCCCCAAAAAGATTATGCTTTAAAAAGATTTCTTTTAAAACAATTTGAAGAAATGAAGCATCTTCACACACAAAGAGAAGAGCTTACAAAAGAAATATTAAAATGGTTTCATTGGCCTGAGTTAAATGAAGACTTAGATTGGTATATACCCTATTGTGAAAATTGTCAAATTAAAGAAAAATATCTTCCTACTTTGTTTTGCAATAAACAAGTAGAACATTTAATTTTTTACCCATTTGCGCAACCTCACATATTTAAAATCACGTTAAATTCTTTTGAAACTGAAATTTGCTTGACTATTATGTGCCGTTTTACTCAATACATTATTGGCATACCAGTTCTATTAAACACAAATAATGAAAATATTATTGAAAGAATTTTGGAAGCAATTAAGAAAATTGGAAAACAATTACGTCCAATACATCTTTCTTGGGATGATGGCCTACTTTGTTTGGAGACAAAAGATTCAGAAACTTGGCTTAAGAAAAAAGGAATTAAGCGTGTACCAAAAGAATCATTTCACCCTTTAATTTCCTTTCATCTTGCAGAACGATGCAACGAATTCCTTAAACTCATTCGCAGCCATGAAAACAACATTTTCCCTTTATCATTCAGTTTCAAACTCCTTGAACAGTTGGTTGTTAAGCAAAATGCTATAAATATTAAAAAATCCACATTAACTCCAAAAGTTGTACTAAACGAGTATACTTGTGATTTAACTAAAAAAAATAAAAAAGCTGGCTTGGAGTTGGCTAAAGAATTGACGAATTGTTTTAACAGACATACTCATTCTGAGTATACAAAAGGCTTACAGAATGAGTTCAAAGTCTCTTCTTTCTTTCCAGAAAACTCTTTGGTATTTGTTGCACTACCTGTCAATCAACATTTTGATAGCGATTTAGATAAGGCCAAATATCAGGCAGATTTATCACTTGTTAATAACATGAAACTGGAATTGATTGGCCCATTCAGCATTGTTCGAGCTAATCAAAATCAATACGGATGCAGTTATAGCTTAATGATGCCACCGGCTTGGAACGTAAATGGCAAAATTAATGATACATTTGAAAATCAATATGTGATTTTGCCTTTGATGATTAACGTCCCTAAAGACAAGGTCTTTCAACTGCTTAAAGAAGGTCCTCATATTAATATTAATAACAGTTTTTTGAAGATTAAACCCCCAGTTTACAAGTCGAAAAATGGAAAATATTTAGTGACTCAGCTTGAAAACAGTCAAGTTATTGTGATTGGAATAAGATCACCATCGATGTTAGAAAATGAAAATAACCGCAGGAGAGAAAAAAACAAAAACGAAAATATGATTTATGATAGTGTTGGAGTTTGCAATAATTTCAGTAACACTGAATTTCAAAAAACTCATCAAGTGTCATATGATATATCATCGTCTAGTACTAATAGTCAAAGGAGAGCCTTAAATAACATCAGGGGGTGTACCTGCAAAAATATTAGCGGCGGTCTCTCAGATCCTCTCTGCTCTATCCATATAACCCCCATACCCTTCCATTCCAAGCGCAAGTACGACAATTCTGGTGATGATGTAGTTAAGAGATTTGTTCGATCTAATAAATAAATCTTTATTTTTATATATCATATGTATAACCCGTAAATGGTTAATGCTTAATTTATTCGCTAATAAATTTTAAGGTTGACGTCCTAGTGCGAATTTCAAGCGCCATTGTTACTGACAACATTTAGTGATCTTCAACTTGCTCTTTTTTGCAGCATTTCGCATTTCAACAGCATCAATAGTATTTGATTGAACGCGTGCAGCTGCTCCTCTATAGGAAATTCTAATCCGCACAGCTGCTGCTACTTCAAGTACAACTGGTAATACTTCTTGGCTCCCTGCAACATCCGATTTTTATCGACCATTGCGACCAGTTTCTCTTAACATTTGCAATTGCTACAGATTTTTGATTTATTAGATTAATATTTCCAACAGTGTAGTTTTTTTATTAACTATATATATATATACTTAATCTTCGTAATGAATTATAGCAGGAATTTGACAAGGTTTAAAAATTTATGGTTTTTTTTATTGGTATTAATGGTGATAAGCCCATATTGAAATAGGGTTTTAAGTAATTATAATTGCATTTTATAAAAAAATAAAAAAAAATAATAATAGCCTGTGCTGAAGAGTTTACATCAACTTTCATTAGCCCTAACCCTTGCGTAATCTCTATTAACTGAAGACCCTTGCAAAATAAGGAAAAAAAGACAATTTATTAGCCCTAACCCTTGCGGAATCTCTATTAACTGAAGACCCTTGCAAAATAACGGAAAAAAAGATAATTTATTAGCCCTAACCCTTGCGGAATCTCTATTAACTGAAGACCCTTGCAAAATAACGGAAAAAAAGATAATTTATTAGCCCTAACCCTTGCGGAATCTCTATTAACTGAAGACCCTTGCAAAATAACGGAAAAAAAGATAATTTATATGTTTTCTTAACGTTAATATAAAATAGGTATTTGATTTTATAATTTCAGCATAAAATTAAATAAATATATATTCTAAATGCTATCTCAACGTTAAGGAAACTTATAAATTACTTTTTTTTTGGTAATTTTACAATAGTTTACAAACTTATGTTTTATATTTAGTTCAATATATATGTTTTTTTTAGCACCAACAATATCTATATTGAACAAAAATCAATTTTTTTTTTCTCTCTGATCTTATTGTTTTCTCCTGAAAAAAAAAAAAAAAAATCAATTATATATATAAATAGACACACATTTTTTAAATATATGAAATTCTTTTAAAAAAACCGTCATCTATAATTGTTTAATTATCTGAGGAATCATAAAAAAAATATTTTGGATTAGTTTTATTTTTCCATATAGTTATTATCTTTTTTCCTCCACCAAAAAAAAAAAAAATATTAAAACAAATAAAAACCTCATATAGTTTATTTACCTAAGAATTTTTTTAACTCTCAAAGTATGGATATTATAGCATTCTTTTATTTAATCACCATGAACATGCCATATATATAAGTTAATAGAGATTTTCAGATTAATATTTAACATTTTTGTTTTCATAAAGTTTATAATTATTTTTTTTTCTTTTCTGAATATTAAATTAATTTTTTTGAAAGTTTTTAAAAAAAATTAAATAAAAATAAACTTTGATAGGTTTAATATATATGGACGGATAAAAAGGAGATCTTCAGATCTAAATAAAATTCACCCATATTTTTTTTAATCCAAAATGAAAAAAAAAAAATTAAAAATAAAAAAAAAAAAAAAATTAAACTAAATTGATAAAGATTAATAATTTTTGTGATATTTTGAAAAAAAAAATATATATATATATATATTACTTATTATAGAGATTTCCTTATAATTTAATTTTTCAATGTTCTGAAAGTTCAGGTTGTTAGAAACTATTCGAGTTTCCCCACATTTTTATCACGTGATTCTTTAAGTACATTGAGTCACCTGCGTATTTTTCTGACTGTGTCTTTTGTAAATTTCCATCTCCGCTTTTAAAAAATTTTTGAATGAATTTTTTTTTTTAGCAAGAAGAAAGAAAGAAAAAAAGAAAGAAAAAAAAAAAAAAAAAATCAAAATTTTTTGCTTTCGCCCAACTTAGAAACAAAAACTGCCCCATCACTACCACCACTACATTTACACTCACACCAAACCAAACCAAATATTTTTTTTTTTTTTTTTTTTTTTTGAAAAATCCCATTTTAATGGCCCTCCACGTCTTTTCTCTGCCTATTCCTTTCACCGGTCCCGACTTCTTATAGAACCGGAACCTTACACGCTCTTTTCTTTGGCTTCGGGACTCTGCTCATCACTACTATTAACTTAGCCCCTCTTTTTTTTTTTTTTTTTTTCAACAACCAAAACCTTAAATCCTTTTGTCTATACATATATATATAATATATATAAACCCAACAAACCATCCTCCATTGAAAATATGTCTCTACCAGCATCCCAGCACCAGCATCAGCAACAACAACAGCACCAGGTTGTGTCGCCTCAAACTATCCCCCCATTGAACTCACCGTATGGCCATTCTCCAGGCTCTCAAACGGCCCTGCCATCTGTTGCCAACCAAGCAGCAATGTCCCCGCAAGGTTCTTCCTCCACATCAGCATCCACCCCCGCACCACTAGCACCAGCACCAGCACCAGTACCAATAAGACATCAGAATACATATTCTGGATCTCCTGGCCACGGGTCTCCATCATCATCATCATCATCATCATCATCATCATCAAAACACAAAGATCTCACATCGCCTGGAGCGATGGGACTCTCAGCAAAAAAGCCTTTGCAGCTAAAAACAGCACCACCTTCTAAAGGCAAGCCGCGAGGAAGGAAACGAGGCAGCGGGGCATCCACCCCACAAGTCTTAAAAGCAGCACCACAACCACAACCACAACCACCAGCAACAACATCAACATCAACATCAACAACAACATCAACATCAACATCAACCTCAACCTCAACCTCAACCTTAAACTCCAATGCTACTACCAATATTCCCAACCGCGACCATAATCCATCGTCTCTTGCTGCGATTCTTGCACATCCAGTATCTCACCCATCACCACTGGGTCCTTCGGCGTCCTCAGCTGAAGAATCAACCCCTCCCAGACCAGCACAAGTAGGCCGACAGCAAACTTCGAAAAAACCCAAGCGAAGGAAAGTAGATCACGCGTGTGTGTACTGTCGACGATCCCATATGACTTGTGACGATGAGCGGCCCTGTACCCGGTGCATCCGGCGTAATATTGGGCACCTGTGTCGTGATGAGCCCAAGCGCAAATCTGGGGCAGCTAGTAGTGCATCCCCAGACCAAAAGGCTAGTGAGGGTCCCGGGTCATCAGCATCTAGCAAGGCTGGGAAGTCAGTGTCGCCAACACCTATTTTGGCAAGTAATAACATCAATAATGGCCCTGAGCCGCTACCGTCGTCAGTGCACCAACCTGCAGCACTAGTGCTAACGTCCACGTCGCAAAGCCTCACGTTTACCGAATTGCAGGATTCCAAAAACAATTTACCATTCCACAGTAACAATCCATCCTACTCCGGTTCGCCACCTTCTCCTGCGTCTCCTTCCAACTTGAAGAATACCCAGCATATGACAACCAACTCGCCCAAGACGAGTAATACTAACTTTTCACATCCGCTTTCTCAGTCATTGACTATGGATAAGCAAGCCTCTCAATCCGCAACACCTGGGCTTGCTAACAATAACAATAATAATGTTGTCAACAACAATGGTGTCAACAACAATGGTATCAATAATAACAATAATAACAATAATAATAACAATAATAATAACAACAACAACAACAACTATAATAGTCAGTCGTTCAGTAGAACACCCTTTTTAAATGACTGGTTAGGAACTCAGAGTATTTTGTCACAAACCTCCGAGTTTAATCAGAATTTGTTTTTCTCGGAGCACGCCAATAGCGAGTTTGCATCGCTGGGCGATTTTCTTGCCATGATTGAAGACCCTAATGCAAACTCAGACTTTTTGCTACCAGGGTCACTCGGGAACTCAGCGCCTGGGTCGACCAACATTTCACCAGGGATTTCACGCAAGAGCTCTAACACGGATGTGACAAAACTGACATCTGTGCTTGGAATGGCACCATTTGGTAATAACTCAAATACTTTTAATGGAAACTTTAATGGTGATAATAGTCAGCAACAGCAGCCACAACAATTGGCTCCCTTTAATCAGTACACATCACAGTCTGTTCAATATAATAATCCACAGAACCAACAGAACCAACAGAACCAACATCATCAACATCATCAACATCATCAACAACAACAATCACTACAGCCACTACATCATCATCTTTATCAAACACAGCCACAACCACAACCACAACCACAACCACGACAGCAGCAACAGCAACAGCAACTACAACTGCAACAACGGCATTTACAACCACATCAACAATCGATACATTCTAATCAGTATCAGATACCTTCTTCACAGCCGCATCAACCGGTGATTTCGGACTCTGCAAGAGATAAATTCTTTTTAACAGCAGCGGACCCGTCGGTTGATGTTTCGCCAGAAGAGCGGCTGAAGCAGGTTATTCGAGCAAAAGTGGAGGCCGGGTTGTTACAGCCTTTCAACTATGCGCGGGGATACGCGCGGCTTCAAAAGTATATGGATAGCTACATGAACCAGTCATCAAAACAACGGATTCTTAAGCCACTTTCTGTGTTTCGACCGGCGTTTAGGGCAATTGCACAGTCATTGTTGGACGTTGATCTAGTACTTGTGGAAGAGGCATTTGAACGGATGTTACTTGACTATGATCGAATCTTTACGTCGATGGCTATTCCAGCGTGTTTGTGGCGACGTACTGGAGAGATTTACCGGGGGAACAAGGAGTTTGCAGGACTTGTTGAAGTATCTGTTGAAGATCTTCGGGATGGAAAGCTTGCAATCTATGAGCTCATGTCTGAAGAGTCTGCAGTCAATTATTGGGAAAAATATGGGAGTATTGCATTTGATGCTGGGCAAAAAGCAGTGTTAACGAGTTGCAACTTACGAACTCGAGATGGACGGAAACGGCGGGCATGCTGTTTTTCATTTACGATTCAACGGGATTGTTATAATATACCTAGTTGTATTATTGGGAATTTTATACCAATTCACCCTTGATGATTATGAAATTATGAAATAATGTATTTTTATGATGACGATAATTCGAGAATGGGAGGCAGGGATTAGTTTTTTTTTTATTTGTTCTTCTCGTGACGGGTAGCACCATTATCCGTCGAGTATTTATGACCTTTATGTATTTATTATTATTATAACGCTTTTTTTTTATTTTTTATGATTTGAAATTTTCTTTATATCTTGGTTTTTTTTTTTAAAAAAAATTTTTTTTTTTCTGGTTTCATTCTATCATTTGGACTTGCCAAAAGAAACGCTCTTCTTCTTGGAAGCAGAGCTTGGGGCAGCAGCAGTAGCAGTAGCCTTTCCATTCTTTTTCAGTGACCCTGAAGAAGTTTTTTGTTTTTTGGTGGCAGGTGTACTTTCTTCTTCCTCAACTTCTTCCTTCTTGACAGACTTCTTGACTGGTGTCTTCTTAACAGAAGCCTTCTTTTTATCCTCAACAACAATTACTGGTTTTTCTACCACCTCCTTTTTGACTGAAGCTGGCGATGGCGCACCTTCACGCTCACGTCTCTTCTTTGTGGTAGGAGTTGCAGGTTCCTTTTTCTTTTCTGGTTCTTCGTCATCCTGTTGTTCATCCTCAGGGGTAGTTTCCTTATTAATTTTCTTTTGCTTTTTATCAGCAGGAGCAGCAGCAGCAGCAGTCTTAAGAGCACTTTCATCATCTACAATTTCATCGAGCAGCAGTTGGTTAATACGCTTATCGGAAAGTTTGTTGGCAGCAATGCGGCGCTGCTTGGCAACAACGGCAGAATCTTTTTGTGTTTCTTGTGTGGCCACGGCCTCAGAAGCATCTGCAATCACGTCTTGTGAAGCATCTTCATAAAGTGTTTCAGCAACAAAAATAGGCAGCGAGGGACCTGTAGAAGTTTTAAGGAAAACTCCACGTACGATTGGCCAGCCGCCCTTGAGATACTCTGGGGTCTGAGCACCAGTTGGAGTTTCAAGAATTGTGGCAACAGCAGCCTCGATGTTGGAAGCAACTTCATCTGAAGTCAGCGCGGTGGAACCGATACGGACAATAATTTGGTTTGAGGGAGAAACCATGTAATGTGTACCATGGATTCGCTTATACATTCCAGTAAGAGTTTTTGTGAGAGAAAATGTAGAGGCAATGTTATCTGCATCGACGAGCTCTGCGAGGTCTTTAAGAGAGGTCTTACTGTTAGTGAGGAAAGTTGTAGGGTTCTTTTTGTTTGATGAAGCCGAATTCTTGTTACGAATAGCGAGTTGAACAACCTTCTCGGCCTTGGTTACATTTTCGTCAGAGGTTGAGGTAAGGGCCACGGGTTGAGGGACAGTTTTAGATTGAGCGTAAAAAGACTTTCCCATGACACGGGGCATCAAGAGACCGTCATCAGCACGGGCCAATGCGGCATCAAGGAAAAAAAGGTCATGCTCAGAGATGAGTTTGCGACGAGCTTGGAATGGTTTATACTCGTTACGGAGCTGAGAGAAGGTAACGACGCGGTCAATTTTAATTTTAGAAAGGTCTTCAAGAGAGGGTATGCTTGAGGAGGAGGAGGCAGCAGCAGCAGCAGCAGATTTCTTAGATTTCTTTTTAGGAGCAGTAGTAGCAGAAGTAGATTCTGGAGACTCAGCTTTAAGAGCTTCGAGAGCATCTTCAGGAGTCTTTGTGGCTTCGACAAGATGTTCATCATAAAAGACTTGAGCAGCTTCGGCAGACATGCCTTTAATATCACGTACAATGAGGCAGACTGATGGCTCAAGGGCATCAGAAGCAGCTTTGCCAAAGAACTGATTAGGAAGCTCTACTAAAATAGGGTCCATGGACTTATGATCCGTGATAATTTTCTTTGTGGCTACGACAAGATCAAAGGGTAATAGTGGTATAGTATGATCTTCGTCGGCATAGTCCTCAAGAAGTAAGGATTTTTTAGAAACACTAGAGGCAGTGTTATCATCGTCATCTTTAGAAATACGTTGGACGTAGTCGATGAGAGCCTCTGCGGCTTCTTTAGCTTTGTCGAACGAAAGTTTTGACATTAGTGATGGTGGTGATAGTAGTTTGTGTATGTGTATGTGTATTTAAAAAAAAAAAAAATTAATTTTCTCAAGACAAAACGAGATTTTTGATTGAAAAATTTTTGAAAAAAAAAAAAAAAAAAAAAAATTAAAATTTTTTTGTGTGGCTTACATAATTTTTCTGCGATAACCCAAAAGATTTTTTATTTTCTTTTTTTATTTTCTTCTACATAAGAAAAAAAAAAATAAAAAAATAAAAATAAAAAAAATTTCAGATTTGCTTCCGGGTAACTTTGAAAGTTCTGTGGGAAACCTCCCTGTGTGTGTGTGTGCCATTCCTCCACCACCACCACCAATTTTTTTTTTTTTATCTCCCCTCTTCTCTCTCCTTTTATATTCACAAGCAGCAACTTGAATCTGTGGCAAGTTTCAACAAAAAATCATCACACAGAAAAATATCACAATGGTGTGTAGTTTGCAGAGAAAAGTTCTTGTTAATTTTTATTTTGGTTTTTTCTTTTTCTTTTGGTTTTGGTTTTGGTTTACTAACAAGTGCTGGTGGATTGCGGGTGGTGGTTAATGATGTGTGTGTATATATATATATATATATATGTGCGGTTGGTGATGATGCGGGTTTGTTTACATCGGGTCTTGTATTTTGAAATTTTATATCTGGTCTCTCTAAGATTTGTTCACGCCACTTGGAAACTGATATTTTCGCGCATGCTTATCTTCCCCTGAAATCCATGCCGACTCATATACTACTCAATCACACACACATATATATATATATGTATATATATATATACACTCACACACATTGTATTTCTCCCTCCCACTTCTTTATTTTTTTTTTTTTTATTTAGGGAAAACGTAAGAAAAGTTCAAGAGGACCCGTCAAGAAGATCAAACAGAAGTTAGATGTGACATTTGCGTGTCTGTTTTGTAATCATGAAAATTCCGTGACTGCGAATCTTGACAAGCAAATGGGCATTGGCACTCTGACATGTAAAGTATGTGGTCAAAACTTTCAAGCATCAATCAACGGTATGTCAATTCCTTTTTTTTTTTTTTTTTTTCTTTAATGTTTTTATTGTTGTCTGGATAAGAATATATTGAAACATATAAATAAACTAACTTAAAGTAGCTCTATCGGAACCAATAGATGTGTACTGTGAATGGGTAGACGCGTGCGAGGCCGTTGCGAAAAAGGGTCAATCTGGGGATGAAGAAGGAGAAGGAGAAGGACATGACTCGGACGGGTACGGTGAAACTTCATCGCGGCCGTCGGGCAGAGCAGGAAGCAGGCCCTCCGCGCTGTCTGATGAAGAAGATGACGAGGAAGACTTGTTTTAAGGTTATTTATGATTATAAAAAAAAAAAAAAAGAAAAGAGTTAATGAATTGATGAATTGATGAAATCTATTATTATTATTAATATAAAGGCTACGATTGTGGGGTTTAATTGTTAAAAAAAAGAGTTTTTATGTATATATATTTAATGAGAATTTTTTTTTTATTATTAGATCTAGAATAGAAAGAAGAAAAAAAGAAGATATGATTTGGAAAAATTGTTTGTGTAAATGTTTTTATAATATGATGATGTATTGTAGGTGTATAAATAAAGATATAGTAAAAAAAAATGCACCCAATGAAAACAACAACAATTATAATAATAAAATCATCAGACATTTATAAATATATATGCCAGATTTTATAAACAATTAGAAATGGAAAAAAAAAAAACAAAAAAACGATGGTATTTTTTTTTTTTGCTTAAAAAAGAAAAAGAAAAAGAAAGAAAGAAAAATCAATTGTTATCATGTTTGTTTGTTTGATTGTTTGATTAATTGATTTTTTTTTTTTGTGTCTGTGTCATTTTATTCATATTATTTCCGTTTAAGCAAAGAGCTCCTCAGAGAGATCAATACCAAGCTCCTGTCTAATGTCCTTGAGCTCATCAAGGTATTGCTGGTACTGTTCCTTGGTCTCGACCTTGACCTTAAGGCCCTCAAACAATCGGACAGCGGTGGGGTAGTCGTTAACACGTCTGCAGGCCTGAAGAGCCTTCTCGAGCACAGAAGGAGCAGGAACCAAATCGTAAGAAAAGGCATTGTTAAGAACACGCTGGACTTCGTAAAGATCATAAGCCTCGTCGAATTCCTTCTCGAATCTGAAAAGATATGTTAGTAAAACTTAAAAAAAAAATAAATAAATAAAAACTCTCTCAAGGTCTTACCTCTTGGTGAACTCCTCGAAGCTCTCATCGTCATGGCTGGAGTACATGCGGACAGACTTGATCATAGAAGGAGCAGCGAGCTGAGCACGAACGACAGGACGAGCGATGGCAGCTCTAAGAAGAGCAGGGCGGGCACGGAGAAAGAAAGACATTTTTTTAGGTGATTTTGTGGTGTGTTGTGGTGATGACAATATATAGAAGAAGGGGAAAAAAAAAAAAGAGAAAAAAAAAAAAAAAAAAAGGGGAGGGGAAAAAAAAAAAAAAAAAATAGAAAGAAAAGAAGGAAGGATTTTGTGTGTGTGAAGAATTAAAAATGTGTGGAAAAGCCAAAGCGGCCATAGGACAAAAAATATAAAAAATAAAATAAAATAAATTGTCACTGCCACCACCTTAAAATTTTAAAAAAAAAAAAGTATCACCACTAATAGTATATTATTACTACTACTACTACTACTACTACTACTACTACTACTACTACTACTACTACTACTACTACTACTACTACTGTTTCTACTACTAATGTTTCTATTACCACAGATATATAGTTTAAAATATAAACGGAAAGACCTTCGATGCGGGCACTGATTAAAGTTGTTTAAGCGGAGAGGTCGGCATAAAATTTTTCAGCAATGCTGTGGTTGGCCGAAAAATAAAAATAAAAAATCAGCCCATATAGAAAGGGAAAAAAATAAAAAAATAAAATAAAATAAAATAAAATAAAATAAAAATTGGCTACGGAAAAAAAGGCAAAGGGCAAAGCCCATATTAATATATTAATTAATATATCATATTAATATATCATATTAATATTTTTATTTTTATTATAATATAAATGTATTTGTTACATTTTCTTATGTAATGTCATCTAAACTGTAATATATTATTGTAATGTCATATGCACAGCCGTATTATAACCCAATCTGAAAAATTTCGGCAATAAACCACCCAAAATGCCCTCAAATGATCAAATCACCAAATCACCAACTAGGACTTTTTTATTTATTTTTTTTTTTTTTTTATATTTTTTCATTAAATAATCCCAATCAAAAAAAAAAAAAAAAAAAAAAAAAAAAAAAATTTTCACAATAATAACATCTTATTATACCCACAACAAAAAAAAATCAAAGCCTTGTGATTATGGCAGCATCTTAAAACCTTTACATTTCTCCTGCTGACATTGTCATTATTTGCCTTATCAGTCTATTTTTCTTCTTCTTCTTCTTCTTCTTTTTTCTTCATCTTCTTCTATCTCTCTTTCTTTCTCTCACTCCATGACCGCCTTGGTCTCAAGAGCCCATGGCACATTCATTAATGCCCGCTCTTTTCATTCAACTGCATTTCATCGCTATAGCATTGCAGACAAAGTCAAAAATGCAATCTATGCTTTGGCTCCAAAGGAAATCTTTGCAGATCAACTAGGAGAAGAAGAAAATGATGAAGATACAAAAAAATTGTCACACCAATACGTTGCCGATCTCGAAATACCTTACTCCAATCTTAATATACCAAATCAAAATACCAATACAACAAAACTGCATTCTTCACACCCTTCTCTTACTCTCAGATCAACAAATTTAAAACCACCATACATTACACAAGGTGTCATGGGGTCTCACGTTCATCTCCCATCCTTCATGCTTGAATCAATCAAACCTTTAGGCTCCCCAGGCGATAAAATCATTCACATCATTAAAACCTACCCAACTGTATCTCCACGAGCAATTCTAATCCTCATCAAACCAATTCTTTCCTCTCTCTCTGATTCCCATCTAATCCAAATATCAATCTACCTCTATTCTCATTTTTACCCTCGTGAAGCATGCAACCTACTCTCTACAGCCCAGTCTCTGGCCCCAGCAATTGCCTCCTTTTCCGATCTTATCCCTGCTCTTACTCAATCTCAAATTGACCGCACTGATTTTATTCTTCTCAACATTACTTCAACCCTCCTAGCTACAAATAAGCATTCCCTAGTTCTCCAGCTTCTCCAGGAAATCCAAAACACAACAAATCTTGGAATTATCCCCCCGCATGAACTTTTCGAACAAGCTAAACTCGCTAACCGCATCTTCACAGCATCTTCCACTGCCGATCTCGACATTGTTCTCGACAATACCCCAACTCGCATATTCTACAAAACAGCCCCACCACCAATTAAACTGGCTATTCTTAAAGCTGTTGCCATCTTCAAAGACCCTGATCTACTTTCCTCTCTCATAAAACAAGATTTCCCCTTTTTCACCTCACCATACGTTCTCCACAATATCATCTCAGAAGTCCACCATCAATATCAGCTTACAGACGACCCCTCTGCCATTGAAACTCTCATCCCAGTTTTGTTCGAAGTAACCAACCCTTACCATACCCCTTCCATTTCTTTCCACCCAGTCGACCTTGCATTGCTCCCCTTTTTGGCCCTGACAAGGCCTTTCTTCGACAAACTCTGGCGAAGAGCCCAGATCCTTTTAAAAAAATCACCCTCGCCTGAAGCATACAAGCTTTTCCTAGAAAAGGCAATTACTCTTAAACTCACACACTCTGCAACTGACATTTTAAAAGACTCCCAGAAATCAATCACATCCCCAGCCCTCATTGCAAGTGCAATCAATCTAGTCATTTGGGGGCGCCATAAAATCAAACACAAGCGGCCAGAAAAAACAGTTGAAACTCAAGATAAAATCTTAAGTTACCAATTTCTCGATGTTTCCCTTGTCAAACGAATCTTTAAATACACACCAATTGACATTCTTATCCCAGCAATCACCATCTTCCTTAAACGTCTCAATGCCCAATATAAAACATCTGCTCCAATAAACCTCCCTGCTTCCCAGCAAGAACATCCAATCCCTCGAAGCATTCTCTGGTCACTCATCAAGGCTATCGATACTACCCCTAAAACAAATACCACCCTTACCCCAGAAATCGAGCAGCAGCTGGCCCTGCTTATCGCCACGCGACCTCTAACTGAACAGTTTGAGTATTATACCCTTAAGGCAATCTCCGTGGATGGAGTCCTCCAAGCCATTCTAGCACATATTGCCAGACTCAAGCAAATCCCAGACACTCCACAAGAAGCAAACATTCAGCTTATTCTCTCAGCCTTGGTCATGATGAAATCTAAAATCTCCCATGACCTTAACCCTCATCTTCTTTCCCAAATCATTCTTTCGCTTTTCCAACTGGCCCCAGCTCTCAATGACCCCCTCCCGGAAATCATGGCATATATTGCTCCATCCGAGAAAGCCTCTTTAGATATTGTACAGAGCCTGCTCAGAAAATCAAACTATACCGCCGCTCTCAAGTACATTGACATTTTGGGTAACAATCTCCCCATCGAAGTACTCTATGCCGCAATGACTTACACAAGTTACGCCCGCCCAGCCCTCAGCATGCATTTTCTGCGATGGTTGCGTGTCCACCGAGGGATTGTCCCCCCACCTCGCGTGCTGCGACGCATGGCTATTGGATTTGCTAAAAGTCCAGCTCTTTCAGATAGCCAAAGTCGCGTGCGCATTGAAAAAGTCGCACGCGTGCTTTCCCGCCATCACAAGGCATCTCTGGGCCCTCATGCCGCGCGTGTATTTGTTGACAGCTTGTTGGCTCGCGCGCTGGCTCGCGGCCAAGGTAGTCGGCAACGGCTACGGTGGGCCATTGGTTTGGCCCGTCACCAAAATGTCCCTCCAGAGCAAATCCAGCAGTGGATGCGGCAGATTGATTACATGCGCATGAAGCGCGTTGGGTACTGGGCCCCGGGCAGTTCTGTAAGTGCAAAACCGGGACACACAGGGGTCCGGCCCACTCTTTCGCATATCCTGGCCTTTTTCTCTAGGCCTCGACCCAATAAAACTAGATAGAACAAAATTCAAGATAGATTACGGATATATATATATATATATATCAAAAAAAAAAAAGAAAAAGAAAAACAATAGTTGTAACTAAGTTATAAAAAAGGTACTGGTTAACCAGTTGTTGTAAAATGTACTGAAAAAATACCGCTTTATTGCAGACCTCCGCATCCCCCGTTTGGACCCAAAAAAAAAATTAAAATAAAAAATAAAACGTTCTCCCTCCCCGTAGAAATAAATTATGCACGTGACATTCTTAAAAAAATTTTAAAATTTTTCAGATTTGCCGGTGAAAAAAAAAATTTTTTTCCCTTCTTTCCCGACAACAAACGAAAGTCTTTTATTTTTATTTTTTTTTTTTTTAAGAATCTTTTTATAAAAGACCTAAGCTCGAGATATTTTTTATCTCAAGTCTATTCTTTTTATTTTTAATAAAAGAGAAAAAAAAAAAACAAATCTTTAAATACCTTCTTTTGCATATACCTCCTAGTTTTGAAACTGTTTTTGGTTTTTTTTTTTAGATTTTAATGACTGTGAAGCCTCCACTCTCGTGTCTTCAAATCTAAACAAGAAACTCTCCAAAGTTTCCCTCTCTCTATCTATTCTTTGTTCTATATACAAAATGAAATCCATCTATAAGCTCTCAGGTATAAATCGCAACCCTGCTGTCACAGTGGCTCTGCGGTCATCGTCAGCTTCGACCTTTACCTGCAGCATTCATCGTAGAGCCTTCACCAGCTCAGCTGCTGCCTTGTCTGCTGTCAAAATCCAAAGTCCCTCTCGTGGCTTCAAAACTGATTCCACCACAAACCAGGCTCTGTCTGGTTCAACGACCTCCTTTGCGTCGTCTCTTCATTCAGATCCACTGTTTTCCACATCTTTTGACCGATCAAAACAATCGTCGTCATCACCATCAAGCACATCGCCACCCTCCTCTACTACATCATATATGCCTGGTCTTAACACAACTTCATGGTCCTCGCCACACGACTCTATCAATCGCCACCAGTTCCTTAAGGACTACTCACACCTGTGGACACTGCTCGAGGCGTGTCTCGAGTCTGGAAACTTTGAGCGCGCCGAGCACGTTCTCATCTCCTTTAGCGAGCACTCTGATTCAAAAGACCTCACCATGGCGGTCAACAACTACCTTCTACGTCTGTCTGAGCTCAACAGCAAGGATAGCAATGTCTCCCAAACGTGGCTCCGCAATATTTCCCGCAAAATCCCAAAGTTCTCTCCTGATACTATCACTCGTGCAATCATTCTTAAAAATAAGTGCTTGCACTATGACTACGAAGAGTCGAAAATTGCAAGCTATATTCGCCAATACTCAACCGATATTTTAAAGCACGTCGATGTGCTTGGCATTGACATGATTGCAAAGATTGTCAAGGTAAGTTTTTTTTGTTTTCATAATATGAGACTTTAGATTTCCTTTCTAACCCAGTCCTAGGTCTGCGATATTCCTCTGTCTGATATTGACCCTCAGTTTAGAAGTCTTGTTCAGGCTGTTTTGGAAATCCCCAAAGAATCTAACGTTGATGCTTCGGTTGATACCACTTCTGATGCTACTTCTGCTCCCAACGCCACCACAGAGCCCACCAAACAAGCTTCCGAAGCAAAGGCCGATAAAGACTTGACCACTCAGCGTGAACAACAAGAAGCCATAAACACCAAACTCGCGAGTTTTGACATTGATTCCATCAAGTCTCTCAGCAAACCTGGTGTTGAGAACTTAAACGCCGTGGACTCATTCGGTCTCAAGGCTATCCAGCATACTCTCTCGGGCTTTGCCTCCAATAGTGAGCAATTTAATGGCGTTCTCGACAAGATCATCCCCTTTGCATCTGAAAAAAATGTCAATAATACAAACTACATTGACTTTTACAAGATGGTTCAACAAATGGAAAGCCCAGAAAGCAAAGCAACTTTAGAGGAAAAGGAAAAGTTCTACGAGGCTTTTGAAAGCTACAACATTGCTCGTCAAAAAACTATTGAGCGCAGAGGTCTCGAAGGTGCTAACCTCAAATGGAAACACTCTCATGAGCAAATGCGCCAAGCCGGTGCTCTTGCGCTGAAACCTCTCGAGGCTCTTCTCTGGGAATGGAACCTGGCCATGCAGCCTCTGCTCGAGCAGGAATTTGCTCGTATCAAAGAGGTGGTCAAGTACACAACCACTCGCAAGGCTAAGGATGCACACAAAAAGGCTGTCGCTGCTGCTGCTGCTTCTGCTTCTTCTGCCACTTCTAAAAAGACTGCTGAAGATGATCTTCTTGAGTTTGTTGAAGGTGAAAACGAGGATATTGACTTGTCAATTTCTGACCGCTTCGAGTATGGTCCTTATCTGTTGCTTGTCAACTCTCAAAAACTCGGTATTCTTACCATTCTCGAAATTCTCAAGCTTGTTTCCACCGGTGGCATCCAAGAGGGTATGAGAACCGCACGTGCCGTTCTCTCTGTCGGTAAGGCTGTCGAGATGGAGTACAAGATTGCAAAAGCTTCCAAGCGTGAAAAGGACATTTTTGGTGGTCTTTCCCCAGAATCCCTTTCTGACCAATCCTCTGTTTCTGCTCTCCACGACAAGATCAAGGAATCAAACCTTTCGAATCAAGTTTCCTGGCCCTCTTCTATCCGTGCCAAGGTCGGCTCTCTGCTAATCTCTCTTCTGATACACGTTGCCAAAGTCCCTGTCACTGGTAAGGACCCTGTTACTGGCGATGTTGTCACCGGTAAGGCCCCCGCCTTTTTCCACTCTTACCAGTACCAAGGTGGTAACAGAGTCGGCGTACTCAAGGTCCACAACTTTCTGTCTAAGTACATTTCCGGTGATACCCCCTCCAACTTCTTACAACCCCAGCTCTTGCCCATGCTTGTCAAGCCCCGACCCTGGAAGTCGTGGCGTAGTGGTGGTTACATTTACTCCACCAGCTCCATCATGCGTGTCAAGGATGCCCCTGAACAAATTGCATATCTCCGAGCAGCCTCTGACAACGGTGATCTCGAGCAAGTCTACGAGGGCTTGAACGTTCTCGGTGATACCGCCTGGACCATCAACACCCCAATCTTCAAGGTTGTGTCTAAAGTCTGGAACACAGGCAAAGAATTTTTGGAAATTCCTAATGAGCCTGGCCCACTCCAGGCCCCACAAGCCCCTCCCCGTGATGCAGACCCACAAGTGCGTCGTTCGTGGCTTCGTGAATGCCGCAAGATTCATAATGAGCACACTGCCAAGTACTCGCAACGCTGTGACACCAACTACAAGCTCGAAATTGCTCGCGCATACCTCGGTGAGCGCTTTTATCTCCCACACAATATGGATTTCCGTGGTCGTGCGTACCCCCTCTCTCCTCATTTGAATCATCTGGGTAATGACCTGTCACGTTCGCTTCTCATGTTTTGGGAAGGCCGCCGACTCGGTGAGAGCGGTCTGCGATGGCTCAAGATTCACACTGCCAATGTGTTTGGTTATGACAAGTTTTCATTTGAAGAACGTGAACAGTTTATCGACGAGCACATGGGAGATGTCTTTGATTCTGCAGAGCATCCTCTTGATGGCGAGGGTTGGTGGCAACAGGGTACCGATCCTTGGCAGACTCTTGCTGCGTGTATGGAGCTGACCAATGCCATGTCTCTTTCCAACCCTGAGGACTATATCAGTCACTTGCCTGTTCACCAGGATGGTACATGTAATGGTCTGCAGCATTATGCTGCTCTCGGTGGTGATATTGAGGGTGCGCGACAGGTCAACTTGGTCCCCAGTGAGCGGCCCCAGGACGTTTATTCCAAGGTTCTGGAAATTGTCCAACGCTACGTCAATGCAGATGCTGAAGAAGGCCACCCACTGGCAGAGCTTCTCAAAGACAAGCTTGCTCGTAAGGTTGTCAAGCAAACCGTCATGACTACAGTCTATGGTGTGACATTTATTGGTGCTCGTGCCCAAATTGCATCACAGCTCAAGGATAAAGAAGGCATTGATGAGACTCAGGTCTACGAATGCTCAGTCTACCTCACCCGTAAAGTCTTTTTGGCTGTGCGCTCGCTGTTTGAGGGTGCACACTTAATTCAAGACTGGCTGGGCGATTCTGCAGCCAAGATTGCAAAATCTGTGCGTCTTGACATTGACACGCCCTCGCGCCGTAACGGCAACAGACCCGACTTTATGTCATCAGTTATCTGGACCACACCTTTGGGTCTGCCAATTGTGCAGCCTTACCGTGAACAAAAGAGACTTCAAGTCGCCACCCGCTTGCAAAGTGTGCAGCTGGTCGATCCTTATGCTCTGCGTGGAGTTAACGCACGAAAGCAAAAGACAGCTTTCCCTCCTAATTATGTCCACTCGCTCGATGCCAGCCATATGCTTTTGTCAGCTGCCGAGTGCGGCCGTCAAAATCTGCAGTTTGCATCTGTCCACGATTCCTACTGGACTCACGCTGCCGACATTGACAAGATGAATGTCATCTTGCGTAACGCCTTCATCAACCTGCACGAGGTAGATCTGATTGCACAGCTTAAGAATGAGTTTGATCAGAGATATGGTGGTATGCTTGAGTATGCTGAGATTCCACGTCACTCAGTGATTGCTCAACGCATCATCAAGGCTCGCCAAGATCTGGCCGCCATTTATCGTGCCCGTGAGGAAGAGGAGGAGCAGCAGAGCTGGACCGATGCTCCCAAGCGCGGCCGCAAGAAAAAGGCCAAGAAGTCGGCCTCATCAACTAACCTGACAGTTGCCGAGGAAATTGCAATTGAGCGCGAGCGTATCGATCTGCTATCGTCACCAGAGCCCGAGGATGTTGCTCGGGGTCAATCGATGGTCACACCTCTTAGCATTGTGGAATCGCTGGAACCTGAAGAGCTGGACGCGCTTATTAAAGAAGCAAACTCTACCAAGAAGCAGCGCTCTGTCAAGTCCAAGACTTCGTCGTTCATCAAGTCAACTGAGCACTCTGGTAGTGGCTACGACAAACAGGCGAGTGCTGCAGCCGCTGCAGAGGAAGATATTGATCTTCTTGATGATGTTGAGGAAGACATTATTGATGAAGTTATGGGTGATGAAGAATCTGGTGCTACAACCAAGAAGACCCCTAAGCTGGACTCACTGGCAAGTGCAAAGTCCAGCACAAGTGTTGGTGTTTTCATCAGACTCAAGGTGGACGCTGTTCCTCCCAAGGGAACATTTGACGTCAAGGAACTGAGAAAGAGTAAATACTTTTTCTCTTAAAAAAAAAATTTTTTTTCTGTTTATGTTATTTCTATTTTTTTGTATATATGATTCTTATTTTTTTGATGACTTGTAAAATTGTTTCCCCGTTTGTGTTAATATAAAAAATATATAAATATATTCTATTCATTAAGTGATTGCCATACAAGCCCCGTTTTTCCCTCCATGACTCGTTGGTCTATAAACTTTCTGGTCACTTCTGGACCGTGGATTTGGTACAGTGAACCTATTGTTTGATACAAGGCGGCAATGGCCTGTTGCTCGCGGCCCACATTGTGAGGCAGCGAGTCATACACAATGGAATCGTAAAGGCCAATGGCCTTTGTGTAATGCGCAAGAGACTCTGGCCGGCAGAGATTAATGTCATTATACGGTGATAACCGATGTTGATGCATTGGCGATTTTGTGTTTTTAAACTCGCTTGCCTTCACGTCTTCTTCTTCTATAGGAGCAATTTCCTCGTATGGACTCACATAACCAAGCATATTAAAGTTGTAGCCATTCACAAAGCATCCAGGAGATGGGGCACGCCCAGGTGCAGAAAGATACTTCATGGTATATGACCAGCAACATATCTCAAGGTACATGCGTCCGATCCTGGCAAGTTTGGCAAGCTGATCGCTATGGCCCGAAGTTTCAGCCAGGCGAGGGTAAATAATGGAAAAAATGACGTTATCTGGGAGTCCAAAGTCTACCGACCCAGTTGAAATGTGAGTTCCATCTGATTCAATTTTGGTTCCAAGCACGCGTGAAGAAAAGTACACCAATGATGGGCGGAATGTAGATGCAGCTTGCCTAAGCTTCAAGTTTGTGAGATGAGCCTGGCGAGGGCCTCGAATGATTTCCGGGTCAAATATGCGCAGGGTATGTGCTGGAGACTCGATGTTTGAAAGAAAACGAGAGATTTGTCGTGCAAATGCCGGGAATACAGCTTGTAACGCTGGCTGGGACCATTTTAGCAGCAACGAGGGGGGTTGATTGGTTAAAGACTGTCTTGACGCTAGGCCGGAAACAAGGCCTTGTAAGTGGCGGAGCGTACGCTCTCGAGAGTCTAGTAAAAACTGGTAGAACTTAAGTCTACTGAACATTATTAACGGGTATCAGGATGGGGGTATTTTGGGCAAGCCTGCACATGGTGCTGGTTGGTAATTTGTTGATTTGATGGTTTGATGGGTTTGATGATTTGATGATTTGATGGCTGATAGATTTTGTTAAAATTTTGAAAGAAAAAAAAAAAGCCGTTGAGAAAAGCCGCAATAAACAGGGTAACTTATTTGTTACAATTTTAGTTGTAACATTTCTAAAGGTTTATCTCTCCACCCACACATGTTGACTTCGTCAGCACAACCCCATCCTCTTCTTTAAACTCCTCTTCAAAGCCACCCTAAAATATAAAAATAACTAATAAATATCAAAAAAAAAATTTCAATATTAATAATAATAATTCAGAAAAATGTCAAGTGCCGTCCAGGTTATCACGGCCGAAGAACAGGCCCGTAAGCTTGAAGAGTCGCTTGCAATTATTCACCAGCAAGAGGCGCTCATGCGCAAATGCCTTGAGTCTAAGGGTAAGCTCATGGACGCGCTGAAACATGCCTCGACGTTTCTTGCTGAACTCCGCACATCGCTACTCAGTCCCAAGCAGTATTATGAGCTCTACATTGCAGTATTCGACGCCCTCAGTTATCTGGGAGGATATCTCAGAGACAATCATAAGACTTTTCATCTTGCCGATCTCTACGAACTGGTTCAATATGCAGGTATGTGGTGTCTTTTTTTTTTTTTATATTTTTCTTTTGCCAATGCGTGGCGGTCGTATAAATTCGCTTGAGAAAATAAAACTGACATTTTGGGGATGACCTAGGCAACATTGTCCCCCGACTTTACCTAATGATCACCGTGGGTACCGCATACATGTCGGTACCCGACGCGCCCGTCAAGGAAATTATGAAGGATATGCTGGAAATGTGTCGTGGTGTACAGCACCCTACCCGCGGCTTGTTTCTCCGCTACTATCTGTCGCAAACTGCTCGCGACCACTTGCCTATTGGCGATTCTGATGGCCCTGGTGGGAACTTGCAAGACTCGATCCAATTCATTGTGACCAACTTTATTGAGATGAATAAGCTGTGGGTGCGTCTCCAACACCAAGGCCACAGTCGTGAGCGCGAAAAGCGTACCAAGGAACGTAAGGAGCTCCAGATACTAGTTGGCTCAAATCTTGTGCGCTTGTCTCAGCTTGAAGGAATTGACAAGGAGTATTACCGGTCGACCATTCTCAATGCTATCCTTGAGCAGATTGTTCAGTGCCGCGATGTAATTGCGCAAGAGTATCTACTTGACGTGGTCACCCAAGTTTTCCCCGATGAGTTCCATCTCTATACGCTTGACCTGTTTCTCAATGCCACTGCCAATCTTCATCCTGAAACAAGTGTTAAGAAGGTCATTTTGACCATGGTCAATCGACTTGCAGACTTTGCTGCCCGCGAAGCTGAAAACGAGTCTTCTGAGGGCGTTGACGCATTGACTGAATCTTTGAAAGCAGCCACTATTAAAGAAAGCGTTAAAAGCGACGATGAGCCCAAGAATAAAGAAGAATCTGAAGCTGACAAGCCTGAAAAGGAAGAGGAAGAACCTAACAAGGCTGAGAAAAAAGAAGGAGAAGGAGAAGGAGAAGAAGAAGAGCCCACTAAGTCTGAACCCAGCAAGCCGGAACGCCCCAAGGAGGTTGCAACGTACCGTGGAGTTCCAGTCAATATTGATTTGTTTGAAATCTTTTGGTCCTTCTTTCTCAAGCTCTTGGATGCTCGCCCAGATCTTTCTTTGGATGACATTACAGCCTTTCTTGGGGGTATTGCACGGTTGTCGCTTAACTGCTACCCTGAGCGCACCGAAAACATTGACAAGATTCTTGATTTTGTTTTGCAAAAAGTCAAGCCAACTGAGGAAGAAGAGCCTATTTCTCCTATAACCACTGGGAATGTGTTGGATCTTCTCAAGATGCTAATTCAAACATACCCACAGATGTTGACTGTTCTTTCGCTCAAAAACTTTATCCCCCTACTGGAGTCTCAGCCTACAGCTACACAAAAGGCGGTTGCATCAAGTGTTGCACAGGACATTCTTAAAGGCGGCAACAAGATTACGACTGTTGAGGATACAGAAGGTGTTTTTGGACTGGTACGCATTGTGATTCGCGAGGGCGTGGATAGTATTCGAAACAAGCATTCCAGCGACGGCATTGCTAAGCTGATGGGTGGAGAGTCGCCTGCTGCGACTTTTGGAGAGGACGATAAGGACGTTCCTGATGAGATTGTTGCGGATCAAGGCAACTTGGCCAAGATGGTTCACTTGCTGTATAACCCTGATGCGGAGACGCACGCAAAGCTGTTGACGGCTGCGCGTAAGGCACTTTCTGAGGGTGGAGCATTTGTTCGATATACATACCCAGCGCTTGTGACGAGTGCGATGCGGCTTGTGCGACGGTTCAAGGCGCGGGAGCCAGTAGATTCTGAGTGGAAGGACAAGGTTTCGTCAACGTTTAAGTTTATGCAGCTGGTGATTGGAGACATTTACCGTGTGGGGGGGAGTGACAAAGCGCTGCGGCTTTATGTGAATGCGGCGAGTGTTGCTGACCAGGTAAATGTTGAGGAGGCTGCTTATGAATTTTTTGCCGAAGCGTTTACTGTTTATGAGGAGGCTGTGAGTGACTCGCGGGCGCAGTACCAAGCCATTGTACTGATTGCTGGAGTTTTGCAAAACACGCGCAACTTTGCGACAGATTCTTACGACACGCTTGTGTCCAAATGTGCGTTGTATGGATCAAAGTTGTTGAAGAAGCCAGACCAGTGTCGGGCGGTTTACCTTGCGAGTCATTTATGGTGGGCGGTTGAGATTCCGGCATTGGGTGAGACTGAGGAGGACAGTGAGTTTTTCCGTGACGGGAACCGGGTGCTTGAGTGTCTGCAGCGGGCGCTACGTGTTGCAGATGCATGCATGGATGTTGCTGTTTCAGTCGAACTTTTTGTTGAGATTTTGAACCGGTACTTGTACTTTTTCTACCGGGGGAATGATAAGGTGACTGTCAAGTATATTACAGGGCTGATTGAGTTGATTCAACGGAATTTGGATTCGATGACAAATGACGGGAATGTGAGTGATTCGCCGCGCAAGCACTTTGAGCGGACGTTGCAGTTTATTACAGATCAGAAGGAAGAGGATGAGCGGTTCCAAAAGATTGTTTGGTAGATTAGTAGAATAAGTAATAGTAGTAGTAGTAGTAGTAGTAGTAGTAGTAGTATTAGGGAGGGGAGGGGAGGATGTTTTTTATATATATAAATTTATACACTAATAGTAACTTGATGAGCATATTGGCATGCTTTATAGAGGGCAGTACCATGGAAGACTGCGGCGATGACGACGAAGAAATGAAAGATTTGGTGGGAGTGGCCAAAAAGGTCGTATTTTCCCGGGTGCCAGCGCTCGGGGATACGTGCGGCGTAGATTGCAGCTCCTGAGATGTAGAAGAAGGCTTCATTTAGGAGGTAAAAGAGCTGGGAACGTTTTGCAGTTTCTTGGAGGCCAAAGACGAAGAGGCCAGTAATTACTGGGAAGACACCTGAGAGTCCAAAGGCGACAAACATGGCAGCGCGGTATGGGCGCCAGTCTGGGGTTCTGAATTTTGAGTCTAGGGAGACGGTAGCGCAAGCGGCTCCGAGGAGCAAGGTAAGGGACCAGAAAAAGATGCGTGGAGCAGGCATATCAGCGAAAGAGTAGTTGACTAGGGAGACCATGGAAGCTACGATGAGCAAAACAATGCCGAGATAATCGAGCTTATTCCCGAGAGTTGCGACAGCATGGGAGTGGGATTTAAGGGTATGGAAAGTTGCAGAGAGGCCGAGACAGCCTGCGACACCGAGAGCGAAGATGAAAAATGCGGCAGAGTCAGGGAGGAGGTATGGAGGAGTGGATGGGTGGTCAGGGTATTGTGGGAGGATTGAGATGGAGAAGAAGGTTAGGAGGGCAGCGAGGGCTATGCAGAAGAAGATTGCGAGGATAGCTGGGAGGAGGTGGGAATAGATATTTACAGATTCATTATGGAGGTAAGTGAGGGAGTGAATTGAGTGTGCGAGGGAATTTGTTTGTGGGACATAACCTGTATGGATGTAATGGTTATCACGCATCCAGTGGGGGAGGTCATCCCATGATATGAGGGATTTTTTAAATGGTTTTGGAGATGGCGGGGGGTTAGGAGATGAAGTAGAAGGTTGGTCAGTACGAGAGACCGAAGTAGTCTGTGAGGAGGAGGAAGAAGTTGAGGCTTCGAGGAGGGCCATGTTTTCAATGTCGATGTCAGAGGTGGCCATAAAGATGGGATATAGGATATGTGAGTTTATATATATATATAAATAAATATAAATATAGGAAAGTGGGTTTTTTTCTTTAGATTTGGAGTTTGTTGGATGGTTGGGGAGAGATAATTTATTGTTGAGACACAAATAAAAAAAAAAAAAATCCGATGGGATTTCTCTCTCTCTCTCTCTCTCTCTCTCTCGGCTAACGGAGGTTTTGTCGGGTGAAAGTTATTGCGAGATCTATTTTAATGGTATATGTAATTTATATTTAAGTTTAGTAGTCATGTGACTAATTACATTTATTTTATTTTATTTTATTTTATTTTATTTATTACATTTTATTTTTTTTTTTTATAAATTCTGGGGTATTTATTTATATTTATTTAAATTTTATTAAATATTTTATCACTGGCCAATCACCAGCAACAGAGTCTAAGTGTCGAGAGAGAGAAAGAGAAAGAGAAAGAGAGGAAAGGGAGTAGCCACCTAAAATGGCTGGCCCTACACTATTTCATCCATCCCTCCGCCCATCCACTGGACTAGTTTTTTAATTTTTATTTATTATTATTAAGGGAAAAAAAAAAAAAAAAAAAAAAAAAAAAGGACTACACAATAACATACCACCACCACCATCTGACTTTCTAATCCTTTCTCCTCTTATATATTCATATTTTAAATTTTTTTTTTTTTGAAGAAAAAAAAACAAGAAATATCAACACCAATTGACTATAAAAGCATGACCAACTACGGAATTACACCCACGGAAACCCCCCGGTTATGTGTTGTGATGGTTGGACTGCCTGCACGAGGCAAATCGCTCATCACGCAAAAAATTGTACGGTATCTGTCATGGCTATCAATCAAGGCCCGGTCATTTAACGTGGGGTCATATAGGCGTTTGCAGGAAGCTCATCCATCTGCGGACTTTTTCGATGTGCACAATGCACAGGGTGAGCGGATGCGACGGCAAGCTGCTGAACTTGCTGTGAAGGATATGCTTGAATGGTTTGAGACGAGTGATGGAGTTGTAGCTATTCTTGATGCTACAAATTCTACCAAGGCCCGGCGGTCGTGGATCAAGGAACTATTACAGGGGCATGGAGTGGAACCATTTTTTGTGGAGAGCTGGTGCAATGATAAAGAGTTGATTTGGAATAATATTATGGATGTGAAGACGACCTCGCCAGATTACGTGGGGCAGGACCCTGAGGAGGCGGCCAAGGATTTCATGGCTCGGATCCGGAAGTATGAGGAGGTGTATGAGACTTTAGATGAGACAGAGGCGGAGTCATCATATGTGAAGATTATTAATGTGTCATCTCAAGTTGTTATTAACAAGATTCGGTCATATTTACAGTCTCGGATTGTATATTATGTGATGAATTTGCACATTAAGCGGCGGTGCATTTGGTTGAGTCGACATGGCGAGAGTGAGTACAATTTGACTGGTAAGCTTGGAGGGGATGCGAATTTAAGCCCCCGTGGAGAAATGTATGCAAGGAAATTACCTGAGCTTGTGAAGGAGGCTGTGGGGGATAGGCCACTGACTGTTTGGACTTCGACATTGAGGCGGACGCAACAAACGGCACGGTTTCTTCCTTATCCGAAGCTTGCATGGAAGGCACTTGATGAGCTTGATGCTGGTGTATGTGATGGAATGACTTATGAGGAGATTGAGCAAAAGTATCCGGAGGATTTTGCTGCTCGTGACAAGGACAAGTATGAGTACCGATACCGTGGTGGGGAATCGTATCGGGACGTTGTGACACGGCTGGAGCCGATTATTATGGAGCTTGAGAGGCAAGAGAATATTATGATTGTGACACATCAGGCGGTATTGCGATGCATCTATGCATACTTTATGAATGTGCCGCAGGACCGGTCACCATGGATGGTTGTTCCATTACATACGTTAATTCAGTTGGAGCCTCGGCCGTACTCTACAAATGAGACTCGGGTGCCTGCTAATATTCCTGCGGTTAGCACATACCGGGAAAAGGGCACTAGTAGCAAGCATAGTACTGAGGTTGTTGAGTGAGTGAGTGATTACTTAGTGTGAGAGGAATAGTAAGGAAGAAGAAGGTTAAGGGTTTTTTTTTAGGAATGTAATAACAACAACAACAACAACAACAACAACAACAACAAGTAGAGTGGAGTGAGTAATTGATATCATGTGAGAAATGAGATTATTTACACGTGATTGTCGTGTGACTGGTGATGACGTTTGATTTTTTTTTTTGTAAGAGAGAGGGGGGTGTGGAAGGAAGTTTTTGAAAAAAAAAAAAAAAAAAAGCGGCAACAGCAGCATTAACTTTTAAAAGGGGAAAATCCGGTTATTTGGCAGCAGCAGCAGCAGCAGCAGCAGCAGCAACAACAGCCTTTCCAAGTAAGAAGGAAAACCGCCGCACAAATTTATTTATTTATTTTTTTATTTTTATTTTTTTAAAAAAAAAAAAAACTATAAATCTTTTTTATGAAATTTTTTTTTTTTTTTTTTTTTTTTTAAAAAGATTTAGTTTTTAAGAGCATTTATATGTTTAAGAAAGGAAGGAAGGAAGGAAGGGTCAACTAGTCAATGAGTTAATCATTCCGGAGAGACAAGAAAGAAATAATAAAAAATAATAAAAAATAATAAAAAATAATAAAAAATAATAAAAAATAATAAAAAATAATAAAAAATAATAAAAAATAATAAAAAATAAAAGTTTACAAGGCGATGCGATGATGCCGTGCCGCGGGACCAAAGAACAGCACCAGCGGTAGTTGTTGTAATTAACTTCTAAGTAAAATAGTAAATAGTAAATAGTAAAAAATATAGTAGTATATTTATATAATTAATAGTAGCAGCATCACTAACAGTAACTAATAGTGGGATCAACGGATTCCGGGTATTTGGAACGGGTCTAGTTAAGAAATAAAGGAAAGAAAGAAAAAAAAAGAAAAAAAAAGGTTCCCGAGAAAGATAAATAGATAGATGATGATGATGATGATGATGATGAAAAAAAAAAAAAAAGAAGAAGGAATATGCGATATTAGATAAATTTATATATATATAATAATTATAGAATTGATGGAATTGATGGAATTGATGGAATTTGTGGAATTTATGGAATTTATGGAAAACTCTCCGCTCGGGATTTTAGCAGCCGTAGCAGCAGTAATAGTAGTATTAGTATTAGTATTAGTATTAGTATTAGTATTAGTAGAAGTAGAAGCAGCAAAAGCGGCAACGGCCAGATGTCTTTCTTGATCGGGGAATTTGAAAAAAAAAAAAAAAAAAAAAAATAGAGGAGGATTTTAGAAAATCAAAAAAATCAAAAAAATCAAAAAAATCAAAAAAATCAAAAATAAAATTAAAAATAAAATAAAAAAAAAGCCTCGTATTTAATATTTAGTTATATTTATTTATATTTATTTTAACTTGTTTTAATTTAATTTTTTTTTAATTTTTATTTTAAATTTATTTCTTTCTTTCTTTTTTTCTCTTCCTTTTTCTCTCCCTTTTTTTTTTAATTTTTTAATTTTTTAATTTTTTAATTTTTTTAATTTTTTTAATTTATTGATTTTTATTTATTTTTATTTATTTATTTATTTATTTTTTCTCTCTTACAAAATTCTTTTTTTTTTTCTCTTCTTCTTATTTTCATTTTCATTTTCATTTTCATTTTCATTTTCATTTTTTCATTTTTTTTTTTTTCATTTCATACGTTTCTTCATTAAAATATATATAAAATAAACAATGTCAACAACTCCAACTCCAAATTCATTCAAACCGTTAAACGTCCTCCCCCCACGGTTCCATCATAACTCTCGGACCCTGCCGCCACTCCACACTACTCCATCTCCTCCACAACCTTCTCAACCATCATCATCATTCACTCCAATGCCTAAATCATCCTCTACAATCTTACAAAAACAAGGTTATGCTCCAACTTCAAATCCTTCATCCTCTTCTTCTTCTTCTTCTTCAAATAAAACAAAGGCTTCCGCTCCACCTTCCCCTTCTCCTTCTCCATCCTTATCCCCAGCATCAAGCCCACTTCCATGTACTCCAACCACTGCTACTGTTACTACTGTTATTACTGCTACTACTACTAATCCCCACCAAACTATTCCCAAAATCCATTTCAAAGCTATATCAGCAACTCAACCATCACAAGTCACAGCTACTTCAAATGTATTTTCTTCTTCTTCTTCTTCTTCTTCTTCTTCTTCTTCTTCTTCTTCTTCTTCTGTTGTGCCGGTTTCAACAGCCACTAAACTCAGCTCCAACACAGCCACTACTATTACCCCCACTGCCTCAAGTCCTCACAACTCAGTGGTAACCTCCTCCACCAACACCTCCACTCAGCCAAGACCTCTCAAGAGGTCTCGTAGCTCGGCAAAAACTGATATCCACGCCCCGGACTACGGCTATGAAATCGTCTACCGCATCCACGAGGTCCCGACCTCCACCCAAATCCCTCCCGATCAAGTCCCCCTTGTTCCGAATACCTCCCGTGACATCCGCATGCGCAAATATGCAACCGCAGTCGACTCACGTAATTTCCTTACAGTCTATGAATACTCGTTAAATAACCAGTGGATCATTTGGGATTATTACACAGGATATGTTCATTTGACTGGACTCTGGAAAGCTCTCGGGCATTCTAAAGCTGACATTGTCAAACTTTTGGAAACTTCTCCGGATCTGGAGCCAGTTATTCGACGCGTCCGTGGAGGATTTCTTAAAATCCAAGGTACTTGGGTCCCCTTTGAAATTGCACGTACTTTAGCTGCAAGAACATGCTTCCATATCCGATACGCTTTAGTCCCTCTATTTGGCCAGGATTTCCCCGATGCTTGTTTAAAACCTCATGAACCAGGCTTTGGCCAGTTACAAATGCGCCTGGCTGATCCAGCTTCTCGCAAACGTCGCAGAGTTAAAAAGAAGGAAGATAATTTGTCTGCTAAATCCTCCTCCTCTTCTTCTTCTTCTTTGGCTACAACCCAAAACCCCGTTACAACAAGTAGGCTGGCTACTACTGTTACTACTAATACAACAGCTGTTCAATATTTACCGTCGCCACCGCACGGCGTAAGTGTTTCCTCGAACAGGCCCGACGAATACGACCAAAAGGTAATGGGATATGCCGGAAGTGCCGATACAAACAACATCAATAACAATATCAACAATATCGACAATATCGACAATATCAACAATACCAATAATACCAATAATACCAATAATATAAATGGATTTACCGGGTCTAGCCAAGATGAAACTACGAAAAAATCTGGTGGCAATAGCAACAGCGGGGTCATCACGCGGCCTCTTGGAATGACCAACACTACCAATGCTCGGCAACTTGCAACAATAACAGATTCTGCGCGACTCCTCCACAACGGCAACAGCAACAGCAACAGCAACAGCAACAGCAACAACAACAACAACAACAATAATAATAATAATAATAACCACTTTGGCGAGGCTCAAGGCAATAAGAATATTAAAAAGTACTCGCCACCATCATCACCGTCACATGGCCCATCAAGATCGACAGACTCGGCAACAACAAGTACTACAACTACTACAAGAAAAACAGCAGTAGCAACACCAACAACAACAAGTACTACAAAAAGTTTGGCTGGGCATGATCAAAGTTCCACTAAAGTTCGAGACCCTCGGGCCCTTGCGCCGCTTTTCCCGGGGACGGCCGAGGGCGGTTGTTATGGTGGGTTGTTATATGCTGGTGATGAAAAGGGAAATGTAAGCTGCAGTGGTGGTGGTGGTGATGACGTCACAAGTGGTGGTGGGCTCAGGGGGGGGTCAGAAAAACGTTTGCCTCACGAGGTCTCTTATGCTCAGACTTTTCAGCAACAGCAACAGCAACAGCAAAATAAATATGAAAAGAAGGAATTTCAACACGTCAGATCAGAATCTTTTGGTGGCGTTGTCGGTGGCAATAATCTTAACAAAAGTAACAACAAGTACTCGGGTCGGACAAAAGAGTCTATCCGTTCATCTACAGTTCCTCCACCACCGTTGGAAAAAGATTTTGGCCGGAACGCTGGTGGAAAAGATTCCGCCGGAACTTACAACAGCCCACTAGTACAGCCTCATTGGACGGCTGGAAGCGCAGGAGAAGTGGATTCTTGGTTAACTCCGCACTTACAGAATCAACAATATCATCAGCAATATCAGCAACATCAACAATATCAACAACAGCTTGACTTTAGAGCATCAGCATCAGAAGCTGGTTTGACACAATCTGAAGTAGGAAGAACAGCTACAACTAATGTCGGAAAAAATGTTTCTTCTTCTTTTGGTTTTAATAATAAATCGTCATCCTCTTTGTCACCATCGTTGCCGCCGTCGTCGAAATGCTCGCTCACCCGCCTGTCGCCTCCATCGTTTGAGCCCCACCAACACCCATACCAAAACCAAAACCAAAACCAAAACCAAAACCAAAACCCCCTAACAAATAACGACACGCTAACGCCGACGCATCTCTACGGCGCCATCACCCACCATGCCTACCCCCACTTAACTGCCGCCGTCACCACAGCCGCCGCAGCCGCTACTAATACTGCTGTTAATAAAAAGCCCACGCAATCACAAACCATTGGCAGCTCCTTCATTTCTCTTGGAGGCTTGGCACAATCGGATCCACGGGTATTTCCCACTTCCTGCAACCCGTCGCTTTCTCCACCGTCGCCCCACAAAAATGGCTCTCAACTGATGTTTTCCCAGGGTCAAGGGTTCTGCTCTACGCTACCACCACTCCACAACCATAACCAAACACAGACACTAACACAGACACAGACACAAACACAAATGTTTCGATCCGATTCACTCCGACCCGAAGACTACCATTTGACCCAAACTCACCACCAAAAACTACAAGAACCAATCACTCCACCACCACCATTACCTGCTAAATTGGCTCTGGGCGGCCCACGCGAAGAAAAACTTCTTGCTACATCTCCATCAGAACTTGTCCAGGTCCTTCAGGCTACCCGCTCACTCCAGCAAATGTCTGCAGGCGTGGCTGCTCGCAGATGGTCAGTCAGCAGTAGTGCTAAACTCCTTGGAGGACAATTCGAGTGTGGAGGACGCCGGTTTGCTTGGGATGGATGTGACAAATTGTTGGTTAAGGATGAAGTGGCAGTAGAAGAGGAAGAATGCGAGCAGCAAAAACAGCAGCAGCAGCAGCAGCTAAAGAAACAGGTGATTGAAAAACAAAAGGATACTCAGCGTGGGGCAATGGACATTAATCGTCTTTTATCATGAATTTTTTTTGTAATTTATTTTTTTGTAACTTTTTTTTTTATTCTTCTTCTTCTATTAACTTGTATTATTTTCTAACATATATATATATATAAATATACCAAAAAAAAAAAAAAAAAAAAAAAAACTTATTTTCTAAATTTTTTAATCAACTAGTTTTGGTCAAAAGCCCTGCCCGCTTAAGCTCCAGTGCTCGCTTATAAGGCGGTGCGGTGGGGGCCTGCACTGGATCCAGCGACAGCCGCGCCAGTTCCTCGGGTGCCAGGGTGTATGTTGCGTCCGAATCGTAGGCACTAAGATCGCCGCACGCTATAAACTGTGCATTTGCTCTTGATCCAAACACATCATCTAATGGAAGCGAGTCGCCGACGCTAAGACTTGGGACTCCCTTAAGAACGGATTCCGTAAACTTTTGTGTAGACAAGTTTTGAACACCACCACTACTGCCACTACTACTAATACTATCCAATTGCTGCTTCTGTAAAGCCTCAGGCTGACCTCCACGATAACCAAGCCCAACTATAAATGCTTCCAGAGATGATGCTCTACTCGATCTTGGTTTTGCACATGCTACATGAACAAACATACGACCCATTTGATCATACAGTAAATCAATATCTCTTCCACGGAAAATCTTGGCCACAAACGCGCCACCTGAACGTGCATCCACGGGACCACCATTTGCAGGAGCCTCGTCCACGGGCCGCAGAACTGCTGCAGCAACTTGTAGCGCCGAGTGGATCAGTTGAGCCTGAATATACTCGTCAAGATCATGAAGCCCTGTAACATCAGGAGCGCCGTCTGAAACCACAAGATCCGCAGGCTCACCGTCAAAGTGTGCAAGAATCGCTGCAATTGTTCGTGGGTGAGTAATATCAGCCTGCATAGTAGTTACCCCCTCGATTGGTGCCATGGGTTGCAAATCTACTGCCACAATCTTGGGTTCTTGAGGTGCTTTAATGTGTACTTGTGAAGATGATGAAGAATCTTTGACTCGAGAGTATTCGGCAACTGCAGCAGCATGCTCTTCACGCATCCGCTGAGAAAGAACTTGTGACCAACTTCCCGGAGCCGCGCACAGGTCCACGACCCGCGTGAGGGCCTGCTGGTGAGACGAAGATGCGGCGGCAGTAGTGTCGGAGGCAGAGGTGGCACCTGGGTTTAAAAGATGGAACTGGGAGTCGAGTTGTAAAAGTTTAAACGCAGACCGTGCGCGCCAACCTTCTTCTTTGGCTTTGCGGTAGTACAAGTCGCGTTTATCTTTAGATGATTTACCCATAATGTCTTTTAGATGTTGTTTTTTTTTTTTTTTTTTTTTTTTTTTCTTTTAATAAAAGCTAAGTGTGATGTGATTGAAATAAAAAAAAATTTTTTTTGTTCACTATTTTCTATAAAAAAAAAAAAATCTATATCACATGACTGGGTCCGAACCAATCCAACTCATTTTTTGTTTATTAATTTATGGGAACCGGTAAAACAATCCAAAGTACCACTCGACGTTATAATTGCCCGCGTCTTTCCAATGATCATCCCACATTGAAAACATATAAACATCGCCCTGTAGCGCATTATAAATCTGAGTCACTGCTATACCTTGATTCACATCCGACGGCACCTGCAATCCATTTGTGTTACCGTCGTGTGGGTACCCAGTTTCCAGAACCTTGACATCCGAGCGTCCGCATGCGTCCTTGACCAGCTGTACCTGTGCCAGCATAAAGTCACCCGACTGGTCAGCAGCAATACCCGAATCAAAGTACGGGTGAATATTGACACCCACGTAATCTGCTGCACTCGACGTGCACAGCTGTGGGTAGCTCTGGTAAATCCCCACAATCTCCGACGTGATGACGGGGCCTGTGAATCCAATCTCAGATTGCAGTTTTGACCGCACACTTTCCATCTTGCTTGCAAGATCATCTGCAGTCACCCAGCCATTTGTCACTGCCTCGTTTCCAATAGCCACGGCCGTAACCACATCAATGTCTCCGGAACTTTGAGCCCACGAAATAAAAGACTCAACTTCGCTATCGACCACGTCGACGCCTGCGCTAGTTACGTAGAATCCCATAATGACTGTAAGGCCCTGGGCCTTTGCCGGTGACAGAATGGTGTTAATTGCGTCACAGTCTGCACCGTACAGACGCAATTCTCGAATCCCCTTGTTGTAGAGATCTGCAAGGTCCTGCGCAATCTCGGAAGTGCTACGACAAGACGTATCATTGTTGAATGGCGTGTAACTCAGCGACCGAGGTGTAAACTTGAACAACCCATCATCTCCAGGGTAGTCGTAATCGGTCCAGCCGTCAGAAGATGTTGAGGTGGTCGTGGACGCGGCAGCAGCTGTGGACGAGGTCGTGGCAATGACTTGGGAAGAAGTTGTTGGCACGGCATCAGGTGTAGATGTTGTTGAAGTTGTAGGCACGGCATCAGGTGTAGAAGTAGAAGAAGTTGTAGGCACAGCTTCAGGGGTAGAAGTAGAAGAAGTCGTAGGAACAGCCTCAGGAGTATAAGTGGTAGATGAAGTGGTAGGCACGGCTTCAGGGACCCAAGTTGACGAGGTTGAAGTTTGAGCTTCCTGAACTGGAGTCTCGACCACAACAACAACCGCTGAAGAGGAGGATGAGCTAGTTGTTGTGGGATCAAAGTTGACAGTCTGTACACTAACGGACGTTTGCTGTTGTACAGTATTTATAACCTGTCCCGCTGCGTCTGTTGCCCCGGCACCCAAGGCCACCACAACGTCTGCCGCACTATCAGCAGCTGTTGATGCCGCACCTGTGGAGCTTTGAGGGTCTGCAGTGCTGCTGGATGGTTGTGCGGCTGATGGTTCAACGGCATTAACCGAAAGAGTAGCAGCCGATACAATCCACTCAGAAGAAGAAGAGGAGGAGGAGGAGGAGGAGGAGGCTGAAGAACTATCAGTAGCAACAATAGTGATTTCGTTTTGTTTGTTGGCAACATTGACAGAGGCAGCATCTGTAAAAGATTCCAAGGAATCAATGGTTGTGGCAGAAAAGGAAGAAGAAGATGAAGATGATGAAACTGAAGTGGAGGAAATGGGATCAGATTCAACAGAAGATTCCACAGAAAAAAATGAGGATAAATCAGTAGATGAGGAAGAAATAGCAGTAGACTCAGAAATAACACTGGATTCTGTAGTAGGGTCAACTGAAGATTCAACTGAAGACACAATTGGAGCAGCACTGGAACTTTCTGAAGAAGAAATGTAGGAGGACTCTGTGGGAACTTCCGCTGAAGAGCTAACAGATGAAGCAATAGTAGACTCAACTGAAGACTCAATAGCAGAAGCAACAGCAGATTCAGTTACAGATGCATCTGACAAAGAAGTAGAATACTCAACAGATGAGATTGAAGCAGTTGATTTATCAGCAGATCCAGAAATTTCAGTTGAAAAGTTGGCAGCCACAATGCTTCCAAGGGACAAAGTGACTGCAGAAAAGCTACTACTTTCATCAGTAGCAGAAGAAGACACAGTGCTTACATTAGTCTTTGATGTCTCAACAAGCTTAGAAAGGCTTGGAGCAGCAGTAGACGATGCAGGGGCCGTAGTTGTAGCAGCAGAAGTAGCAGAAGTAGCAGAAGCAGAATGTGTGTGTTTAAGGGCGAATTCCATAGTTGCGTTCAGGGTGGAAAATGTGGAGGTTGAGAGAGCAGTGGCAGTAGATGAAGAAATACTGTGGGCCAAAACTGTAGAGTTAGAAGAGATAGTTGAGGCAGTTGAGGCAGCAGTGGTCACGGTGGCATTTAAGTAGGCGCTGTGTGTGATGATGGAAGAAGATGAGGAAGAAACAAGACCACTAATTTTGGAGGTGATTTCTGCAGCTGAGTCAGCATTTGAGGCAAGAGAGGGGGAAGTAGATGAAGAAGATGAAGGAGAAGAAGGAGAGGCTGGAGAGGATGTGGGGATAGTAGCAGAACCTGGGAGAATGGTAGTGACAGCTACAAAAAATGGAGAATCGCTTGAAAAAGAGGAAACAGAGGTGGAAGTAGAAGAAGAGGAAGAAGACTCGATGGTGTTAGAACCAGAGGAAGAAAGAATAGTGTTAGAACCAGATGAAGAGAATGACTCAATGGCATTGGAGCCAGAGGAAGAAGAAGAAGAAGAAGAAATAGTAGACTCAATGACAGAAGACTTGGTCGATTCGTCAGAGGATGAAGTAGAAGTAGAGCTGGACACAGGCACTAATTGGAGATTTGCAGAAAGAGTAGCCAACGGAGAAGAGGAAGAGCCGGTGTTGCTTGAAGATCCAGAAGAGCCAGAAGATTCATTGTTTGTAGAAGATGAATCAGAAGAAGCACTGGAAGAAGAGGAAGAGGTGTTTGCTGAAGTTTCAGAAGAACCTGAACCAGAACCAGAAGAAGAGGAAGATGTGCCGGAGGAAGTGTTAGACGAAGAAGAAGAAGAATCGGAAGAACTGGAAGAAGAAGAGGACAAAGAATCAGAAGATCCCAAAGAGTTTGAGGAAGAATCAGAAGATCCAGAAGAATTACTTGTAGAACTTGACCCAGAAGAACTGTTGGAACCACTGGAATCAGAAGAACCATTAGAACTGCTTGTATCGGAACCAGCCGAAACACTAGTGCTACTACTTGAACTGCTGTCAGAGCTTGAAGTTGCAGCTGCTGAAGCCGCATCCACACTCACGGTAACCACTTGGGAGCCAGCTCCCGACGACACACTTGCTGCAACTGAATTTTCATTTGCGCCGGCATCATTATACTCTCCTGTGATGACGTTCCCGTCAGAGTCTACAATGACGACCTGTGTGACTATAGACAAAACTGTTTTTGTAACAGGAGTGCCGAACTCTGTAACGACTACAGTTGCGTTTGTGTAAGGCGCAAGGGTTGTTGTTGTTGAATTCTGGAGAAGCGTGGAGTTAAGAGTTGCAGTAGAGTTGTTTAGATTGTACTGTGAGGTAGAGTTTAAAGAAGAAGTTGGGACGGCGGAGAGAGTGGAGGTGGAGGAGGACCCTTGGACGGAAATTATATTGTAATCTTCGAGGACTTGACGTTTGGGGAAAAGAATGTTTGATGGTAACGCATTGACCATCATCACAGCTGAAGTAGAAAAAAGAATGTCTGAGAATTTCATTTTATCGAAAGTCTATAAAAATACAAAATTTTGAATGAAAAAAAAAATAAAATAAATAAAAATATAAATAAAAATAAATAAATAATAAAGGAATGTCGGGTCTTCTAATTGCCTGCAAAAAGAAGAAGTTGGGTGTTAATGTTTAAAGAGTGTACTTGGACTAAAGTCCTTTTGAAGAAATGAATATGTTCTCGATAGATTTCAGCTTGGTTAAAGAAATGAAGAATAAATAAATAAAAAAAAATTTACTAAAGTTGAGCGAATATGATGATTATATAGGAGAAATATTTTTTTTATTTAAAGTAATACTACTACTACTATTACTAATAATAATAATGATAATACTTTACTTGAACAAAGGAGGTCCATTATGCTTTCTTGGTTGTGTGTAGCAGGTGAAGGTGCGCCAATGGAAGAAGTAGGCAGAAACAGGTTGCGTATAGGCTTAAGTAACCGTGGATATTAGCTATATATACTTGGGACATATTGGCAGCAAAGGGGGTTATGGAAAGGAAGGGAGCAAAGAAAAAAAAAGTAGCGATTAATAGATGATGATGATGATGATGATGGTGATATACAGCGACTTTGGTTTACTACACACAGCCACAGTACGCACAATAAAGTATCACACTTTGGCGAATAATATTAATCAACAGAGAGAGAGAGTGTGTGTGTGTGTGTGTGAAAAAAAAAGGTCTTTGTTAAGTAAGGTGGTGAAGCAAATGAAAATATTTCTGTTAAAAAAAAAAAAATACAGATAGATAGACAGACAGATTATTTGATGAAACTGACAAAGAAGGAGACTTCTTCTTTTTTCTTATGAGATAAAATAATAATATTTGCAAGACAGGGAAACATCTTTGTTGCCAAAACAAGAGTGCGGCTGTGCACGTCATTATTATCATCATCAACAACAACAACAAAAACGATCGCTTAAATTGATCCTTTTGATTATATCGACCAAGAAAAAAAAAAATAAAATATATAAAAAATAAACTTGAAAAAAAAAATTCTTTTAATTATTTCGAAATTTTTTTAGAAAGTCTTTTAAAAGTGTGAGTGAAGTTGAAGATGCAAAAAAAAAAAAAAAAAAAAAAAAAATTTCAAGAATAGATAAAATCGTTATATAAAGTAAAAAAAATTAATTGCCTAGTCAAGTCCCCCTTAATATAATTAGTCTGAAAAAAAAAAATAATAATAATAATAATAATAATAATAAAAAAGGCTTATTTGCTTGTTCCTTGCATGACGCAGCCTTTTCAGGTACACACATCATATATATATATACACACACACACACACACACACACACTAAAGGATCACAATATGTCATTTTGAAATTTTAAAATTTTGAAAAAAGTAAAATTTTTCTTTTTTTTAATTTTAATATTTCTTCATTTATTGATATTTTCTACAAAAATAAAAAAATAAAATAAAAATTTATAATCCTTGAGATATTCATATAATTCTCTTTATATTTCAAATTTCATGTAAACTTGTTCCAGATGTAACTCGCTCAAAATTTCAAAAAAAAAAAAAAAAAAAAATATCCTTTGTCAACACCAACTTAAAACGCAACAAGAAAAAAAAATTATTGTGTCTTGTATTAACAAGCAATATATCCATATACATAGATTTAAATAATTTAATAATCAATATGCAAATAAGTATTAACTTGCTTATTTTCCTAATTTATAATAAAGCATACATACTTTTATTTTTTTATTATTTTTTTCATCTGTTTGGCTTTGTGAAATTATTTCCTTTTCCCTTGGATAATGGTATAACGATCTTCAGTTTCACAGCTTTCTAATTATTATTATTATTATTATTTTTATTTTTTTCAATATATCACATAATGCACTCAATCAAAATATTAAATCTTCCTAATCAAGGAATAAATTCATTTTTTGTCTTTTTTTATTGTAAAGTGAAATATACTGAAAAAAGAAATCATTGGCCTTTGTTCTGAACATAAAATATTGCGTGGCTTTTAGATACAGATTTTACTTCATTTTATATTTAATAAAAAGCCAGAAATATGAACTTATAAATGAATATATTTTTTCTTTGAATACTTGCAATAAATCCACAAATTTTAAGCATTTAAAAAATAGTTTTATTGACTGTCTTATGTAGAATTGAAGAAACATTTTTTTCATCAACATGTGGGCGTATGGCGCAGTTGGTAGCGCGCAAGTTTTGCATACTTGAGGTCTCTGGTTCGATCCCTGATGCGTCCAGGATTTGTTTTTTTACTTGTTCTGTTTTTTCTGTTAACATTGGTTTTAGTTATTTAGTTATGGTTGGGGCTGTCAATGGTTTTTTTTTTTTTTTTTGAGAAATAGTGTGGGTGGTGGTTGTGTGGTGATTAATAAAATGTACCAAAGTCAGAGGTTACTAAAAAAAATTTTAAACTTTTTTTTTTTTTTGTTTCTTATAATCATCATACACTCAGCTTGGCTTTTGTTGTTTTCCAGCTACTTCACTTTTTTTTTCTCATCTTTTAAACTATTGAAAAGAGATTGAATTAAGAAAAAAGTCTGTTAGAAGGATTTTTTTTTTCTTTTTGGTTGATTATGTGAAAATCTAGCTAATGACTGACTATACATATTAGAAGATGAATGAAATGTATATTAACTAGGAAAAAATATCTATTGAAAAACAAACCAAATATCATTTTTATAGCATTCAGACTAATCCAATTAGTATTTGTTGGGAAAATCAAATACCTAGCTTAGAAATATCATTATTTTTAATTCAATCAATAGGAAATCTTCACTTAATAGTGGTCGCTAACTTTTGAAGCAGAGAAATACTAGTATCACAGTTTAAAGTCATTTTAAATTTTCATATCTATGAAAATAAAAAAATAAAATTCATCCCAATCTTTACAGTTTTTAAAAAAAAAAAATTCTTTTTTCAATTGTCTAGCTTTTTAGTAATTAATAATAAATAAGCTTGGTTGTAAATTTAAAAGAAATTTCACAACAGTACATCTATTTTTTTTTTAAATTTGTTGGTATCAAGGCTGAAAACTTCATGATGAAATAGGTTTTAAACAATTTACTGATTATAATTTTATTATATATATATATAAATATAAATAAAAATAAAAATAAAAATGATAGTTATTCGATTGAGCTCACCAGTTTGTATCATGTCAAACAAACCCCAACCCTTGCGGAATCAATGTTAACTGAATTTTGATGTGAACTGCAAGAAAACGTCTATTTCTTGTTTTACTTAATTCTATTGAAGATCGTAATAGTAATATATTTTTCTTCATTTTTCGTAAACGCAAGAAGATCAAATAATACCAAATACTCTTTTTTTTTTTTTTATTTATTTTGCTTCAATTTAAAAGCTAATGATACATGAATACACTTGATTATAAAGGTACTGTTCAATACAAACAAGGTCTATATATTAATCTAAAATATTGACTCATTTGAAGAAAATCATTTATAAATAGGGATTGATTTTATCCCTAAGTTTTATATTTAGAATTGATGGTTATCTTAAAATTTATCATCCATATTATGAATATATTCATCTATTTTTTTTTTTTTTTTTTCAAGTTTACGCCATTGCTTGAAATTTGTTTCTAAGTCACACTTTTATACTCAGTACCACAATTAAATGACCCTGGCGTTACAAATAGGCACCCCACCTTCTCTTTGAGTATTTTGTCTGCTCGTTGGATAAGCCTTCCGCAACAGATCAGTATTTTTTCAAAAAAAAAAAAATAAATAAATAATAATACGAATTTTGACATTTATTTGTTTTTTCCAGCAAACATTTTCAGTTATCCAATTTTTTTAACAATAACCTTAATAGAAAATTAGAAGAAATTAGACCAGATTTAGGGAATTTTTAGATTTTTTGATTCTTTTGATTCTTTTGATTCTTTTGATTTTTTTGATTCTTTTGAAAAATATTTTCATTTATATTTGATTATCTGAAAATTTATCAACCATATTTTGAATGCATTTATTTATAGTTTACGCTAAATCAGTTTCATTTATACTTAAAATTAATATTCTTTTTTTTTTTTACCAATAACAAAATCTCCTATCTATTTTACTTTGATAATTACCCAACTCTCTGAATTGGAGGGTTTCAGTATTTTTTATTTTATCTGAGCATAACTCCATACCTTTACATCATTGCTTGAAGAATCTTTTTAGACCATTAACTTTTTATATTAAGTACCACAATGCCAAAAAAAAAAAAAATTGATTTTCAATTAAATAGCTTACGTTTGTTTATTTTGTTTTGTTGCAAAATACAACTCGTAGATATAAAAAATAAATTTTACGTAGTCAATTAAAGGCTGTTTGTTTTGTTAGTAAAGGGGGTTCATTGATTAATTGAATTTTAATTGTCTACAAAAATATTTTGTGAAATTGTTATAGTGGTTTTAATATTTTTTGTTTCAATATTTAATTTATCTACGTCATTGATTTATTTATTTATTTATTTATTTTTAATATCACATATTTGTATGTTTGAAGATTTGAAAATTTCGAATCTAAAATCTAAAAATTTCTAATACCATTTCTCATTTTTAAACTAAAATCAGTATTGAAAGATATAATAACTATTTAGCTACCATAATAAATATTTCAGGTTTAGGGTTAAAATTAAATGCCAAAACTAAAATTTTTTTAAATTTTTTTTTTTTTTTTTTTTTTCATCAAATGCAATACCCATAAGATCAAAAATGTCTGAACATCTTAAGGTAAGAATAACCCATTCTCTTAATAGTCTTTCATAGTCTAATCATTTTCTAGATTACAAGAGCAGGAACTAAAAGACGGTTAACCCTGTGTATTCCATCATCTGCTATTTCATCTTCCAACTGCCGTACGGGCCAACAAGTGGCAGCCACAGCACACCAGATTGCACGAACAGCGGTGCAGTTTGGTGTTTCTGAAATCATTGTTTATGATACTGCAAAACCATCAAGAGAAGAAAGTGCACCAGTTGTTGTAGCACAGGAACTTGAAAAACCCAAGAAAATTGTTTTTGGTGAAGACTCAAGCGATGAGCCGCAGCCCAGTACAGAAGACAAGAGCACACCAATCACCAACGACGACGACGCTGAACTTTCTGATCAAGACAAGCTTGTTGGACTGCTTGAATATTTTGTCACTCCCTCATATTTACGGAAAAGCTTGTTTGGTGACCGGACGCACTTTTTCGATTCCATTGCCAAGAAGTTACCCAAGCTTCCAGGTCTTGATCTGCTAAACCATGAAAATAGTCGGTACTTTATTGGACTGAGTGTAAACCGTAAGGTGAGAAAGTCCAAGACACGTACGATTACGAGCAGCAACGGGCGCAAGCGTAAGAGAAAAACCAAGGTGACTGGGTCTGCCGAGGAAAATGATCCGGGACTTACTGGATATGTCAACATTGGCGAGAAAAAGGTACTGAAACTGGCAGGCAAAGTAAAAGTTCCTGTACACTCGATTGTTGTGATTGACAAGGAAACAAAGGCGGTAGTTTCACCAGAGGATGCCTTTGGTAACGACAAAAAGCTGGAGCAATTACAGAAGAAGGGGATTGAGACGAGTGACACACACTGGACTACGGTGGGATTCGGGTATAAGGTCCGCAAAGTAGAGAATTTTGGGCAGGTGTTTACTGAGTGTCCTTATTCTGGAGGTTACCGGTATACAGCTTTTGCACCATGTGCTGAATTTTTGGAGCAGCAGAACAAGGCGACTGGAGCAAACGAGATTGCTTTGATTGAGGAGGAAACCTTTTTGATCAAGGGTATTACAACAACACCTGGAGATGATGTACCAGTGTTGCTTATTACTGGCAAATGGAAGGAATTGGAGCAGGCTGTTTTAGCAGACTCTGTAAATTTTGCTGGTCTAGAGAAGGCTCAGATGTTGTTTGATGGGCGGATCCGGATGGGACGTGGTGCTCGTGTAGAGGATGCGGTGTTGATTGCAATGTCCAAGATTGAAGGCTTGTAGAATAAAAATGGGATGTGACTTATGCATGTTATATATAGATAGAACTTAGATTAAAAGACACAAGTTTTAAGCGGTTATATTGGAGTATAGATAGAGAGAGAAAAGAAAAAGACTTATAGTGGAAAGTTACCCGGTCGAGAGGCAAATGTATTTTAATGTGTGCCGCAGCAACACCCCATTTTTTTTTTTTTTTTTTTTTTTTTTAAGTGATGTCTGCTTGAATGCCTTGTCTGGGCTGCTGCCTTAAAATGTCTGCGTAATTACTTTGTGTGAGGCCTCTCTCTCTCCCTAAAAAAAAAATAAAAAAAAAAAAATTTTATTTTTAAAACCGCCATTCCCGTCTTTTCTTTCTTCTTTCCTTCTTCCCTTTTTTTTTTTTTCTCTTTCCAAACTAGAATTACAACTTTTTAGACTTGCCCTTAGAAAAACTCAACCAGCCAAAAGAGTAAAATTCCTTATAGAATTTTTTCCCTTTCGACAATCTTTTTCATTCCTTTTTTTTTTTTTTTTTCGTCTATTTGAAACTTTCTTCGTCACTCGTTTAAAACGTCACTTATTCGCCTCTTTTTTTTTTTTTTCAACATCATATAAAACATACAATTTCTTAAATTTTTTTATTTTTTTTTTTCAAAACACGAAAAAAGCTACCAGCCAACCAACTAACCACATACATATTTTAATCACATAAATCACCAACAATGAAGTTCTCCACCTCCCTCGCTCTCGCTGCTTTTGCGGGTGCCTCCTCCGTTGCTGCTTTTGGCGATCTCGGCTTTGACATTGGTGTCAAGCGCAACTCTGACGGTAACTGCAAGGAAACCTCTGATTACCTTACTGACTTCAATGACATGAGCTCTCTTACCAACACTGTTCGTGTTTACGCTGTTTCCGACTGCAACACCCTTGCCAACATGGCTTCTGCTCTCACTCAGACTGGTTTCCAGGCTTTCCTTGGTATCTGGCCCAATGACGACGCCCACTTTGCTGCTGAGTTGGCTGCCTTGTCCACCTACCTCCCCACCATCTCTGTTTCCAATGTCCGTGCCTTCACTGTCGGCTCCGAGGCTCTTTACCGTGGTGACCTGAGTGCCAGCGCTCTTGCCGATAAAATCAACTCTGCTAAAAGCTACATTTCCACCCTTAAGGACAAGGACGGCAACTCTTGGTCTTCTGTTCCTGTTGGAACTGTCGATTCTTGGAACGTTCTTGTTGATGGTGGTAATGCTGCTGCTATTCAGGCTGCTGACATTGTCTTGGCCAATGCCTTTTCTTACTGGCAAGGTCAGACCCAGGCTAATGCCTCTTACTCCTTTGTTGACGACATTATGCAGGCTCTCCAGACCATTCAGACTATTAAGGGTTCCACTGATATCCCCTTCTGGGTTGGCGAGACTGGTTGGCCCACTGCTGGTGGCAGCTATGGTGTTTCTGTTCCTTCTGTCGAGAATGCTCAACACTTTTGGAAGTCTGCCATTTGCGCCATTCGTGCTTGGGGTATTAACACTCTTGTCTTTGAGGCCTACGATGAGTCTTGGAAGCCTGATACTTCTGGTATCTCCAATGTCGAGAAGCACTGGGGTGTTCTTAATGACGACGGTAGTGCTAAGTACGACCTTGCTTGCACCTTTTAAGCGATCTTTTAGTATATGAGGTCATTGATTATTAAAAAAAATAAAATAAAATAAAACGGCACCACCGGCTTGGTGACGACAAACAAAACTCATCTTTTATTCAACGACCATTTTTATTATTAATATTTAAAAAAAAAAATAATCTTGCATACACATTTTTTTATTTTAATCTTTCATTTTCATTATACATATTTATTATATATTATTGGCTTTATTATTATTTATTAATTTGATTTAAAAAAAATCTATTGATCATGAAGGCAGTAAGCAGCTATGTTTGTCTGTTTTTTTTATATATAATTATGGTGGTTTGGTAGGAATGAAAAAAAAAAAAAATAGTATTGCGTTGTACCCACCGTTGTTCCAGTTACACAAATAATCACGTGAACATAACTACTAGAAACTTTTTTATTGTTTTTGTTGTTGTTGTTGTCGTCGCTATAACAATCACATTACAACTGGGCTTTGTGGAGTATAATTTGTTTAATCTCGTTACAATCTTCCAAGGATATATCCTGTATATACAAGTAGATCAAATCCATTTTGCAGTTCTTTTCTTACTTATAAGAAAGTTAAAGATTTATATATATATATATATATATATATACGTTGGATTACAAAAGAAAAAGTACTAGCATATAGGGGGTTTAAACTTATTTGCTGAAGCTGAAAACCTCCAAATGTATTCTAGTCAAGTAACAACAAAACATGTTTTTATATATTGTAGTAAATGGATTTAATTGAGTTTTCCTTTGCAAATGAAATTTTAATAAAATTGTGGGGAAATATTGTTTAACTCTAGATCAAATTTGAAAAAAAAAGTTATTTCTTTGATAATTAGGAAATCCTTTATTAATTTATCTTATCATTCAGTTCAAGAGACAATAATACTTTTTTTTTTTTTTTTTTTTTTTGATAATAGAAATATATGAGAACCATTTAGTTTCATATAGATTAGTTTTTTTTTTTTTTTAAGAGTAATGAATTTCCATTGTGACTTTAAAATAAATAAAATAAAATAAATGGTTACAATCGATTGTAGGACTTGATACCAGTTACGTTAGGTGGTTAATTGGTTAGTTTAAATATATCTTGATATATATTCTGATTAACAAAAGAGAAATGTGAATAATTGTTGAAAGGATCTAATAATTTACTATTAAAATATTTCATATATATTTTAAAATGATATTTATGATTTAAAATTCTTGAAAAAAAAAAATGTGTTTAATTGGTTATTTTTATATAATAAAAATTTTTTTTTTCTACAACACATCTCTATTGTTGTGATGGCTACGAGCGGCAGATTAGTCATCAAAATGAGGGTGATATTTTCCAATGGCTTTTGGTGACAAAACAAACATCGCCTGTTTCGACCAAAAAGTAAACAAACAGAGACTTTTTTTTTTTTTTTTTTTGTAAATAATATAAATAATAATAAATCATCAAAAGTAAATAAATAACTAAATAAGTAAATAACTAAATAAGTAAATAAAAAAACAACAATCTTAAAGACCTGGCTGTTTGAATGGAAATGTTCAATCAATTGGGATTTACTGATTTACAACTTTTATTTTTTATTTTTTATTTCATAAAATAAACAAAATTACTTTAATAATAGCTTGACCATTTCAATTAAATTAAATCAAACCAAAAAAAAAAAAAAAGCATCTCTATAATCATGGCTCAAAGAATACACAAGGACCTCGCAAAACTCTTCAAGGCTCCTCCTCCAGATTGCATCCTAGACACTGAAGATGATGACGATGATTCTTCTCTTGCAGACCCTGAACCCTCGATCGGTCTTGCGCTACCTGGCCGCTCAACAGGACTTGGCATGTCATCTCTCAGCACTATTTCATTTTACTTGCTGGGCCCTGAGTCCACTGCATTTTACGGCGGCGCGTGGCGCGTCAAGCTCAAAATCCCATCAGAGTATCCGCGCAAAGCTCCAGCGGCATACTTTGTCACAAAGATCTTTCACCCAAACGTGCAACCAAGCACAGGTGAGGTGTGTGTAGACACACTAAAGCGGGACTGGCGACCGGATGTTGATTTGGCTCAGATTATATTGGTAAGATTATGAGGATTTTTATATTGTCAAAAAAATAACAAATCTAATAGACTAACTAACTAACTAACAAACATTCAATAGACTATACGATGCCTTTTGATTCAACCAAACCCAGAGTCCTCGCTTAATGAAGAAGCTGGGAAACTCATGCTGGACGACTATGCGGCATTTGAACGAATGGCTCGTGTCATGACTAAGGTGCACTCAATCCCACGCGCAGATATTTTAAAAAAGTTCAATTTGGACGACTCACCCTTAGTCGAAGAGCCCATGAAAAAAATTGAAGCACCAAATAGTACTACTACAACTACAACTACAACTACAACTGCATCCACCGTTAAACCTGACATGCTACCGGTCAAAGAAGACATTGAAATGGTTGACGGAAAGGGTTTCCAGGACTCTATTATCATTACAAACAACAACAAGGAAAATGGGGGTGCAGGCACCACCAACTCTGGGCTTTCTTCTCCACTCATATTGTCTGCAACATGTTCAACTGGCCAGGACTTGCAAATGATTCAAACTCAAAGCTCGGCCCAAACCTCAAGTGTTTTGCTTCCACGCGACGAAAGAGACACAAACAACATTACAAACAATTCTGGCATTAACTCTTCATCGCCATTATTCCCTGCTAGCAAAGAAAGTTCGTTCAATGGACTATGTACCTCGCTCACCCCTCCCTCATCATCATCATCATCATCTTCCAATAGTCTCACAAAGGCCCCACCATCGCCGTTATCTCCAACTATGGGCCCGGCACCTGCATACTCGCCGACCGCGGGGACTAGTCCTACTACGGTTTCGTCATCGCTGCAGCACCTTCCGCCACAGCAGCCACAATCCGATTCTGCATCAAATCTATTACCAAATCCAGCAGTAGTAGTAGTAGTATCACAAACTTTACAGCTACCGCAAGTGCACCAACAACTTCAGCCGCAGTCGGCTTCTTCACCGTCGTCGTCGTCGCCGTCGTCGCCGTCAACGTCGCCAAGTTCCGTGGCGAAACCATCAAGCCACAGTTTTCCGTGCCTGTTACCCTGTAATGCATCTTCATCTGGGTCCATTATTAAGAAGAAGAGAAAACTGAGAACACATGTATCTAAGATTAAAATCGGTTTAAAACGATTGTGATTAAAAGAAAAGAAGAGAAAATAGTATTAAAAAAAAACTGGATTTTTAAAGTCATTGAGAAGAAGAAGAAGAATTGAATTTATTATTTGCATTGTATTTAAAATTTTCAAAATGAATCTCGTACAACCGGAACATGGTCACTAATTTAAAGGCTTCGTTCCGATCAAAGAAGTTTTTTGATATTCCAAAGTTGTTGTTAAGTCGGATATCCGTCAAGACTCATCAGATGGCGTCATTTTGTACCAACAACAATAAAAAAAAATCCATTTTGACTTATAGTTTCCAGGAAATGATCAAATTTAATAAAGAATGATGAAATATGCAATTGAGAAAAAAAAAACATATATATATATATATATAAAATGATCCTCGTATCCTTTTTTAAAGACATATCTTATCTCAATTCCTTAACATCTTCGATATAACCATGACTGATCCTACTAACTCCACCAAAAAACCAAACTTTGTTGTCATTGTGGCCGATGATCTGGGCTTCTCAGACTTAGGCGCCTTTGGAGGTGAAATCAATACCCCCAACCTTGATAAACTCGCTTTTAACGGTCTACGTTTAAACCAGTTTTATGCAGCTGCCGCTTGCTCGCCCACACGTTCTATGCTGCTCTCCGGCACCGACAACCATATTGCCGGTGTCGGCGCCATGTTTGAGTTTGTACGGCGCACCCCTGGCTTTCGAGAAAAGCCTGGCTACGAGGGTTACCTCAACAATAAGGTAGCCCCATTCCCAGAACTTCTTTCTGAACGTGGCGGGTACCATACCTTCATCTCAGGCAAGTGGCACCTGGGACTTATTCCAGAAGCATTCCCTGCTAAAAGAGGGTTCCAGAAAAGTTTTGCACTACTTCCTGGTGCCGCTAACCATTACGGCTGGGAACCACAGCTCGAGTTTGGAAACAAAACAGTCGACGAAGTTGTTCCCGACTTGTTACAGGCCACTGCACCTGTGCTCCATGCCGAGGGTGAAAACTATTATACAAAGCGATTACCAGAAGACTTTTATTCTTCTGATTTTTACGCAGGTAAGTTTCTCGAGTACCTCAATGAGCATGTTGAAAAAAAGAAGAAAGAAAATAGTGATCAGCCATTTTTTGGGTTCCTTACATTTACTGCCCCACACTGGCCACTCCAAGCCCCACGACATTTGATTGAAAAATACAAGGGTGTTTACGACGAGGGTCCTGCTGCTTTAAGATTAAAGCGCCTTGCACGTCAAAAAGAACTTGGTATTATTCCTCAAGAAGTTGAACCACACCCTGTGGTTCCACTTGGCACTTCGGACTGGGAGGATCTTGACGATCTTCAGCGCAAAAAGTCTGCCCGTGCCATGGAAACTTTTGCAGCAATGGTCGAGCGACTTGACTGGAATGTTGGCAAAGTTGTTGAGAGCTTGGAAAAGTCTGGAGAACTCGATAATACTTACATTATCTTTCTTTCAGATAATGGTGCCGAGGGCGCTGATCTCGAGGCAAAGACTATCATCACCGGTAGTTTGTCTGAACACATTGAAAAGTACTACAACAACTCTTTAGAAAATATTGGTAACGGCGACTCGTACGTGTGGTACGGCACCCGTTGGGCTCAAGCTGCAACTGCTCCATCTAAGCTTTTTAAAATGTTTTCATCTGAAGGTGGTATCCACGTCCCTATCATCATTTCACACCCTGGACTTAGTCCCGAGCACAAGGGTTCTATAAACAGCACATTCTCCACCGTCATGGATATTGCCCCGACTCTTCTTGAACTTGCAGGTGTTGCACAGCCAGACACCAAGAATTATAAGGGCCGTGAGATTGCGCCAATTCGCGGCAAGTCATGGGTCAAATTTCTTCAGAACCCATCTGCAGTCAATTCTATTTATGACAAAGATGAGACTGTTGGCTGGGAGTTGTTTGGACAAGCAGCTGTGCGCAAGGGTGACTGGAAGATTACCTTTATTGGAAATCCTGTTGAAGAAAATAGCTGGAAGTTGTTTAACATTCGTGAGGACCCTGGTGAGGTTCATGATTTGTCTAGCAAGTACCCAGAAAAATTTGACGAGCTGCTGGAAGGCTGGGAAGATTACAAAAAGAATTATAATGTTCTGGGACTTAAGACTGAATGGGCAAGCTTGCCTGTAAATGAGATTGATGATGATACCTTGTGGATGAAGTATGAGCGATTGACTGCTTTTAAAGTCAAGCGAGCGATCGAAGCAGAAGCTGCTCGTGTGTCGGTCAAAGCCTAGGCAGATTTAGTTTAATTGGTTAAAAATTTTGAGATTTAAGTGAATGAAAAAAAAAAAAAAGACTATGCAGTAAATTAGAATTCCCTGTATAAATCAAAAAGATGTGAATATAAGATGTGCAATTTGTGTGCCAATGAAACGTACCTATATATATGAAATTGATTGAAGTTGAATTACCAATGAAAGTTTAAATGCTTTACTTCCTTTTGGCAATTAAGATTGAGATTTCTTATAATAAAATTTATTGATTTTTTTATTTTTTTTTACTTATAACTAAAAAAAATTAAACCGTCTTTTATTTATCAATTGCTATAATCATAGTAATAAACTACTTTATATAATAATTTATGATATTCAACATTAAAAAAACAAAAATAAAAATAAAAATCATTAGGTGTGCTGCTGGTGTCTTATTTGACACGGCTTTTGCTTGTCACAATCTACTGGCTTATAAGGAAAATATTCTTGAGAAATATTTTCAATAAATCCAACTTTTTGAGGAAAAATTACACAACTTTTACCTTCACTGTTTGAATCAAAGTAATCAAAATCAAGCAACAAAGGGAAACGAGTGTCATCATTATTTGTAAAAATTTTACAAGGCCTCAAAATTATAGAGTGTGTTTCGGATATGAAAAGTTCATTTTCCTTAAGACTTATGCCATAAATAGGTGAAATATTTTCACGTATTTTTTTCTTTGAGGAATTAAAACCAGAGTATGATAAAAATACCTTTTTTAAGACTTGAGATTCACCCCAGGGGCCTATCATCTTTTGAAATGTTAAATTTGGAAGCCATCCAAATAAACTTTTTAGTAATAAGTTTTTTGAATCTTTCACACAAGTATCAATGTTGTGAACTTGATAATATAAAGTATTCAAATTTTTCAGTTTGGATATATTTCTGAAAAGCACTTCTTGCAAATACATTATGACAAACACATGGTATTGACGATGAGGGTTATTTAGATCCATAAACTCTGGAAAAAATGAAACTGGATCGCTGTATAATTTAGCCAAGTAATCAAGAACATCATCATCATTGATTAATATCAAACACTTTATTTTTTCTTTTAAAGCTTCAAAAGAAAGAAGTGGTAACTTTCTCAAAGATTTATAAATAACTTTGGCGTCGGTCAAAACATCTATATTTTCGACAGTATATGTCTCGCTAACTAGCCAGTTATCTGTCAAATCTAAAAACAATTTGTTTAAGTTAACTAACGACGGAATAAACATTATGAAATTGCCAAAATAGTTTTCATTGTTAACGTTAATCAAAAAATGAAGAGTAGAGATATTAATAGCACTATTCTCAATAAACGAAAATTTTTCATTTAAACCTCCACAATTGTTTTTTAAGTCAAGTAATTTAATTCTCGGAAAGTGATACTTTTCAAGAAAACCAGAATGAGATACTGGAAGACGCAATCCGGTTATTTGTGGGATTACAATTGAATCATTACTTTGGCTAGAGACCACAAGAGGTAATAAACCTTTAAATGATCCATGAATTTCTATACAGCAAGATTGTATATTAGATGATAACTTTGAAATTCCATGAACAAGCAAATCTTGGATATTTGTTGGAAATTTTTTTGAAAAATATATTTCAACATCATTAAGTGTTGAAGATTTTGATGCAATGGTTAAAAGAGGTATAATACTTTGTAAAATCATAGGGGGTCTTTTGTGTGAAAAAAATTTTAACTTTTGCAAACATGGAAATAATGTATTTGATGTATCAGTAATAGGATATATTACATCTCCTGAAAATATAATCCGGGTGACAGTATTGAAATTGAATGGTGGATAAAGATTTAAAAGCATACTTTCAAACATAACTTTACCAATTTCAAATACTAAGAAATTTTGAAAGCCAGGATTGTTTTGTGCAAACTCATTTATAGTTTTAAAACTAACTTGGTTTAATTGAATCTGCTTTTTTATATTAAACTTTGTAGTTGCGTTTGAAAACAATTGTCTAAGAGAAGGATAGTATTTTGATTTTAAGAAACCAATATTCAAAATGTCACTTTCCACATGACTATACATTATTATCTTCAATGTAACAACTTTGTTGTTTAAAAACCATGAGAATTTTTCTGGATTAGTAAGAACTTTGAACGGAACATATAGTTTCGCTGATATGTCTATTGCCTGTTTTTTGACAGTTGTTTGGAAAACAAGGTCTGACACTGTTGTTATACAATCACAATAAGCCATGGGTCTATATATTTCCATTAGGTTAGAGCTTGTATGGCTCACAGTTTTTCGTTCTGAAGCGGTAAGATATTTGGAAACTTCCAGGTGAATTTCAAAAGGAAGAAATTCGAAGGTTGACATTTTTTTTAATACTTTATAGAAGGATATGTGAGAAAAAGTGTATATAAGAAAAAGTGTCGAGCTAGTGGGGGAAAAAAACTTAATGAATAATGGTGGCAATAGTGTGTGGTTTTATATTATATTAAGCTAACAATTTTTATTTTACCCCTTGGTCCTGTGAGATGCCTCATTTCAAGATATATTGATAATTTTAGCACTGAACCACACAACTCCTGCCCTTTTAATGTGTTCATTAATTTAAATTAAATTTAAATGATAAAAATTAATGAATATAATTGATATGATGTTTAAATTAAAGCAAAATATTGAATGCCAGGTATTATTTATATTGTTTCCATATATTGACCAGAAATCTTCTAAGCAATAATGCTTGGAGCTTTCATAATTATTATTAATTGTAAATTACATAATCTTAAGGTTCGAACCACTTTGATTAATCGATTTGGGTAATCTTTAGAAATCAGTTTATCGCAATTATAAAAAAAAAAAAAAAAAAAAAGCACAATAGACCATTTATTTGTTGGAAGGTTTTTATTAAAAGATATTATTTGTATACTAACAAAATTTCATAGTTTCATGAAGTAGTTAAGCAATATCTATAAACACTGAAGTTTAATCAGATAACCTTAGTTAAAATAATTATTTAGATAATTATCTAAGCTTACATGTAAGCTTAAATGATAAAATATGTGATATTTTGAGCTTAAAAGCAAGTGTAAAAAAAGAGAGAAAATAACGAAATATTAATTTGATATTAATTTTTGTAAAAGGATATTGTCAGCGAACATTGTAGTGGGTGATTTTTTTTTTTTTTTTTTTTTTTTTTTGGACTGAATTATTAGCAAATAATTGTATTATAGCATTAAGAACTTAACATGATATCATCTTTTTTCTTTAAAATCAGTCAATTTGTTTCCATTAAAAAGTGACTTATAAGAAACTATGATAGGGATAATATGTTCTTAATTTTGGTTAAGTATACCTCTGATATTAAATCGTTTGATGCTTTTGTTTTTTTTTTTTAACCTCCAATAAAAACTGTTCCATTTTTCAGCGGATAGTCTGAATGGGAAAAAAAAAAATGGAAGGAAGACAACGATAGGGGTCCTCTATTCTAAGAAAACAAATTCAAAGAATTTCTCGAGGACTTATAAATATAAAATTTCCCCTTAAAAGATTTTTTTTAAAGATCATGACTCAGGTAGATAACCCTTTTTTTTTTTTGATGATTGAAGAACACGATCAGTTAATGGTAAAAAAAAAAAATATTTTTTTTTGACATTGTAAAATACTGTATTCAGGATATCTAATAATTTGACGATTAAAACTCAACGATTTTTGGACGTAGAGTTATGCCAAATCTTTTTGAAGCCAACTAACTTCTTGGTTTTTTATGCCAAGTGCAACTTTTAAATATTTTCAAAGTTCAAAAAAAAGGCTTGGGCAATGACTTGGCACTTTTCACAACCACTCCTCCAAATAATTATATAACCAAATCCAATTTTTTTTTTTTTTCATGCAAAAAACTCAAAAAGCGTATTATGTCATTACAGCTTTTCAACTTTTTGGTCATTCAGCTGATTTTTCCAAGGTTTTTATAAAATCTTTTAAACGTGTGCAATGAGAGAGTTTTCTATTAAATTTTTGTAACGAGTATTGCAATTTGCTTTAAAGCAATTTGGAAATTTGGCTTTTAAAAAGTTGCTGAAAAAACATGTATTTGAATTTATGGGTAGATGGGTAAAAACAAAATCCAGGCTTAATTATACCCAAACAAAGTTTTCCGTTGCATTTGAGTATATTAACCAGAAGGGTATTGACTGAAGGTATGGTGGTATTAGTAGCATCAACATTAGTGCTGATATTAGTAAATTCATTTAATTAATCATAAGGCAAATGATTATTGGTATTTTGCCATGTCAAACAATTTGTAAGCATAATCAACTTGCAACATGCAACAATAATGTGTCGTCTTAAAAGTTTTGTGAAAGTCCCTTTTCCTTAAACAATATCTCGGTTTTTCTTAATCTTATGTAGTTTTTAAAATCCAATTTTTTTTTTCTTTTTTTCTTTTTTTCTTTTCCGCTTAATTGATCTGAAAAAAGAAAAATTACCACCAATTTAAAGCCAACTTTAGTGATTGTTTGCCAGTATGCCATTTCGGACCACAATGGGCGTCTCGGATAAAGATAATCCCACATGACGGTTACAACCGGTATACCATCATTACCTTGAAAAATAAGGAATTTTTTCAATACTGGTAATTATCTTACTCATAGAGGACAAAAAATAAGAACGACTCATATAATAATCAGTAATAACTAATTTACTTGCCAAATTTGACAAATTTGTAATCTTCTTTAAAATTTGTCATTATTTGTCAAAAAAAAATCTTTCACAATATATTTTACAGAAATACTTTGCTGGCCAAACAATTTGAAGAGTTTAGCAGAATCGTTGGTTTAATAAACTGTATCAAAGATTTTAAGCTCTTTGTCAGTTCCAAGAGTAGAATTTTTGATTATTGATACTATGACTTTTAATAGAAAGCCCTCAAAATCAATTTCTAATGTAATCGTCATTATTTGATCTAAAATTAAAGCCAGTTTATAATGACAATCTGTTTTGTGAAACGTTTTTGTTTTTTTTTTTTTCTAAATAATTGATTTTTATAATTACGAACAATGATGGTATTACCATGAAAAATGGCCAGGTTTATTAGAAAATGTTTCTTAAAAAAAGTTTATAAACTGCTATATATTAAAAAAAAAATTATAATTTTTTTGGTTTTTGACAAATGATTACATGAACCACAAAGACATGGGTTTATCTTATTTCAAAACAAAAGAAAAAAAGAAAGGAACTCTATTTGGGCCAGAAGAAGAAAAATCTAGCGCTGAAATAGAAAAAAAAAAATAAGAAGTTTTTTAGAAAAAGTAAATATTTACGTATAAAAATAAAAATAAAAACGAAAATAAACATTAACCATATATTAAATAGCAATTCAAGTTTTTTTTCATGAGAAAATACAAAAATTATTATCAATGGAATAATATTATGTCATTGATTCATAAACTATCTAAAAATAAATTTTAACCCTGTTTTTTTTTTTTTTTTTTAGATTTAAAGACGTTGAAAAACAAAAGAGAAAAAAAAAATGGAGAAAACCCTTTTGCATTCTATGGAAGGGTTGTGTTAAACTAATATTCCACAAATAAAATCACAGTAAAAATACTACTACTCATGCGACCGTTATGCTAGTTCAAAAAAAAAAAAAAGTACAATGAAAATCAGATAAATAATCAGTTACTTTAGAGTTTAATCAAGTTATCCAGGTTCCGCTGCAATCCGAAAATCTGATTTTTCCGGATTTGGAAAAAAAAAATTAATTCGTTCAGGTTTTTCAAAAGTCGCACCGTAAAATAATTAACCGAATAGAAACAAAAAATTCATTGAGATTTCTTCGATTAATAATTACCATGGCAGAAAAAAAAATAATAACCTTAAGTAAAATAAAAGCTTCCATCAAACTATATAAATATGTCTCGTAGTTTTCCATTTTCAATCAACTTCTTAACCAACTAAAAAAATGAAGTTCACTAGTCTCGCTCTCCTTTTTCTAAGCGTTTGTTTAACATCAGCTATAACTTCGGGTGATGCTCTTTTTCGCGGTTGCGGTGTCTATGTCGCCAAATACAGTTTCGAATGTCCTTCAAAATACTCCAAGGTTAAAGGTGGCCGTACCGGTGGCTGCAACTGTATGAGTCCTGAGTTCATGGCTACCATGGTTGACTGTATGATTCGCTCAAAGGGAGGTAATATTAAGCGCGGTTTCACAAGTTTGATTGACGATTGCAAACTTTCAAGCAGATCTAACTTGACTGTTGATGAACTTTATGCTATCCACGACAATGCATCTGATTATTGGGTCAACTCCAAGGACGTCAAAAACAAAACTGAAACTCATTACTATCCCATTAAATTCACCCAAGCTCAAGTTGACCAGGCTCAAAGAGCATTCGGTGCAGGCTTTTATGCTAAATACACAGGTCAACTTTACGGCGGTTTAATGTGCGCCTACTTTGGTGTGATTATGCTTGCTGCTGCCATTTCTAACTTTTTGAAAAAGGTTGCCCCCAAATTCGTTCATAACTCAACCAATAACAAATTTGCTCTTTTTTTCCGCAGAAAACTTATTAACCCGGCATTTTTTGGATTTAAACACAGTACTCCTGTTAACTGGGGACCATTCAGTATGTCTCTACCAACTCGTGCACAAGGTTGGGTTGTTACTGGATATGTTGTTATGTTCATTATCTTTATGTTTATCAAGTACGACGTCTATGACGGAAACACTCGTTATCCCTCTAAAGCAAATCAATTATCACGCATTGTTAGTGACCGTACTGCTGTATTATCAGTTACTCAAATGCCTTTACTTTACATTCTTGCTGGCAGAAACAACCTATTGCTTTGGATTACTGGTCTCTCTTACGATACCATGAATTTATACCACAGATGGGTTGCCCGTGTCACTTTTACAAGTGTATTCATACACTCAATTGCTTTTAGTGCTTTGTACGTCAACCAGGGGACTTACAAAACCCAGTTAGCAAAGACTTCTAATGTATGGGGTATTGTTGGTACTGTCTGCGGAGGTCTTCTCATGTTTTTTTCTCTTCGTCAATTCCGTGAAAAGATATATGACTTTTTCTTGCTTACTCATTGGGCTTTTGTCATTTTCTTCACTGTTGGTTCTTGGTATCATGTTGGCAGCAACACTTACTATGAGTGGATCTATGCTACAGTCGCCTTCTGGGCTTTTGATAGAGCTTTCCGTCTTGCTCGCATTGTTCTCACTGGTGTTAAAGCCAAGGGCCATGTTGAACTTCAAAGTGATGTTTTCCTTAAGATTAAAATTGACTACAACAACCGCATATGGAAGCCATATCCTGGTGCATATGCATTCTTGTACTTCCTTCGACCTACATGGCGCATTTGGGAAAACCACCCTTTCTCTGCTTATCCTTCACCTGTTCCTGGTGAAGAGAACAAAATTGTTTTCTGTGCTCGTGTTCGTCAAGGTAAGACTCTTCAAATGTCCAATTACATTGCCAAGTCTGGCCCACAAACTATTCCAGTTTTTGTCGAAGGTCCTTATGGCCATGCTCAACCTGTTGACCGTTCAGAGACTGTCGTTTTGATTGCAGGTGGTATTGGTTTCACTGGTGCTTACTCTTATGCCTGCAGAATGCTTGAAAAACCTAACGTTACTTTTATCTGGGCAGTTCAATTTATTTCCCACTTTGAGGTTTTCCGTGAAGAAATTGAGCACCTTGCTTCTCATGGAATTAACGTCATTGTCTACATTAGTGATGAGACCAGTGACAAACCCATTGTTTTGGAGAAAAATTATGGTTCTGATTCTGAGGTTTCTGAGAAAACTGACAGTTCAATGACACTTGACACACGGTACGGTATGGCTGATATTAAGTCAATTATCGATACTTCCGTTGCAGAGGCTCCTGGAAGCATTGGTTTCTTTGTTTGTGGTCCTCCAGGTGTTAACGATAGTGTTCGTAAGCATGTCACCAACGCTATGGGACAAGGGAAAGGTCGTGTTGATCTTTACGTTGAGGCTTTCAACTGGTAAAGAAAGAAAGTGTTTTTTGTTTTTAATTTTTCGTTTTTCGTTTTTGGTTCATAACTGTTTTTGTATTTTTTTTTTTTTTTTGGCATAGTTAGATAGAAAGAGCTAGATGGCTAGATATTAATAGATTATTAGATTGAAACTTATTGCTAGCAAAGGAAGAAGCAAGTTGTTGGTAAAAGAACCGCTTAGAATAAAATAGCCTAAGCTTAATAGTATTTGAACACCTGTATGCAATCCCGCTCTATATTTTAAGAGATTAGTCAATATATGAGTTAAAGATTTAAGACTTATGCTGCTAAAGCATTGCAAGTAATTATACAGTTATTGGGTCTAAAATGTTTACTTTAAACCAAACATTTGTAAGGACATCTCTTCACTTTTTTTTTTTTTGGATTAAGAAGAGATTTTGTAATTCATTTTGCTTAAAAAAAAAGTTGTTGACAGATTTTATCTCTTTAAGATAACCACCATGCAATCCTATCTATCAATCACGTGATTTCATTATAAAATCCCCCCACTCTGAATCAAAAAAAAAAAAAACTTTTCTTTCCAACCACCAAAAAACATGACAGATGAAAAAATTGAATACTTATCAACAAGATTATGTGATAAGGGAAGACATTATCTTTCACCTACTGAGTATGAAGCTGATTTAACTACATGTAATCTATGTAGCGTTGAAAAACAATGCAAAAAATGTCTTCATCTTCATAAAGGTTACGAATTCTTGACCAAAAACCAGCAGAGTTACACGATAAACTGTGAGCTTTGTCGGAAAAATCAAATACAACATCCAGGAGAATATCCTATTCGCTTACAAGTTGCCGGTTTTATTGTAAGTTAAATGAATCAAGATATTAAAGAAGGGAAAATATCTAACTTTGAAAGGGTCCATTAATGTCAAAGCAGACATTAACAAAAAACAAAGAAACGTCACCAATACAAACAACAAATAAATCAGTAGTCCCTTCATTAAAAGCAATTTTACCAAAAAAATCCAGTGAATTTTCTTTGATAAATACGCCAGAGGACTCAAAAATCAAACTGCAATTTATGGCACAATCAGAAGATAAAGATTTGAAGGTGGTTAACTTTAACGCGCCTCGTGACGATGTTTTAGCAGACTCTCCCCCACCAAAAACAAGACTTAAATATCAAAAGCTTCAACCTGAGCAACTCCAGTCTCATTGCAATGTTCAAAAAGAAACTGAATTATTACCAACATCTAAGGAACCAGATTTTGATTCTAAAACAACGCTAACCCCGATATTGCTTAAAAACACATCTACAAGTTCACTTAAAAACATGTCTGCAAATACATCCACGAAAATATCTACAGGTAGATCTACAAACGCCCCAATACCAATATTGCCAAAAGAAGTGCCTCCAGGTATTCCTACAACTACATTTATAAGTCCATCTAAGTCTACAAATACACCAATACCAATATTACCGAAAAAAGTACTTAAAAAGACATCAAATCCGATATTACCAAATAAAGTCTTTAAGAATACGCCAGTACCGATATTACCCAAAAGGGTACTAAAACCAGCCATAACGAACGAAACACTTGCGAATATGCCAATAATAAAAATATCTAAAATAGAACTTACGAATAAGTCAAAGCCAAAACCTTCCAAAGAATCTCCTACAAGCATGTCGAAGTCAACATCTTCCAAACTGCAACTTGGGAATCTTTCAAATCAAACACTTTCCAAAAATGAATCACTAACAAATTCGCCAAGTACAAAATCCTTGAAAAAATCACATACGAATACCCATACATCTAAAGTTGTATTTCCAAAGCCTGTTACAGCTGGATCTGTAATAATACCAGCTTTGGAATCTACTAAAGCGCCTACAAACACACCACTGCCTATTTTACCAAAACCCCCGCATGCATATATACCTCCATACACACCGGTTCCAATTTTACCTAAACCTATACTTGTAGGTACACCACCTACAAATGAACTTAAGACTAATAGTACAAATTCCAATTCGATTCTAATTCAAATTCCAAGTTTAAATTCAAATTCAAATTCAAATTCAAATGCAAATGCAGATTCAATAAATACCAATAAATTGAAAAATGAAGGTAAAATCACAAAAATCAAATCTAAAGTCAAATCTAAAGTCAAAGCCAAAAATAAAGCCAAAAATAAAAATTCAAATATATCACTAAGACTACAAACACTAAAACAAAAATCCCAAATACTTAAATCATTGAAACCTTCACCCGCAAAAACAGTGCGATCAACTTCGATGGTAGCAGAAAAAGGGTCTGTAATGAGCAAAACTGTACGTCAACAATTATCAGAACCAGTACCACGTGTTAGACTTGTTACAAGGCCTACTCGGTCTAGTCCTGCATAGTGTGTTGCATTGAATTTCCACAATTATGTCTATCAAGATATATATATTTTTTTTTGTTTTTTTGACCATAAATATATTTGAATAATTTTCACAGAAATATTTCTGTTATAACGTTGCAATTATAGTGTATTGTCGGTAAATCATAAACAAATGTGATTTTGGAGAACCAAATGGGAACAAATGTGGCGAAAGTTTTGCATGCACTATTAAAGAATCTCTTTTTGGTATCTAATAAAAAAAAAAAAAGAAGCAGTATTTAAATGATTTATAATGAAAAATTGAATTTATGAAAATATGAAAGTAAAAAAAAAAAAGATACTTAGTGAGAATATATTATATATCTTTAAATTTTTTGGATTCTGAACAAGCAGCCGTAGTAGTGAGGAGTCCCCAGGAAATGATGGACAAGGCTAGAACTCTACAAAGGTAAAATGGTTTGTGGTCTAAGCTGAGCTGAGCTGAGCTAAGTTGAAACAGGGAATGTAAGTCTTTGAGAAAGCAAGGTAAGATTTTTGATGCATTTTATTGTTTAAGTAATGGACGGTCGACATTATGAAGCTTTTTTTTTTTTTTTGATATGCACTTTTTGAAGTTGAAAATTTATGAGAAAACTTATTGTTGAGTTATTGTCAAATTTAACGCCTGTAAGCTTGAACCTAAGTGGGATTGAAAGTCTCAAGGGGTATGAAGTTTTATGAAGTTTTGGGTGAGTAGTTTAAAAAAAAAAAATAGAGCTGCTAAAAAGGATTGAGATTCTGCCTATGACTAGGAGTTTGGTGTACCCGACATAAAAGTTATTTAAAGAGTATGGCTAAAAAAAAAAAAAAAAAAGATAAGATGTTTGGGCTTGACAGGCCTTTTAGTAGCGGGAAATTTCCAGATGTCAAAAGTTGGGTATCTTTCTAAGAAAGGCTGAGAAAGAGTTGAATTTAACATACTGGATAAAGGATGTTTGTTTATTGTTGGGATAATTTAATTTGGTATTTTGCTATTTACAAGTTGCTTTTAATGAAAGTTTTTTTTTTTTTTATTTTTATTTTCCTATCAAATTTCTGAGTTATAGCTGTAGAAATATATCAAAGTATGTGTACACGTACAGGAGGTTATGTCTGAATTAGTTTGTTACAGTAGCTTTACCAGGGCTTGGATTTGAGGGTGAAGCAAGTGTAGGTGTGCTGTTATGCCAAGTACCAAGATGGTGGATCAGAATGAGGAAAAGGAGGTTGATGAAGATAATTTTTTTTTTTTTTGAGGTTGTGAAGGGTGTTATATAGTATGAAAAAGAATTTAAGAAATAGGCGGGAGATGGAAAAAGATTGAGTGGAATTGTTGGTGATATTTAAAAGAGAAAAGAAGAGAGCGGGTATATAGAAGTGCAGTTGAGTTTAAGTTTTTTTTTTTTTTTTTCTGGGTTAATTTCTAAGAAGAAGAATATTTTAAAGAAAAAGATGGCAGGTGATTTTATATGAGTTTGGGTATTTCAGTGGGAGAGTTTATGAGAAGTATGTATCAAGGGTACACAGTTTTAGGGGTATGAATACGGATATGGTAGCATCGGATGTTGTTTTGAGGAAGGAAGATTAAGGGCGGACAATAAGTACGGTTGAAATAAAGGTTGAAATGTTAATAATATAAATAAAAGAGAGTTTTTTTTTTTAATGAGAGGATTCCAAAGTATTTTTAGTGGGAAGTATTTTAAAATGACTTTAATTTCGGTTGTTATGTAAGCAAATGAAGGAGTGGAGTAAGAATAGTACAAGAATGGAATTTATTTATTGTATATATTGAGTTTTTTCAACGGTAGATAAAGCACCAGATAACACAGGGGAAAAAAAAAAATAAAATAAAACGGTGATAAAAATATTTTCTAAGTGAATGTTAGTAAAATTTAAAAAAAAAAAAAAAAAAAAAATCTTTGGAATGAATAATTATTATAAGTTTTTAAATAGTTGAAGATATAGAAATAAAAATTGAAATTTAAATAAAATATGGATTGTTTAGAACAAATAAAAAAAAAAAATTTTTTTTTTTTGAGAATCAGACCAGAAAGCAACTTCTGTCGAGCAATCTTAATTTCTAAAACGAGTTATAGACAATCAATTGTATTAATTTATTTATAATTTAATATATATATATATATATATATATATATATATATATTAAAATAGAATTTAAACTTTTTTTTTTTTTATATTGAAATAACCGAACAAAGTTTTTATATTTTTTTTTTTAATGATGAATGAATGAAAATTATAATGCGTTGAATCATTTAAAAAAAAAAAAAAAAAAAAAAAATAACCGCCTCCCAAAAATAAAAAATAATAAATAATAAAAATAATAAAAATAATAAAAATAATAAAAATAAAAAAAATAAAAAAAAAAGCTTACATTTATTTTTTATTTATTTATATTTTTTATTCATTCTAAAGAATGTCTCCTCTTTATGATAGCCATTGAGTTTTTTTTTTTTTTTTTTTTTTTTAAGTTTTAATAAACTGGAGAACAAAATAAAATAAAATAAAATAAAATAAAATAAAATAAAATAAAATAAAATAAAATAAAATAAAAAAAAGGACATCCAAAATGATTAATCCATTTTAAACTATCTTAATCAAAATAACTGGAATTTTATTTTTTTTTTTTTGTATAAAATAGTAAACCATTATTTATTTTTTTTTTAATACTAAATAAGTAAAATAAAATATAATAGCAAATAGGTTTATTTGGGATATTTTCCTAAAAGTCCATGTTTGGCTTATTTCAGGGGGGGAAGAGAGGGAGGGATAAAGAGGGTGGTGGGATGAGATATCAAATATCTTGAAGAAAAAAAAAAAAAAAAAAAAAAAAAAAAAAAAAAAAAAAAAAAAAAAAAACATGTGTATATAAAAATATACAAATATATATAACTTGAGGTTATAGGTGCACCATGGTGTCCTGTTGCATAAGACAGAGGAAGGCTGCGCATACACAATTGTTGTAAAGTTTGCTTTTCTTTTATATAAAATAAAATAAAATAAAATAAGGAGCTGGGAATGGTGATGTTGGTACACTTGACTATGGAGTTATAAATTTAGAGCCATAAAGAGAGAGTTTAGATGTCAGAGGTCAAAGTACGGTTAGGGTTTTCGGAACCAACAATATAATAGAATGGAATAAAATTACAACACAATATAACTACAAAACAATAATAAATAATAAATAGCAAACAGAGAGAGACAAAGATTGTATGTATTATTGAAAAAAAAAAGAAAAGAAATAACATTTTATTGCCTTAGGCTACATGATTTTTATGACCTTCATCATCATATTTGTTTATTTATTTATTTTTATTTTATTTTTTTTTAAAGATTGTAAAAAGTGTCATAAAATTTATAAATAAAATTTATAAATAATATATAATAAGGTTATATAGATGAAATTGTAAGTAAGTAAGTAGGTGTATTACTAATAATATATATATTTAATTATTTTTTTTATTTTTTCTTTCGGAATAAAATATACTTTTTTAACGGAACGAAGAAGTAGAAAAAAAAAAAAAAAAAAAAAAGAAGAAGAAGAAGAATCACCAAAAAAAAAAAAAAAAAAAAAAAAAAAAAAAAAAAAAAAAAAAGTTGACCGGCTTTATTGCGGAGAAAAGTCATCCGGAAAACAGAAAAGTAAAAGTAAAAAAAAAAAGAAAAAAAGAAAAAAAAAAGAAATTTATTAATTAATTTATTTATTTTAGAAAGACGTCAAAAAAGTGGATCAATTGAGTGGAGGCAATATATATATATTTTTTATTATTATATTATATATATATTATATAATTATAATAAAATTATTAAGGAGAATCATTTTTTTTTCTTTCTTTCTTTTGTTTTTTTTTTTTTTTTTAAACAGTGCATGTCACATTTTCAAGATCTCGGACATAAGTTTTTTTTTTTTTTTTTTTTTTTTTGGCGCTTAGTTTAATTTAATTTAATTTAGTTTTTTTTTTTTTTTTTTTTTTTTTTTTAAATTTTTTTTTAAATTTTTTTCTTTTTTTAGTTCGATTGGTTACTACAGAGATTATTTGGTTTAGTTTTTTTATATTTTTTTATTTTTTTATATTTTTATTTTTATTGCAAAAAAAAAAAAATATTAATAAATATTTAACCAATGGCATTATTATCAGCAGGTTTTTGTATATATATATATATATATATTGTATTAAAATCTAGTCATTTAACTGGTTGGCTCATTGATATTTTTAAAAAAAATATACAATTTTTTATTTGTTTTAAATTTAAATTTAAATTTTGTTTTTTTTGTAAGTGATGACTCGGGATTTGTCTGATGATGGTAATGATGGTAATGACGATGATGATGATGATGATGATGGCTTGCTTGATAGATAAATAGATAGATGAGGCAGAGTTAAGATGGTGACGT